CCCAAAAAGGGTTTTTTTTTTTTTTAAAACCCCCCCCCCCCCCCCCCCCCCCCCCCCCCGCCCCTCCTCTTTTCCCGACTTGCGTTTCATTTGACGCCTCGCTGATTTGATGCGCAGCCCGCGGTACTGCACTTGAACGAAGTGACTGGGCCCGATGGGCGTTTGGTCTTTGGACGAGATGGTGCGGATAGCTTCTGACATCTTCTTAATCCTTCGTTTGACTTGCCCGTGCTCGTGTTTTTTCTTTGTCCGGTTTCAATCGACAACTCATCCTGACTTGCACTTGCTGAGTAGTTCGCGATTTACGTAGCGATACCGTGACTGCTCTTCCGATCGGAACCACGGATGATGAAGATGACGAGACTGCTGATCTCAATGATTTGCAGGAGCTAGCCCTGGCCCTTATCCAGGCCGTGCGCCAGGAGGACCAAGGCCGCATCCAGCGTTTGCTGCAGAAACGCGCCCACCCAGACTTTATCAACCTCAAGGACGATCAGCTCCTCACAGCCCTTCATTATGCTGCTCGGGCTGGCAAGAAGGGCATCGTTGCCAATCTCACCGAGCACGGGGCTGGTCAGTTGGGGCCCATTGCTTAAGACTGAACTGGTTTTGCTTTGACACGAGTTGCACGCCCAGTTCAACCTGGCCTCGCTGATGATGATTTCATAGACCCCTGTGCTTTTGGCGAGGAAAGCATCACCCCGCTGCATCTAGCAGCCAAGGCTGGCGCGCGCGAGGCGCTCAGCACGCTGATCGATGCTCTGGCTGATCCAAAACTGGTCAACGTTGGCGATGATTACAGCCAAAGCCCACTCCACTATGCCTGCCGACGCTCCCGAACCATCAATTGCGTCAAGCTGCTGCTCCAACGCAACGCCAACGTCAATGCCTCCGATAAACAAGACGTGACTCCATTGCACAAGGCGTGCATGTACGGGCACCGCAAGGTGTGCTTCGTCAAGACCAGTCCACTCATGGGCACCCCTTGAGCACGCACACTCAAGGGGGCAACTCTCACACACCCACCTGCACTGCATGCCGTGCCGACGACGTGTGGGGTTGTTAGATGGTGGCAGTGATGCTGGATGCTGGTGCCAACATTCGTGCCCTTGATAATGAGCAAGGCACACCGTACGTTTTCATTTTTACCTTTCAACTCGGGCGTTTCTGCCTCGAGCTTCGACATTAGACTGACTTCTCCCCACTCACTATTGTTCTAGGCTGCACATGGCAGCCATGGAGGGCCACAGCAAAGTGGTGTCGCTCCTTTTGCATCGCGGACAAGAGGCTGTCTCGATGATGCTGCGTGACAAAGACACCTCTGGTCCGATCCGGGCGCAGATGGCAGTGTAGCTCCCCATGTTCCCATACTGCCCCTGCGTCATCCTGACCAGCAGGTTCTTCCGTGGCTATGTAGGCAATACGGCATTGCATTTGGCAGTGGAGAACGGCCATCCACATCTCGTGTCACTGCTGATCAAGGCCGATGAAAGCATCATCCACTTGGTCGATGCTCGCGGGCGCACGCCCTTGCACGTGGTAAGGGGTTCTGGCCTCTCCACGTATCCGCGCCAGCCCACGAGCGCAACGGCATGCTTGCGGCCATCCAACGATGCAATCCAGCCACCCGTCTCCACGTCTTGGATATGGACGCTCATCATCACATCACCGATGCGTTGTGGAATTTGGTTTTGGTTCGCATTGGCAGGCAGCAGCTGCAGGAAGCAAGGGCGCGGATATCTTCCAACGCCTCTTGGCCTACGGCGCTCGACTGCCAACAACTGATTCAGAAGGACTCACAGCAGCTCACGTGGCTGCCATGCACAACAACACAGCGGTGCTGCGGCTGATCCTTGACAGCAAGGGTGAAATCAACTGCACCGATAACGACGGGTAGGCTTTGGTTTGAATCCACCCTGGTGCTGCTGGAAAGCCAATTGGTACCGTCACCGACCACCCCTCACCCTTCTCCATCGGCGGCTCGCACGCGCCTGTGGGGGCTTTTAGGTTTACGCCCCTCATGATTGCTGCTTGGAAAGGCCAACTGGAGGCTGTCAAGCTTCTTTTGCAGAACGGAGCCGATCTGACAGTCACTGATAAGCTTGCGTATGTGTCTCGCAGCGCTGACATGCCACGCTGCTTTTGGCATCTCAAAGCTTGAATATGATCAAGGTGCTTACTTGATGGCGTGACGCGTGCAGTAAAACCGCGATTCACTGGGCGGTGGAGGGCCACCACGACAAGGTCGTGGCCGAGTTTCTGCAGTACATCCAAATTCACACCCTTTTTTCTGTCCTTGAGCAACCCGATCGGTGCGTGTCAACTTCAACTTGTCCAGTGGAGACGCAACAGCTGCCTCTGCGAGAACCTTTGTCCTGGTGCTGATCAAACCAACCACCCTGACCGTGCCTCGATCACATGTTTTAGGCATTTGGATACTTGCATGCACGTGGCGGCCAGCGCCGGTCACATTGGTATATTCGAACAATTGTGCCAGGTGGACGAAGCTACGGTCGTCCGGCTGATGCAAGCTCAAAATGATGATGAGCAAACACCATTGCATTTCGCCGCCAAGGCCGGCCATGCACGCCTGGGCCAAAAGCTATTGCGCCGGAATGCGCAGCTGTCCCTCATTGAGGATGCGGACTGTAATCGCGAGACGGCTTTGCACATTGCGGCCAGCTATGGGCACGCCTCCTTTGTCAAGATGCTTCTGGATGAAGGGGCCTCTGTGGAATCACGGTACGTGTCGGCTGTGGGTCCAGTCCTTTTTCCTTGTCTGCATCTCATGTGTTCTGACTGCTGGATGGCGAGCGCAGGAATAGCAAGCGATGGACTGCACTGGACTCGGCGGCCAAGTTTGGTCACCTGGATGTCGTCGATGTGCTGCTGGCAAACAATGCACCTATCAATGCCGCCGACATCAATAACGTGCGTCAGGCGCTTCGGTTGTAATTGCTAGCCGAAATCACGTGCACGGGGCTCATGCACAGGCCTGAACGTGGGTGCTTTAGGTCACGCCTCTGCACTTGGCCGCAGAGCAGGGCCACGTTGACGTCGTTGAGCGGCTGATTGACGGCAACGCCTCGCTGCGCATTCGCAATGCGGCGGGCATGAACGCCCTGGTACGCTTTTGATCTTGGCCCAATTTTGTGTCAAAGTAAACCCTGTTTCAAGTGAGGCTTGGGTGACTGTCATCCAACGTACTCACGGCCTTGTTGTGCCGTCTCCAACTTTTTTTGGAGAGATAGGAAGCTGCTGTCATGGCAGGTCAGTTGGATGCAGCGCTCAAGTTTATTGGCCACAACCGCTGGATGGAGGCCATGACCCATGGACAAGATTCCAAGGACCTGGGCGGGTCGCGTTCAACGTCCTTAACCACTCGCACGACTCCTATGAAACGCATGATCCGCTTCTTGCCCGAAGCGGCTCTCGCTGTACTCAAAGTACGTGGCTACAGATTGGGAGTGGGAGCAGGGCAGAGGAAGGCATGATCACGAAGGCATGCGGTGTTCAAAGGTTTGTCTTGCAAGCCTGGGCTCATGGATTCGTGATCTACGACTCGCTGCATGCTTGCTTGTGTAGCGATGCCGGGAGTCAGTGCCAGATCGACCCAACTGCGAAAAGTACATTTGGCGGTTCATTGATGAGGCTCCCAAGGGTAACATCTCGCACGTGGAGGACCATCCCTTGATGCTGATGGTGCATCACAACCGCGCAGAGCTGCTGGCGCATCCCGTGGTCGAGGCGCTGTTGTTTCACAAGCAGAAGAAGTTTGGCGCGCTCAGCATGTTTGTCAACCTGGCCCTCTATGTCACGTTTTTGGTCTTCTTGACCTACTTTGTGTGCCGCGTGCCCGTGGCTTTGGATAGTAAGCCAGACCTGAGAACTAGCCAGTACTTTGCATCGGCCATGATTATGGTGCTCTCTGGGATTCGTCTTCTCGCCGAATGCCTGCAGCTCAGCTTTGAGAAGCTTCGCTACTTTACCGATCCCTTGAATGTTGTCGAGTGGGCCGTGTTCTCGTGCTCGGTGGCCTTTATCGTGCCATTTTGGCTGGATTATGATCAATCCGTAACACAGTGGAGCGTGGGGGCCGTGGCTGTCTTTTTGTCGTGGATCAACGTGTTGCTCTTTGTACGAAAGCTTGATGTGTTTGGCATCTACGTCCTCATGTTTGAGGAAACGCTCAAGACCGTGATCAAGGTGTGTGTGTGTGTGTGTGTGTGTGTGTGTGTGGCGGCGTGTGCACTGGTTTTTTTTGCAGGCCGCATGGTTATGATTTGGAGACAGGCGGAATTTCGACTCATCCATTCTTTCTCTGTCGTATAGGTCTTGATTGTCTCGCTCCTTTTCTTGGCGGGCTTTAGCTTGAGCTTCCACATTCTGCTCAACAACACTTACTACTTTTCCAATGCCGATCGCTCGTTGATGAAGACCTTTGTCATGATGACGGGTGAATTTGGTGCGCACGTCTGTCTGCGCCTCGAGCATGCTTTGTTCATGGCGACCATAATGTCAAGAGACTAACGCAGTCATCTCGGCCTCCCTTTTTTTTGTTTTTAATTTTCTACCTTTCTTTCTTGTTGCAGAGTATTCGGATTATTTTGTTGATACGGTGCATCGGTTTCCGACGCTGCCCTTCTTCATGTTTGCCGTGTTTGTGCTCTTGATGCCTATTCTGCTGATGAATCTGCTGGTACGACACTTGATTGGCTCTCGCTGGATCTTTGCAAGGAGGTGTGTCATTCACTTGTTCTGTGGCAGATTGGTCTGGCGGTCGGCGATATTCAACGCATTCTGGAGCATGCCAAGTTTGCACGGCGCAAGGCGCGCGTGAAAGAGCTTTTGCCGTTGCAAGAGTTTGGTAGCTGGTTGACGGCGACTTTGCCCTTTCTCCGCACCAATCCTGAGCGCTTCTTTGTCAAGGTCAGTGCTCATTGTGGAGATGGTTGGTTGAGACCGATAGAAGTGGTGTTGTATGCCGGGCGCCAGCTTACGCCCTGATCGGATTTGGGACAGGAATACGTATTTGACCTGGCAGCCCGTCAACCTTGGCGAAAGGTGGTGTCGGCGTTGATCGACAGCGAGTTTGATTTCGAGCGGGTAGGACGTGGTTGCACTGCAGCGCCTTGCTGGGTATGCGAACGTGGTGCGCCGTTCTCATTTGTTTTGTCTGTTGGCTGACCTTTCAAACAGTATGACGAGGATACTGACGTGTCTGAGTTGATGCTGTTGCGAAAGGAAAACACACGCTTGACTGACGACCTGAAGCAGCTACGCAAGACATTGCGGATCGTTTCGCGCGAGTTTGAGGCTCAAAGCAAGCTCATTGATCGTCTTGCCCACCACCATGATATCGCGCTCATTGATTGAGTGCTGACCCTTGTGTGCTTGCAAAAGAGTGGTGATTCTATGAGTATGAAGTAGCCGCTGTCTCCCTTTTAACACTGGAGTAGCGGGGCGGGGCTCCTATAGTCGGAACAAAAGTCGACCCAATCGATCTGAATTTATGAATGAATGGAGCAACGACAAAATCTCTCTCTCAAAAAAAAATTGTGTGTGTGTGTGTGTGTTGTCTCTTTTTTTTCTTCTCCATTTTTTTCCTGTTGTTGTCTGAAGATGGCGAGGTGCTGGGGCCTGTTTGGTGTGGTCGTGGGGGTGTGGGCTTTGGTGGGGACGGTGGTGGAGGCCCAAACGAGTTTTCCACCGCCATTCGATCGGGTGTTGGCTTTGGGTGACGCGGGTCAAGATGTGTTTATCTTGCAGAACCTGATCCGCAACAACAACCAGAGCATCGTGTTGCGAAACGCGTCGGCTGTGTTTGACAATGCAACACAGGCAGCGGTGGTTGCGCTGCAACAGGCTTGGGGCTTGAGCGCGACGGGCGTGGCTGATGCCACGACTTTGGCCACGGTGCTGACACAGCTCAGCTGGGATCGCTATGTGGATGACGGCCGTCCTGCGTCGGCTCGTGGTTACGCGTACAAGATTCTGGTGCCCGTGCACCGCAACCGCAGCCTGGAGACCACGGCTGAGCTGCAAGCCGCCAATGGGACCGTTCTTTACCGCTTTCAAGGTCTGTGCCTTGGATGGTCGCGAGTCAATTCAAGCACGGTTTGGCTGCTACGAGTAAATTGTATCGCTTGCTCATTCGCCTCGTGCAAACGCGATCGTTCTCCGTGTGCGTCGGGTCCTGGGTGCTAGTGCGGGCGCATGGCTACAACAGCTGCCAGTGTGATGATGACTGGCCCAACTTCCACAACGACAATCCAGGGCTAAACATGTTCACGTCCAACGGCAATACGGTCACGGGCTTGATCATGGCCGACCTGAACAGCCCGGAACCAGATCCCAAGTCCTATGGACCCTATCCCATCAACCGGGCCGTGCAAGGGCTAGAGGGCAATGCGGCCTGGCTCGTGCCCAACATTCGAGATGGCTTGCTTTTGCACACGGGCGAATGGCCCAACTGGAGTCCCGGGGAGCCAATGCCCAACAGCGAGGGCTGCATGCACGTTCGTTTTGTCGCATGGTTGCCTTGGTTCTGATTGACGCGCGTTGTGTGTCAGTTTCGGTTCAACTCTTAAACTTGTGCCTCATGTCCATGGGTGTGTTGGTGTAGGCGTATCCCGAGTCGATTGATACCATCTACAAGACCCTGGTCAGCTTGGGCGTGGTCGTGCACACCAATCCCGGTAGGTGGAGGCTGATCTGCGCTGCGCGTGGCGCTAAGTTTGCATGGTGGTTTGACTCAACTTTGACCGCATGCACGTGTTGCCAGGCGGCGTGTTGCCCTATCCCTACAAGTCGCAAGGCCTCTTCAGCATCTACCAGGTGGACTAAGGGCATCGAGTCATGACTCGGCGCGGCTGCGTCCTTGGCGGCGCCCAGAATTGAGTATACGAACGTAGTGACCATATTACATAATTCATCGTTCACTGACTTCGCCAATAATATCTGACATTTTGTTACATGTTTGAGCCGCCGCCTGCCATGGCATACGTATCACCAAGAGGAACACATGTAGCCAAACCTCCCGTGTGCTGATGTGCTGCCAACTGTCCCCTCTTGAAGCAGGACCAGCTGGATCATTGAGCATGGGACACATTCCCCTTGTCAGTGTACTTGATGAAGCTATAAAGTAACTTGTTGCAGATGTATCATGGATAGTAATAACCTTATAAAGCGATGAGTGCAGTATTGATACGTAATGTCTGTGCGCCTCCTTCACAATGTCACCTGACCACAGTCTCATATCTCTGTCTTTGACTATGCGTTTGATAGTCTCTCTGCTTTAGTGTTTGAATCTACCCGTCTCGTCGTCTCGTTCCTGTCCCCATCTCTGCTTTTCTCTCAGTTCCTGTCTCTCCCTCTACGGTTTTCTCTGACTTTCGCTAAAGTCTCGTTGCTGGGGAGGGGTGCAACAATTTCTTTTGGCAGTGCAGGCCGGCTGATTCAATCAGTGGTCTGCATCTGACTCGCTGCCCTTTTCAGCAGCACAAAAGTATGTCTGCATGCTCGGCGCTCTTGGCTCTGTGTGTGTGAGTGTGTGAGAGAGAGAGAGAGAGAGAGAGAGAGAGAGAGAATTGGTTTCGAGAGAGAGAGAGAGAGAGTGAGAGGTGTGTGTGTGCATGTGTCGTGATGGCCCCGACGATTGTGGGCGGGCAGAACAACCGAAAACAGCACACGCATCCATCTATTCGTCGGTTGTTGTTCCATATCCTCATGCACATGTGTGTGTGTGTGTGTGTGTGTGTGTGTGTGTGTGTGCCATTTCTTTCTTGTCACTGGATCTCTGGTGTGCGATGAGCCGCCCCCCACTCTCGGCTCCGCCCCTTTCTCGCACTCAGTGTGACATTGGTGTGTGTGCGTGTGTATGTGGACAGCTCACGCGGCGCGGCTGCCTGCCTCCTTGTGATGACCCGGCAGGCTACGCCCCCCACCCCCCATTCCCCTTCTGAAGCCACTAGGTAAGGGGTGACTGAGTTCTTACCCACATTGGCGCCCACTCTGCGTTTTTCAGACCGCACTGGAAAGGTTTCAAGGCCCACATGAGCCTTGTCTCATTTTTCTTGAGCTCCATCTCAAGCTCAACACCTCACAGCTGCCGTTGCTTTCTCACCATTCTTACCTTTTGTGATCTTAATCAAGCCTGTTGGCAGTGAGCTGCCAGTGACCGAACCGCCATGGTTCGCGCTTCCACGGGCACAGCCTTCAAGCTACTGCTATGGAAAAACTACAAGCTTCAGGTACATCAAGCATCCGCCCCCCGCATGTACCAGCCTCTTGCGCCAGGCATGCTCTGCTGCTCCTTCTCATGCATCTCAACTTCTGACATTAACGATGCGTATAGGTTCGCCGCCCAGTCGGCACCTTTTTTGAAATTTTTGTGCCCACGTTTCTCTTCCTGGTCCTCTGGTCCCTCCGGTTCGTTGTGTCGGGCTTGTGGCCGCCCGCCACCCACATTCCGCATGATCAAGTCCAAACCCTTGGCCACCAACAACACTCACGCCCTGCGACGTATTTATAGAACACTGCTGAGCCAAGACAATCCGCCAGACACGGTGTTTTGTAGCATGCCCGTCTCGCCCCTCGATTCCATCACGCCACTAAACAACGGAGGATTGGGAAACTTGCAGTCGGAATTCGGCTGTAACTCAGCCTTTTACTTTCAGCCTCAATTCTTGATCAACCCAGACAGCGCCAGCGCCGACGAGCCTCTGCTGACCAAAGTCGGCTACACTCCCAATATCCCCGAGGGTGCGCCCAAATGCCCGGCTCCAACATGCCATTGAGTCATGGTCCTCTTTGCCGCTTGCGGTTGCTTACTCATTCCCTTCTGTGGCCAACCGGGCTTGGCAACCACGCTTTGCAACCCCTCCTTACAGTGGCCAACTTCATGAGCACTTTCCAGACCGCTCTTGGCACCTACTACAACCGCTCGTGTATCCTGGTGCCCTTTGAAGATGAGGGGTTTACCACTGCCGCCACGGGCAATGACAGCTTCACGGAAGGAGACTTCTACTTTGGCGTCGCCTTTTACTTGGACGACGATGGTGCAAAGGGCGAGCCCGGCCTCGACTTGAGTACCAACAAGGTGTGTATGCCCATACACCCATTTCTGCCGCGGGGAACGCGAAACACGCCCCTCTTAGTCTCACATGTTTATACATGCGCCCTTGTGCGCATCTCACTCACCTTAGGTGCACTACGAGCTGCGCATGACTCGCGACACCTTGGTCGACGAAGACGAGGATGGCTTCCAGACAAGCGACCTTTTTCCTCAGTGGATTACTCTGGTTTGTGCTTCGTCACTCAATTTTACCTCCTGCTTGATACGTTACTTTTTCCCTGATCCCCTGCCTGTTTGGCACGTCTGCAGGGCCCGGATATGAATTCAGCCTATTACGATTCTGGTTTTACCGTCATGCAAGCACTTTTTGATTCGCTCATCCTCATGGAGGTGTCCGGTTCAGACGTACCCCCCGTCTCATACCATCTCAAGCCAATGCCTTGGCCCTCCTACTCTGACGACAACTTTATTTACGTCATTCGGAGTACTCTGCCCCTCATTCTTATCTTTGCCTTTATCTATTCGGCCAGCTCGTACGGCTTTCCCCATCGCCCCCCCTTTGTATGTGCATGTCTGTGTGCGCTAAGCACGCTCACGGAGACCTTTGTGTGCTCATCGCTCGATACAGCATCACACGCGAACTCGTGTTTGAAAAGGAGCAGCGCCTTAAGGAAATGATGAAGATGATGGGTCTTTCTACTTGGGTGCATTGGCTGGCGTGGTTCACCAAGTGCTTCCTCTTTCTATTCATCTCCGTAGTCATTATCATGATCATCTTTGCGGTTGGTGACTGCTCACGCAGTGCCACGGCCATGGTTCGTCCCTGCGTTTTGCTCATTTTCTTTTTGACACCGATACCGGTATTTCTTTCCACAGGGCGCCGAGTTTGCGCGCTATTCCGACGGAGGACCCGTGTTTCTCCTCTTTTTGCTCTTTGCCGTCAACACCATCTGCCTCTGCTTCATGTTCAGGTATTTTTTTTTCTTTTCATTACTCGTTTGCGGCAGTGTAAAGCACAGACCCGAATCTCACTCCTTTTCTTTTTTTTTCTTTTCTTTGCACTAGCACTTTCTTTTCAAAGAGCAATGTGGCTTCAGCTGCCGGTGCCATCCTCTTCTTCCTCTTCTACATGCCCTACCTCTTTATTAGCGTATGTGCTCCCGGAGTTCTGCCTCTAGATAGCTCCCGCTGAGTTGTGTAGACGCGGCAATAGAAGGATCACCGTCGTCCAGTTTTTTCCTCGTCTTACCTGGTTGCCAACCAACCTGATCCGGCTCACTCGGGCCTGATCGCCTTCCATTTTTGTGTAGGAGGGCCTCGACGAGATGCCGCAATCAGATAAGGCCGGTGCCTGCTTACTTGGTCCAACCTGCGTTTCCATTGGCATGGATATCTTGTCCCGTTGGGAAGCCTCTGGTACGTCTGCTGACAAGTCTACTTCGCTTTGCCCTGTCTGCGTGGCAGCTGGCACATGGATAGCACAGCTGCCGTAATGCATCTTCATGCCTGTGTAGGACAAGGCCTGACGAGCAGTACCGTCAACAAGTCACCTTATGACGGTGACAGCGCCAAGTTTTCCATGGCGGCCGTTTACGGCATGCTCTTCTTGGATTCTCTTATTTATTTGCTTGTTACTTGGTACGATTGAGAGAATGGCTTCCGCTTTTTGAGTTGTTTCTTCAGGGTACTGCTTTAACTCGATTTGTCTGTTGACGACTGTTGTTTTTTTTCAGACTTACCCCTTGTTGATGGCTCATCTGTTCACATGTTTTGCACTCTCTTGACTTGTTTGATGGCAGGTACATGGAGAATGTTTTCCCCGGTGAATATGGCGTGCCTAGGCCTTGGTATTTCTTTGCCGATCCCAAGTACTGGACCGGCAAAGCCGACGAGGAGACACCATCCAATGCCCCCACCGTACCCCGTATGTTCTCTACCAAATCTCTGTTTTGACGGCACGCTTGAGTGTTGCTGGCAACACTCCGGTAAAGTCGTATTCACGCGCCGGCCAACATTTGCGGACTTGACAGATGGCACCGGTCCGCGAAGTGAGTTTGTCGAGGATTTTGCCGGCAACAACGCTGTAGGCATTCAGATCGAGGGTCTGCGCAAAGTTTTTTACGTAAGTGTTGATGCATGCCATTCAAAACTTTCTCCATGCGGGTCCTCATTGTCTTTGCCTCGCCGACACACACGCACCCACGGAACTTCTACAGCCACAAACGGGTGGCGCAAAGGTGGCGTTGGAGCACCTCGACCTAAACATGTACCGGGACCAGATCACGGCCTTGTTGGGGCACAACGGTGCTGGCAAAACAACGACCATCTCCATGCTGGTTGGCATGTATCCACCCACTGCTGGCACGGCCAAGGTGAACGGCCACAACATCAACGACGATATTGATGGCGTACGTGGGTTGTTTGACTGCGAGAATTGCCCCGACATCGGTTTCTTACTACTTTCTCTCACTGGTTGAACATGCGCGTGCTCATTTTCAGGTTCGCGATTCTTTGGGCATTTGCCCTCAATTCGACACGCTCTTCCCTACCTTGACCGTGTCTGAGCACATTGTGTTTTATAGCCGCCTGAAGGGTCTCTCCGTGGCCGAAGCCGAGGCGGAAGTTCCCGTTTACATCAAGGACATTGACCTTGAGGTGTGTTTGAATGCATCTCAGCATGCGCTGGCAATCCTGCCCAGCGGTGAAGTGCTTGTTTGGACTGCTTGCCCCCCTTGCTCAACATACTTTTTCCTTTGCAGAACAAAGCCGACGCCCGCGTCAACTCGCTCTCGGGAGGACAGCGCCGCGCCGTTTCTTGCGCTTTAGCACTCTGTGGTGGCAGTACCTTTGTGGCCCTCGATGAACCAACATCCGGCATGGATCCCTTCAAGCGCCGTCACACCTGGGACATGCTTCTGAAGCACAAACAGGATCGTACAATTGTACGTTTCTCTTGCCATCAAATTCGTAGCCCTCTTGTTTCATCCATTGTGCTGAACGTCGGCGCTTCCGTCTAACCACTTTTGTTTCCTTGCTTTCATGCGATGTCTCCAGATCCTAACGACCCACTTCATGGAGGAGGCTGATATTCTTGGCGATCGCATTGCCATTCTTGCCGACGGCGAGCTACGCACTGTCGGCAGCTCAATGTTTTTGAAGAATACTTTTGGTGTTGGCTACCACATGACTGTGGTCAAGGGTAGCAACTGCGATGTCGTGGGACTGCTGAATCTGGTGCAGCGTTATGCCCCCGAAGCTCAGATGACCAGCAACGTGGGCAGTGAGTTGACGGTGGTGGTACCCAAGAGTGCTTCCTCCAGATTCCCCGACATGTTCGCCGAACTTGAAACTGCGCAGCGCAAGCTGGACATTGCTAGCTTTGGTATGGGTGTGACTACTATGGAGGAAGTCTTCTTGAAGGTGCGATCGCGCGACTAGCCCATGGCTATATGTGATGGATGACACACGGCCATGCCACCACTTATGCCTGCTGCCGCTTTTGTCTCAGGTGGCAGAGGGTCGGCACTTGCAATCTGAGAGTGAGCAAAAAGAGGCCGAGCATTCCGCGCTCATCATGCCGGAGACGCGTCAATCTCGTGTGGAGACGGGCATGGCGCTACGCCTGCATCAATTTCGGGCCATGCTTACAAAACGCTTTGTCTATTCACTTCGCAATAAGAATGCCATTATCACCCAGGTGGGTTCTACGCTTCCCATCCATTCGCCCGCTCCGCTTTGGATTCTCTTTCCTACCCTCCCCCTCTTGATGTTCCATGCTTTGTGCAACGGCTCATTTGCACCATTTGCTTGTCATTTTGTCTGCTAGATCCTTCTGCCCTTGACGTTTACTTTTATTGCCCTTGCCGTTGTTACATGGGGGGCGACTGACAGTTTGGAGGAGCCAGAACTGCTCTTTGCCTTTGATGGTTATGGTGACACGACGCTGCGTTACTCGGCCCAGGACACGGCAGGCAATTACTGGTCTTGTAAGTAACATCTGCATGTTGGGTGCCTCCACCCACTGGCCGTGCCGATGCCTTTGTTGTCTTTGCCATTTGTGCACGCTCCTGTTTCACTGTCACCATTTGATATCGCGTACCCGTTTTTGCCCCGGCTGTGCAGACATTAATCCCGAGGGCGAAGCAGCCTTGGCTGAGCTGGCTTCGCAGACGACGCCTGGCATGTCGGCCTTTACAAGCCAGTTTCCCGGTTTGACCTCGGATGCTCGCTTTGCGCAGTTCTCCCTGATGGATGAGACAGCTGGAAACATGTCGGATATCTTGCTCGAGGCTGCCCGCAACTACAACCGGGACGACTTTTTCCAAGAGAACATTGCTGCCGTGCACGTGCAGGCCGGTCCGCTCATACTCGCAGCCGTCGGATCGGCGCTGCAGTGGTGGGACGGTAACAACTTTGTGGGTTCTACTGTACAGTGGACCTCGGGCACGACCATTCAGTTTGTGTTTGCCACCGACCTGGGCATCTCCTCTCTGATTGCAGACGGCACAACGGTCGAGTTTGTGTACGGCGATGCGACGACTGACATGAGCGTTCCCGTGTGCAATGGCGATGCGGTCAAGACGGCTTGCGTGTGGACCCCGGCCTCAAGTGTGGCCGATGTCGAGATTGACATGAGCGGTGCAGGCACGACGCCGCTATCAATCTCATTTGAAGCAGCGAGTCGCTCGGACACGGGTTCGCTGCGCGCATTTGGGTGGTTCTCCATGCAGGCTCTGCACGGCGCACCGCAGACGCTCAACCTCATTTCCAACGCCGCCATTCGACAAGCGACGGGTGATAGCAGCGCGCGGATCTACACGTACAACAAGCCAGCCCCACTGTCCTCCGCAGATGCTGCGGACGAGATTGAGACAGATGCTACAGGATTTCAGGTGGCCATCAACCTTGTCTTTGCTACGGGCTTTTTGATGGCGTCTTGGATGCTTTTCATTATCGCCGAGCGCGCCAACAAGGCCAAGCACATTCAGTTTGTTTCGGGCGTCAACGTGACCGTTTTCTGGCTGGCCAACTACACCTGGGACTTGTTTACTCTGCTTTTCCCAACAATTGGCGTCCTGATCATTTTCGCTGCCTTCAACGTCCACGCATACACGGATGACAATCGACTAGGCCTCGTCTTCCTGCTCTTCATGCTCATGGGCTGGGCCGGCATCCCTCTCATCTACATTGTGAGCCGATTCTTTAGCACTCCGGCTGGTGGCTATGCCATGACATCCATCTTTCTGATCATTGGTGGCATAGCCATGCTACTGGGTGTGTTCATCAGCCTGTTGCTCAGTGATCCCGATACCAGCGAAACGTTACGCTACGTCTTCTACCTTGTGCCCAACTTTGCCGTCGGTCAAGCTCTCTTCGATATGTACACCAACTACCTGTATGAAGAACGGTGTGCGACCGCAGGACCTGGCGACCTGGCATGCTTTGAGGCCACCGACTATACATCGATGGAGATTCCCGGTATTGGCGCCCCACTTTTGTACTTGGCTATTGCTGGGCCAGTGTGGTTTGCGCTGCTGATGCTCTTGGAGCATGACATCCTCCCCAGCTTCGACCCTCGGGCATTTAACACCCCCAAGCGTGAAGAGGACTCGGACGTGGCCAAGGAGCGCCAGCGCGTGCTGGCGGGACAGGCTAACGACGATCAATTGGTTGTGCGCGACTTGGTGCGCGTGTACAACAAGAGTGGGCAAGGTCGATCCTCTAAGGAGCGCTTCACGGCGGTCGATGGTTTAACGTTTGGCATCCCGGCTGGCGAGTGCTTTGGCCTGCTTGGAGTAAACGGCGCTGGCAAAACCACCACGTTCCGCATGCTGACGGGCGATGAGCACCCCACCGAGGGCTCGATTGTCGCGGCCAAGTACAACCTGGCGACTCATCTGCGCCAAGCACGTCAATTTATTGGCTATTGTCCTCAGGTGCGTATGCGATTCAGGGGTCGAGACGAAGAGGCGTTGCCCAGGCAGGCTTGTATCTTCTCATATTCGTTCTTCGTGCATGCAGTATGACGCCTTGATTGGGCTGCTCACGGCCCGCGAACACTTGGTGATGTATGCCCGCCTGCGCGGCGTGCCTGAGGAAGAGGTGCGAACACTGGCTGTGGTCGAGGCAGATCTGCTGTGGGTGGGTCCGCTCACGCGAGCCGCTTCCATGCTATAGGTTGGCCCGCTCGTGTCGGAGCTGATCCAAAAGCTGGATCTCAGTATGTATGCGGACAAGCCGGCTGGTACTTATTCTGGCGGCAACAAGCGCAAGCTTTCTACGGCCATTGCCATCATTGGCAATCCTGCCATCGTGTTCCTGGACGAGGTGCGAGCGAATAGGCTTGTTACTTTATTTCTGCACCCCTCCTGTGTGTTGGCTCATGGCTGTTGTTTGATCTCGGGGTGGCTTGTTTCTCATGGATTTCGGCCACACTAGCCCTCAACCGGCGTGGACCCAGCTTCGCGACGTTTCCTGTGGCGTGTACTGGACGGTGTCAAGGCCAACGGCCAATCAGTCGTGCTGACCAGTCACAGCATGGAGGAGTGCGAGGCCTTGTGCAGTCGTCTAGCTATCATGGTCAATGGCCGCTTCCGTTGCATGGGGAGCCCTGGCCACTTGCGCAACAAGTAAGGAGTGTGGGATAGCTGGCATCGTGTTCTTCCGCAGATGCTGTTCAGGCCAATTGGTTTTACGAGTGATTGGAGCCTCACGAGTGGTTCCTTGTGGTACACCCGCGACAACAGGTTTGGCAAGGGCTACCGTCTGGCCATCAAGATGCGCCCAAACAATGGCCAGGTGGGTGACACAGCTGGCATCAAACGGTTTGTGGAGGCCAACTTTGGAGGCGCTAACCTGTACGAGGAACACAATGGCTACGTACAATTTGACGTGAGTATTTGCATGGTGTGAAGCTATGAAGTGTAGCTGGTCCTATGAAGTGTAGCTGGTCCTATTATCATCAGTTGAGCGAGGTCGCGACAGCGTCGGTGATTGCTTCTGATGTTTTTGGTTGTTACACTTATGAGCTACTCTCTGTCTCTCTTCCACTTGTCTTGCTCTGATGCTTGGTACAGATTGCCGTGTTGGCCGAGAACACCTGGTCTGAGATGTTCCGCAAATTGGAGCATGCGCGCCAACAGTTTGATATCGAGGATTATTCAATCTCCGAGACGAGTCTGGAACAGGTCTTTTTGCAGTTTGCCTCGGAGCAACACTCGGACGAAGCGGAGCGTGTTGGCGACTTTAGCCGCACGTCGGCAAGCCAGAGCCAAGATCGCGTGACCACGCTATGAGTAGATGCGCGATAAGGTATATTTTGAACCACCCCCGGAGCCGACTGGGTTGCGTCACTCTGTGAGAGATTGTGAACGTGTGCACGATCGGTCATGTTGTACTGAGTTGTCAGAGTTGTGGAATTGTGTGTCTGTGTTCTCATGGGCTGCGTCTTGGCGAGCTTTGGCGTTGTACGATTGTTGATTGATATAACACACACGTCAAGACGTCAAGGGCAACCAGCTGTTGTGAATTTTCGTGTGCCTGTAATGTCAAACTCGAAATGGCATAATTGAATGCTTTGTCGACGCTTGCATGTTCGAACCACTTTCTCAATGGCAGGTTCCTCCCATTCCCATTAAATGGAAATGCCCATATTCCCACTCGCTTTGTGCTTTGTTTGCGTCCTTGCGATCGATTGGGAAGCCCACAGATGGCAAGGCAGAGAAGGAAATGAAATATTATATAATAGTCGCTGAATTGTTTTGGCCCTATCGCAGTCAACTCAGCGCGATCATGCATGCCAGGAGCTTGACACTGCCAAGCTGAAGCATTCATCGTCCAAAAACAACTCAAAGAGCATTTTATTATCAAAATCATGTTTGTACATGATGGCTCTTTCAAAGACGGGTGATGGGGTTGTCGCTCAGCGACAGTCAAGGGATCGAGGCGGGGCATAGTAGTACGGGAGCAAGGCTACGGCACGGTGACGATCTGCGGGGCTCGGGCGAGTTGGCGATGGAGCACGCGTTTGATTTCAACGCTTTCCAAGTGTGCTTGGCGCAGGCGATCTCTTTGGCCACGGATGAGACTCAGCTCACTGAAAGGATTCTCGTAGTTTGGGTCTGGTTCGTCGGTGAGCTGCATTTCTTGAAGCAGCAGTTCGAGGGCGCGGCGGTGCGATGGTTGTTCTTGGTAGATTCGGGCGGGCAGGCAGATGCGTGTTACAGCCCAGCGCACGAGATCCACACGCACGGGGTACTTGTCCACCAGCGCATGTACCTATGGTCAAGTCAGACGTGGCAGGTCCAAGGGGAAGTGAAGGGGGAAGCAAGTCAAGGTCACGGGCGAAGGAAAGGCCAATGGGGATGGTCCCGGGTCTACCTGATCGGGCAAGCGGAGCGCCAAATCGGCAAGGAAGGCTGCATTCTGCCAGACTTGAATGAGCGCTTCCAGCTGCGCGGGCTCGTCCGGAAGCTCTGGTTGCGCCACGTCAATGTTACTGGCAAGCTGGCCCTGAGCGGCATGCAGTTGGCGAAAGATCTCATCGAGCAAGGGCTTGGTGAGGGCAAATCGACGCTCAAAGAGGGGCTTGGCGAATATGTGCTCCGCTGCAGCCATGTGATGACGCCGCTTTTCGACAAAGTGCTTGACAAAGGCCTGATAGAGCCGCTCGCCCGTTGCCTCGCTGTCAGCGAGGGCGGGCTCATCAGCGGCGGCCGCAGCGCGCAAAGCCTCGAGTGTGGCCTGACCCGGCATCGCAGCATCCCCCTCCAGCGCCCCCATAGCCCCGATGAAGCAAGCCATACCCAAGACCAGGACCAGCGCCCAGTTTGAGCCAAGCCCGGGCCATGGCCGCCCACATCTAGATGACGCGCGCAGCGCAGCCATCTTGTCCAGTCGCTGGAAAAAAAAAAGTGAGAGAGAGAGGGAGAACGCGCTGGAAGCCGAGCATTATACATCCAAGGGGATGAACTTTATATTTTGAAGAAACGATGACATGCTGACTATTTATGGGATTCAAGGGTAAAAAACAACCGACTTTTGGTAAAAGTGACTGACTGACAGCTGGTCGTCAGATTTTCTGGTGCGAGAAGATCCGTTTTTAACGTTGAAACAATACAAAAACCACCCACTATCCGTTTCTTCACCTTCTCGAAGGAATGTCCCCCGCCACCCCCAGCTCCGCATCCTCTTTGCTTTCAAGCAAAGCTCGATCCAAAAAGTGGGCGGATCACCAAACAAAACAACAAAGCGTTTAGGTGTGTAGAGCGGTGTGAGCGAGAGCGAACCACACACACAAACGAAAGAGAGAGAGAGAGAGAGAGAGGGACGAGTCAGTGACTTTCCTTTTGTTGACGGCTGAGACATCAACCGCCAATGTAAGTCAACTGCAGCGCCAAACGGCAGCGCCGCTCCATGTTCATCGTTGGTTGTGAGACACGGGGACACACACACAGTCAAGGGGTTGAAACAGCGTTTGAATTGGGCCTTTGGCCAGTACCATTGCCTGTTTTGGCTTTTGGCGTTGCACTGCCAAACAAGAGCTTGGCAGACAGCCCCTGATCAAGTCCTCGAGCGCCAAGGGGCGGATCACAAAGCACCACTCGGGGTTGATCAGGCAGTCGCATCCACAGTCGTTCAGCCTTTGCAATGCTACAGTGGACTCGTGCATGGCTGTGGATGGGTGTGCCTTGTTTTGCTTGCTCAGCTTGTGTGACTGCCACTGATTCTGAACGATTTTGATTCATTGCTTTTGGCTGCTGCTGCTGCCATGTCCGTGTTTTTTGTGCCCGCGCCACATTCCATCCACCCATCAGAAGACACCACTGCTCGAGGACCTGCTCTGCTCCAATCTCATTGTTGTGGTGCGCTATTTTCTTTTTGCTCGGCCCTCGTGTGTCCGGTAGCATGGATCAAGGACGCAAGGTCTGGGCGCCCAATGTGGCCGAGGGCTTCATTCTGGGTGAAATCTCGGACTTTGGCGCCGACACCCTCACTGTTCAGCCCATCGACGGTGGCAAGGTCAGTTGCCACACCTCGACCCTTTGCCCTTCCCCCGTCCAGTTTTATTCAGTCATCTGTGATACGGCTACTTACCTCAAAACTGCGTTTCATGATGCTGTTTTAGCCCATCGATGCCCCTTACGATGCCGTCTACCCTGCAGAGGAGGAGGATGCCAAGGATGTGGCCGATAACTGTACGTATCATCGACGCAAACACCCGTGTCAAGGCTTGAGCAGTGACCGATTTCTCCGATGCTGATGGCTGTGATCCCAATGCTTCTTGCAGGCGCCCTCATGTACCTGAACGAGGCAACCCTCCTCCATAACCTGCGTCGCCGCTTCATGAAGGACGACATTTACACCTACACGGCCAACATCCTTCTGGCCATCAACCCTTACCATACCTTGGACATTTACGGCAAGGAAGTGCAGGCCCGTTACCGCGGCGCCTCGCTCGGTGTGGAGCCCCCGCACGTCTACGCCATTGGTATGTGAGCCGCACCCTTCTTGGTAAACAAACCATCGCCGAGCTACCACGCCTTACCAGCTATTTCCTCACGATGTTGCGTCGCTTGCATCATCTCCTTAGCCGACAAGGCCTACCGTGACATGCGTAACCTTCGCCTGAGCCAGGGTATCATTGTCAGTGGTGAGTCGGGTGCCGGTAAGACCGAATCCACCAAGCACATTCTGCGCTACCTTACCGACTCGTACGGTGGCGGTGGCAACGTCGCCGACCTCGAGTCGCGCATTCTGGCCGCCAACCCTTTCCTCGAGTCGTTTGGTAACGCCAAGACCACGCGTAACAACAACTCGTCGCGTTTCGGCAAGTTTGTGGAACTCCACTTCAACCGCAACGCCCTTGTTGTGGGTGCCTACATTGAGCACTACCTCCTTGAAAAGTCACGCATCATTGAGCAGTCGGACAAGGAACGTAACTACCACGTCTTTTACCGCCTTTGCAAGGGTGCCCCCGACAACGTGCGCACCGCCCTCAACCTGGGTGCCGTCGACTCGTACGAGTACCTCAAGCACGGTATCTGCACTGACGTCCAGTTCCTTGATGACAAGAAGGACTTTGCCATCATGGAAAAGTCCATGGACGACTGTGGTCTCAGCGGCGAGGAGAAGTCAAACGTCTTCCGCATCTCTGCTGCCGTGCTGCACATTGGTAACATCTCCTTCGATGATTCTGGTGATGATGGTACCGCCACCGTTGCGGCGGACAGCCAAAAGTCGCTCGAGGGTGTCGCCAAGATGCTCGGCCTCGAAAAGGATGCCTTCAGCGAGTGCATGTGCTACAACTTCCTGAACATTGCCGGTAACGAGATGAAGAAGGGCAAGACCGTCGAAGACGCGCGCTTCAACCGCAACGCCCTGGCCAAGGCCATGTACTCAAAGCTCTTCGACTGGATTGTCGCCCGTATCAACCAGTGCTTCCCCTTTGACCGCTCTGAGAACTTTATCGGTGTCCTCGATATCGCCGGCTTCGAGTACTTCCAGGTCAACAGCTTTGAGCAGTTTTGCATCAACTACTGTAACGAGAAGCTTCAGCAGTTCTTCAACGAGCGCGTCCTCAAGGACGAGCAGGAGCTCTACGTCAAGGAGTCGATCAAGTTCAAGGAGGTTGAGTTTGTGGACAACCAGGACTGCATTGACCTCATTGAGCTCAAGGGCACTGGTATCCTCTCCATCCTGGATGAGCAGTCCAAGCTGCCCCGTGCCAACGACGAGGCTTTCACCGAGAAGCTCCACCAGGTGCACAAGGATCACTTCCGCCTCCAGCTGCCCCGCAAGTCCAAGATGGCTTACTACAAGAAGCTTCGCGATGCCGAAGGCTTTATTGTTCGCCACTTTGCCGGTGCTGTCTGCTACCAGACCAACGGCTTTATCGATAAGAACAACGATGCTCTCACTTACGATCTGGCCGCCCTCATGGACAGCTCCAAGGATCCCTTCACCCGTGCTCTCTTTGAGGCCAAGGAGGGTGATCCCAAGCCTCAGAAGGGCAAGATTACCCTCATCTCCCTGGGCAGCAAGTTTATCGGCGCCCTTGGCCAGCTCATGGACAAGCTCCGCTCCACCCGCTCCTCTTTCATCCGCTGCATCAAGCCCAACCAGAAGATGCAGCCCAAGCTCTTCAGCGGCGGCGAAATTCTCTCCCAGCTGCAGTGCGCTGGCATGGTCTCCGTGCTTGACCTCATGCAGGGTGGTTTCCCCTCGCGTACGGCGTTCCAGGACCTGTACGACATGTACAAGTCGGTGCTGCCCCCTGCACTGGCCTCGCTCGACCCTCGTACCTTCGCCAAGGCCCTCTTCAAGGCCCTTGGTCTGAACGAGGACGATTTCCAGTTTGGTGTTTCCAAGGTCTTCTTCCGCCCCGGCAAGTTTGCTGAGTTTGACACCATTATGAAGTCTGACCCCGAGAACTTGCAGAAGCTGGTTGGCAAGGTCATGGAGTGGCTTGTCAAGCAGCGCTGGAAAAAGCTGGCCTGGGCTTGCGTCTCGTGCCTCAAGTTTGCCGCCAAGATTCGTGCTCGCGCTGGCTCAGCCATTACGATCCAGAAGACCGTGCTCATGTACCTTGCGCGCCGCACCCACAAGCCTCGCTACCAGGGCATCAAGCGCCTCAGCCAGTTCCGCGATCAGCTCCACACCCTCGGCGAGGTCGTGGAGAAGCTCGAGAAGAACAAAGAGAAGTTCCAGAAGATTGTCGGCGACATCAACGGCGAGCTTGATACGGCTATCAACAAGATCAAGACCTCAGACTCGATCACCCGTGATGACATCAACAACCTTGCCAAGGGCATGGAGGACAAGATGGAGAAGCAGCTGGCTGCTATCCGCAAGGAGCAGGAGAAGCAAAAGCTTCAGGCCGAGGCGGACCGTTTGAAGAAGCTGGCCGAGGAGAAGGAACGCCAGCGTAAGCAACGTGAGGACGAGGAGCGCGAACGCCAGGCTGCCGAGGAGGAGGCCCGTCGTGTCAAGGACATGGAGGCCCAGGCAAAGAAGGAGGCCGACGAGGAAGCTAAGCGCATGGAGCAACTCCGCATCCAGAAGGAGAAGGAGGAGCACAACGCCAAGCTTCAGCAGAAGCGCTCCGAGGAAGCCAAGCGCGAGGCTGAAGAGCAGGCCCGTGCCGAGCAGGAACGCCGTGACCAGGAACTGGCCATGCGTTTGGCCCAGGATCAGGCCAACCCTGATCAGGCCCTTACGGATGAGGCTCGTGAGGCCATTGCCAAGGGCCCCGCCGTTAAGCGCAAGAACCTGCGTGCCGTTACCCACTCGAGCAAGAACGTCGAGAAGGCGCACAAGCGCCACGACCTCAGCAAGTGGAAGTATGCCGATCTCCGCGACACGATCAACACGTCGTGCGACATTGACCTGCTCGAGGCTTGCCGTGAGGAGTTCCATCGTCGTCTGAAGGTATACCACGCTTGGAAGATGAAGAACCAGCAGAAGCAGGCTGCTCAGCAGTCGCGCACGCCCTCTGCTCTGCACCAGGCGGCTACATCGCGCTCGGCGGCCCCTGCGCCCCCGGCCAAGGCCAAGGCCAAGAAAGGCGAGCTGCCCCAGCGCTACTTCCGCATCCCCTTTGTTCGTCCCGATCAGGACAAGAAGGCTGGTTACCAGAAGAAGGGCTGGTGGTTCGCTCACTTCCACGGTCAGTGGATCGCCCGCCAGATGGAGCTGCACCCCGACAAGCCCCCGGTCCTTCTCGTGGCTGGCAAGGACGACATGGAGATGTGCGAGCTCAGCCTCGACGAGACAGGTCTGTCCCGCAAGCGCGGTGCTGAGATTCTGGCTCGCGAGTTCGAGGAGGAGTGGAAGAAGCACGGCGGCCAGCCCTATGTCGTGGCCACGCCTGCCAAGAAGTAAACACTTTTGTCGTCGCTTCAGGATGGACGTGTGGGGTCCAGTTGCGTTGCCGAATCAGTTTGTTTGTTAATTTTTGTACTGATTGGCTTACGCTTTAGTGTTTGCGTTGGCTTCTTGTTCCTTTCTTTCTAAATGTTACTGCGGCGAGGTGTTGCCCTTTTTTGTTAAGCACGGAACACGATGACCCGCCCTCAAATGACAACTGTTTACGAATTGAGACCCTTGGTTTTATTTCCTGTGCTGACCACAACCAGCTCGCCAAGAGGCTAATCACAATTAGCGATGCGATGTGCCATTTGTCAGATTAATTTCCAACAACATGCACTTTTGATTTTTTCTTTTTGGCCAACACCGCCAATACCTAGGACTGCCTGCCTGCCCGCCTGCCTGCCTGTTCGACGGCCAATCCTGGTCACTGTCGGCCGTGGTCATTCAAAGGAACCGTGCATGATGGAGGCTGGGTCTGGGGATTTTGTGCCACCCTTTGAAGCTCCAAAAGATGGCGAAGAGCTGAGCTCTTGGACGTTTTGGCAGTTTTTTCTCGAGAATGTCAGTCTGAGGGCCAGCGAGCTGCTGTGCCATGCCTCTCTCTCTCCTGCCCGAGCCTCTAGTTGCACCTCATTCGCGCAATGCCCTGTTTGTGGTGCATCCCATACAAGGTCGATTGGACAGAACCACTTTTGGCCGGCCTGATTGCCTTCCACCTCCTTTGCTTTATGATCATTCTAACCACGAAACGGTTTCAGACCTTCCAGCTACTCTTTGGCACCGCACTCGGTCCGTCTGCATGTGCCCCTGTGGTCACGCAGCTGCCGTGGTCCAAGGTTGCCCTCATACTCAATCCGTCCTTTTCTGAACGCCAATGCAAACCTATTTGCCAGGGTGTCTTGTTCTATGCGCGGAGCAGATCAACGAATACGGTGCTCTCCACTGGGAGTATGTTGATGGCCCCCTGATATCTCGCAATCGCTCAACGATCATGCTTTCAGATCCACTACTCATCTTGGCAACCCCCTCTTTGTTTTTTCTCATAGAGAGCTAGCACAGCACCAGTATTTTGATTCTTATGGATTCTTCATCTCGATTGTCTTCTCCTTGCCCATCCTTCTCAACTGTCTGCTCTTGGTGGTACGCACGCACTTGTCACATTTGTACTTGACTGCCAAGCCCTCCTGCTGTGGCTCCAATCTCATGCTAGCTCCCGAATAAACCAGATTATTTGGGTTACCGATGCTTCTGGCATGCTGGTCAGTCTCAAGCGTCAGCAGCTGTTGGCCCGGCGTGCTGCTACAGCCAAAGCACAGGCACAGCTTGAGCCCGAAGCTGAGGCTGAGGCCATTACTCCCTCTCCTGAAGCTGCTGATGTGGACTCGCCAAGCTCAACCCAAAATAAGAAAATTCAGTAAACTGATAGGCGTGCCGTCATCGTTAGTCACCGATCAAATCGAATAAGTTCAGGACTGTGACCCTTTCCTTTCTTGTTGACTCGCTCCGACTGGTGACAGCGGTCGGAACTTTCTTTCCAACGTCAGAGACAAGCTTCGATTGCATTGTTGTTAAGTCGCCTAGGCGTTGAGTCAAGGGTGAAGACTGGGGGTAGGGAAAGACAGCGAAACGCAGCCAAAAACCAGAATACGAAAGTAAACCTTGAGCAGGCTTTTAAAAACGACACAAAGTGGGCCTTGGGCCCAAGTCAAGCCAAAAGTGCACCGTGCACTCTTCTGACATGACAAGAGAAAAAAAATAAAAATCATCAGATAGAAAATCATCAGATAGACCTTGGGTTGGTGGCTTGGAAACACAAAAGCCGAAAACAGGTCGGTTAGAGTTCGATCAAATCTTCTCAATCCAAGACAACGCAGGATCGAAGGAAAACGGTAAAATGCACATTGGAATAGAAACGAGAATGTTCAGACAAGCTGCCTCGGCGGCAAGCAGGCCCCAGTGTCAAAAGGAAAAAAAAAAAAATACAACAGTGGCTCAAGCCACAGCAAAATCACCTTGGTAGGAAAAAAAAAGAATACCCACATGTTCAAAAAGAGAGGGAAAAAAAAAAAAAGACGTCTGCAATCAAGGGCTCTCATTCATTCATGCAAGATGTCCATTCCACTGGTTGGGGTGAGTCGAGAGTCACCGTGGGGAGTGACGCCGCGTTTGCGCTTGGGCAAAATACGTTCCGGCCCGTAAGCGCTGCTGACACCCGAGATCATGGAGCTGGGAGTAGTAGTCCAGCTGCGCTCTCCTGGCAAAGGAGAGAATGCCTGGTTTCCTGTCGCCAAGTGTTGAAAGTTGGTTGGTGCGGAAATTCCGGCCTTCAGGGAGGAACGAGAACGAGGGGTCGTGTCTTCGCCGTCATCTTCCTCCGTGGCGAGGTCCACCGCAAACACCGGGTTGTGGAAAGCACGCTTAGACTTGTAACGGGGCTGTGCCAAGTAAGATGCTGGTAGTCGTCGGTAGTTCCACAACAACCAAGCGCTCACAGCAAGCAACACTGACAGCAGAATGGCACCAATGACGAGCAGAGCCGTCACGGCTGAAGCAGCGGCCTTGTCACAGCCTGAGCTGGCCGCAGCGGGTGCAGCCGTCGTCTGGGTCGCAGAGCCAGTGAGACCGACTTGCACGTCTTGAGCCACCACACAGCCACCAACAGTGCGGCTACGGCCCGCACCAGGCAGAGTCACGCATGCCAGGTTGTCCCAGGTCAAATTAGTGCGAGAAGCATCATAGGCCGTGATGACCAGGGCTCCTTCTGCAAATGGGCTGACAATCCAAGGACTGTGACCAGCGAAGTTGGCGAATTGCCAGAGCGGACAAGTGATGCATTCAGACAAGCACAAGCCAATGAAACCGCACAGCGAGACACCGAGAGAGAACAGCCTTGATGTTGGGGCATTGGGGTGCGATAATGAATACGCACCTGGTGCAGTTGGTCCAGTTTAAATCAGCTGGACGAGTGGCGATGCCCGAGTCCAAGGCACAGGCCCCCACTGGAAACGACCAGGCTACTACAATGCCCTGATCAGTCCAGAAAGCAGAGACAATCGAGATCTCGGTCCCTTTAGCTTCTGTATAAGAATGATGCACGCAAAGACAAAAAAAAAGAATCAAGGGGCATGTCAGCTCATGAGTTGGGTGCATGCCCGCCCCATTTGCCGGTGTTGAAGTAGGCCTCCCAGGACACTCGGTTGTTGACGTACCACGGGAGACGTTGTAGGATCGGGTGGGGCCCAGGTTGCCGGCCGTATCCATCGCCTGAAACGACAAGTGCATGGTCGTGCCGGCTGCGACGGTGACATTTACGGTGGCCATAGCGTAGCCATTGTCAACCTCTGGATCCAAAGGCAACGCGGCCCATTCACTGGTTGAGCCTGTCAATGGGCATGTGGCGCCGTCGCAATTGAAGCGCCAGAGGAGTTGCGCCAGTAGATCACTCGGCTCATTGCTCGTCAATCGGACCTCCACGTCATCGTCGGGCGCATTCGATGCCACTTCTCGAAAAGGCCCACTCACAAATGCCACGTCCGGGGCCTTGCCATCTACTCGTAAGCATGCGACCAGATAACAGAGTACTTAGAGCATGGATTCAGATATGCTGCAAGGCGAAGGCACCGTACCGAAAAAGACGGCAATCGCATCGACTGGCTCGCCCATGGCTGGGCCATCCCCGTCCTGAACCTGAAGCACAATGGTGGCCTTCAGCTGCTCAGCGTCTGCGTGAGTTGCCGAAAAAGATTCCCAAGACGGGAGCTGCACGCTATCCAGAGGCAGGTCGGGCTGACGAATGACGGCAATTTCTCGGCCTTTGAGACCGCTTGCTAACAGGGGCGCAAAGGTGGTGTCCCAAGAAGCAAGCCCGGGTCTTGTTTGATCTATCTCAAACTCCATCGTATTCTGCTCCTGATTCACCTAGATACCACGGCGGCGTTATGGCAGCATGCGCAAAGCGCACCATTGCCACAATTGCATTAAATCGTGACGCGAGACAGCGCTTGACCAAGCGTCCCCTCTTTTATCTATCGTTTGAGCAACGCCTTGCGCATTCTACACTGCGTTGCAAGACGCACCTGAATAGTGCTGGGCGTGACCAGCGGAACAAGCGCCACCAACTCATTCTGGACGTGCGTCCAGTCCGCGTTCGTCATGGGGGCCATGTCGGAAGCCAATTCGAGCACAAAGGACCCATGCGCGAGGCCACATGTGCTATTCAATCCTGCTGGCACATCGATGGCTTGCTGGCTACCATCGGCTGCCACAGCCCACATCTCGGTCACCACGCATCGTAAGGCGCAAGAGGGCTTTGTGCAAGCGACTCGCACAGGCACCAAGGGCTTGGCCACGTGCTCCGGCAGGGGGTCCCAGAACATGGCCGTTGGGGCTGACGAGTCTATGAAAGAGACCAGAGTCGATGCAAGAGTCGGTCACAGCGTACATGCTCGCGGGACAGGGGAACAGCGCGATAAGACTCACCAACAAGCCAAGTGCGTTGGCGCGAGGGGCCTGCGTTACCAGCCTGATCCATCGGTGTGACATCCACAAGCACGCTGCTGCTGGCCGCAACTAGCCCTTGCGCTGCGCCCGAGAGAGTTGAGGGGAGGTTGAGCGGCGAAGAGCAATTATCAATCGCAATGTCAACTTGCTGGCCAACAATGCGGCAGCTGTATCGGATGTCCGGCTCTGGGCTTTCAAATAGGACGCGCACATCTGATGAGGGAGTAACAAAGTCGACCGAGGACAGTTGGTTTTGTAGCACTCCATCAATCACGAAAGGGCGAACAAATCGAAAATCAATGGTATCGTTCACCAGGGGAACGGCGGTCACAGATGTGGTGGGTGGCATGGCGTCTGCGCGGGAAGGAGGGTTGATCGTGGCCAGGGGCCAGCAAGCCAAGCAAATTTAAAGTGAGAAGTTTCCAGTGCTGGTTTTAGCCGACCAGACTAGAGCAAACAGCGAGCCCTGTACGTACCATAAATCCAGCTCACATTCAGGACAGGGCCGACGTTGCCAGCCAGATCGGTCGGGCGCAGCTCGACCCAATGTTGGAAGTACGTTGCCTGTACACAGGCGAACGTCTCTGCATCCATGTGTGCGCTGAAGCTACCACAAGCAGCGACATCATAGCTGCGCGGCGTCATGTCACAGATTTCAAGAATGCCAGCGGCACAGGCGTCGGTGCCAAAGTACCAGTCGTCCATGGCACAGCCCGCAGCAAGCGCCAGGCTACAGGGAGAGGGGGTGCTGGTATATGTTTGAGGGTCTATGCTCCCAGCCACATCTATCATCGACACCACAAACGGGCTGACGCAAGCTTCAGCTGCCATGCACGTCGTAGAAAGGGCACCGCCATTGGAGCTTTGAAAACAGTAGCGGCAAGACACGGCAGAAGCTTCAGACAACTGGAAGGAGACAGTGGCTTGCAGGTTGGCAGATACTGCAGCCGGCTGCTCCAGCACGATCACGGTCGGTGCAGTCACGTCGATGGTAAAAGCGCTAGAAGTCACGGCGCGCGTAGCATCCAAGTTGGTCTGCGCATTGCCAGCAGCATCCACCGCATACACTTCAAAAAGATACGGCCCCGAAACAAGATTGGAAAAGCTCACGTGGGTGGTGCATGGCGCAAAGATGTTGAGTTTGCGTGTTGCTGTCAAAAGACAAGCCTCATCATTTGCACCAGCTGTAGTGACCGAGACTGGTTGGCAAGCGAGGCGGCAATAAAACGCCACGTCGGCCTCGGTCGCACTTAAAGTGAAGTGTACCTCGGTCTGATTGGTGAGGCCCGACACAGCAGATCCGGGACCATCCTCAACTAGCGCCACGGGCGCGGTGGCATCCACAGTCCACGCCAGGGAAGTGACAGGCCCGACGTTGTTTGCAGCATCACGGCCACGCACATGCACAAGGTGGCGCCCTTCAGTGAGGCCAGCCAGGTTGATGGTTGACGCGCAGGCGTGAAAAACAGCAGTCGCTTGCCCGCATGCGGTGGTTGTGGCCGAAGAAACGAGACGTGTGGCCGTACAAACACTGCTTTCAGTCCGGCAAGCCAGCTCTACGCCACGAGCGCAGTTGAAACTGCACTCCCACGTCGTGCTGTTATCGGCAGTAGTGTCCACGAGCATCAGCTGAGCAGTGGTGCTTTGCGTGCGACGCACAGCCCCGAGTACTGGGGAGTTGAGGGATGCGTAAACGCGAGGGGCTTGGGTGTCGACGTGAAACTGATGATGCAGAGCGGTTCCAGCGTAGTCAGACGCCCCGTAGGGCACCACGTCCAAAGTGTAATAGCCATCCGAGAGGGGAGTGATGGCGCCCAGCACCACGCGAGCGGTCAAGCGGCCCGAAGCGCCCGCAGACAGTAGCTCGTATGTCAAATCAGTGGAACCCGCTTGCCCCAACCGGGAAAGGCGAGCCTCGAGGCGGCGTACGTGACCAAGTGTAAACAAGATTTCCAAGCGCGTGTTTGCGGTGACGAGAGGAAGGGCCGTCGTTGGCTCGAAGACCAGGTCGGATTGGTTGCCGATGTCCCATGTTAGCGCAGGCGCTTGCAGCGTGGCGGTATTATTGGCCGCGTCTACCACCTCGATGCTCAGAAGGTGATGGGAGCCCAAGTTGCCAGTGCGTACTTGAATCACACCGGTGTTGGAACAGTCGGCTGGTCGACCATTCAAGTGGCAAATGGCCAGGGGCTGATGAGTGGGACCGAGCTCATCCACGGCCCAGACGAATTCCAGAGTGGCATTGGCGGCAACAGGTTTGAAGGGTTGGGCTACCAGCGCAACACTGGGCGTTCGGCGGTCAATCACCCACGCAAAAGCACGGAAAGCACCACGATTTCCAGCCCGATCGTATGCTTGGACGGCGAAGGTGTATGTGCGCGTGGCTCCAACAGCAACGGGGCTCATGCTGGCTTGGTACGGTCGGTAGTTGTAGACATTGATGCGGCGGTTGTCCATATCATCTGAAAAGTTTCCATCTGCTGCAAAGGTTGGCCCTGACGCGGGCACCGCCTGCACACCACCACCACCGCCGCGAGCATCTCGATGAGTTGTGACGCCGATGTGAGTCGCAGATTGTGCAAAGACGCCGGCAACAGGTGCGACTGAATGACGAGGAAACGCTCTTACCGGTGTAATGGGATAACCATCGAGGTGAAGCTCAAATGCAAAGCCATGACAATCTTCAGCGCGGCCTGCGTGGTAGATTCAGAAGCAGACATGAGCATCGAGACACCAAATGCCAAAGAACACGGCATCAAACTGCTGTGGTGTCGTGACTCGTGGCAAAATCTCATGCACGCCGGCTCGAGGGCATACCAAGGTGGTCCACGAATGAAGTGGCACCGAGGTCGTCATCTGGCTCGACATCCCAGGAAATGACGACGTCACCCCGGGCCGTGCGAGTGGGGCCAGCCACAAACTGGACGGTATTTCCCTCAAGGTCTAGTAGGGCAGAGCGCGGTCAGTTGTGGGCGATGCAAGGTAATCAGCCTTTGGGCCAACACCCTCAGCATCCGGACTGCATGCAACGTTTTGGCAGTGCCACCACCAACTGTGTTCGGGTGAAACAGAAAAACAAGAGCAGTCTTTATGGCCGAACCTTGGAACCAGATGTAGTTGGCTAGCGGGCTGAGATTACCAGCACGGTCCTGAGCACGGGCCTGAAAGAGCTGAAGGCCATGGGATATGTCGCCTGCTGGGAAAGCCACACGCACAACCTCTCCTGCTTGAGAGCTGCCACAGAGTTGCCAGTTGGCGTCCTGGTCAAGAATCTGTTGGCGCACGATGCTCAGGATGCTTGCGGAGGCGTTGAGTGCCCCCAAGGCAGTAGAGAGACTCTCAAGCAGCCTCGCTCCTGTCCAGTCGAAAGTTACGGTTTGCAAACCTTCCCAGGCTTGTTGCAACATGGTCTGGGCGGTCGTTGCAGCTGCTTCACTCTGAAGCGCCAGCCAATGCTGGAGGGCGGTGTCGGTCCAATTGGTGAGGGCACCTGCAAATGTCCCCAGCTCAGCATTGTAAGCCATGACGCGGCACTGCATGATCACTGGGAACTCGTTGCTTTCAAGCTCAAAGAAGGTCGGCTCGGTGTTGGGATTGTGGCAAGGCGGGGGGCCGCGCCCAAGGATCTGGCCATCCATCGCTTCGTATTGCCCGATCGTGATGGTGGGTGCGAGAGCGTCTGCTCTCGTCATGGGTGCATTGCAAGAACGGCGCATGTGAGTCACAGACGGCGTTGAGCACCCATCGCGCAGTCATGCGCATCCACTTACCGATCGTCCATCGATAGGTGGCCCACGGCGCCGCTGCATTCTGTTGCCGCGCACCGTTGACCAGTGGTACTAGGCGTACTAGGAGAGCCTCGTCTCCGGCACTCTGGAGCTGGGGCAGTTTGGCGCAAGAGCCGGCACTCAAAAACCACATCAATGCCTAATTGCCCGGCCCAGGAGCTGGGGGTTGTCGGCGAGCGTGACAGAAAAAAGGTGGTGGCCTGTTGCTTGCCAGGTAGTGTGGCAGCGAGCTTGGTTGAAGCATTGCTACCACCGCTGGGCAGGGTCATGGGAAACTGGTGGGAGGCAAGCACGGGCAACGCGAGTGAGCGGCCAGGGGCGCTGGGCGGGTGGGCGAGGGCAGGAGTAGCAGTACCTGAAGGTCCACATGACTATCCACATTGCACCAGCCCGCGGACAGGGCGTCGCAAGAGGCCAAAACGGTCGATGTTTGCAGGCATAGGATGAGCAACAGCCCAAGCCATACAGCCGTAGCAGCGCAGCCGACCCAGGCTCTCGGGGCCCGAGACGGGTGGCGCTGAGGCAACCCCATCGGCATGGCCATGCCAAGAGGATGAAGAAGCCAAACCGCTTCCCTTCAGCTGATATTCCCAGCCCTTTATGAGGTGTTCTTAACCTGTGGACGGTGGTAGTCGCGCCCACACATGCATGGTGATGGAGCCAGCCGCACCCCTGAGCCTCTTAATTTTCATCGATGAACATAGGCGGTGGCCTGGATCAACAACAGCCCATGGGGTGACTCTGTTGGTCGGATGTGAAAATGGCCCGCACAAGCTGCGCTGGGCTATGGAAGAACACACGAGCACAAGGGCCACGTTTCCAATGGATCGGCGCTCAATCCAACGACGGCGGCGCGGTGCGCAAATGAGGGCAGGGTGCGGCGCATCCGCCTTCTTCTAAATCCTTTTAGTTTGCTGCATTTACTTACTTTATTAGATTAACGAATCTGCATAAACATCATATATAGATACATTAACCGTATAAAACATCCACCCAGTCAGACGCTGCAACAAGCCAAATAATCTCTTCACAAACTCTGGGAAGCTTAGCAAGAAGTTAATGTTCTGGGCCTTATACATGTACATAAACCCTCTATGTTGATACATAAAGTACAACAAGGATGACAATAAGCTGTCTACAAAGTCAAATACACCTCTTGTATGTAAACCGGGTTACCAACTGTCAGTAAGCCATCTATCCCTCTCTCAATTCATTCTCTCTCTCTTTCATTTCTTCTGTTTTGTGCTGAATTTGACCGCAACGGCAGTCGGGTCAGACCCAGCTTGGCGCGTGCTTTGCCCCTAACTCGTTTGTGAGCGCAGGCGACTTGACTCTTGCTGGTCAGTGGCAGTGCATTTCTTGCTAGCTCCTGCGCTTGTGGATGTGGTCCTCACTTTCTTGCTTATCTTGTTGCACGCCGTCACTTCAAGTAGCCCAGTAGTGCGGCCCAGTGGTGCGCACTCGTTCGGTTTTTCCTCGGCGCACAGCAATACAACTCCGTCAAGACCCAAGTCATGGACTTCTTGTTGGGCCTGGTCGGTGCCGACTTTGTGTTGGTGGCGGCTGATACTGCACAGATTCGCAGTGTTGTGCGCATGAAATCAGGTCCGCTTTCACCCAGTAGCCTCGGGGGTTCCGCCACGTCATTCACGACGAGCTGCAGACCTCTCAGCGTTGGGCTCATCGTATCGATGCCATTTGCATAGACTTGGATAAGACTATGAAGCTGACGGACAAGACTATGATGCTCCTGGCTGGCTCTGGTTCGTGCCCACCGTCTCGCTCTTGAGCTTTGCGTCACCGTTGCCACTCGGCCTTGCCAGTCACAGTTTGGACACCCAGTGAGCCGGTGGCTGACAGCCTTTGTACCGGTGGTCTCGTCACTCACACGTTTGGGTCCCTGTCGCCTCAATGTGTGCAGTTGGCGCGTGCAGCAACTTTGGCGACTTGATGGCCAAGAACATCAAGCTGAATGGCATTCGCAACGGCTACGACCACTCACCTGCTGAGTGCGCCAACTTTGTGCGCAAGTCACTGGCAGATGCTCTCCGTACTCGAGTACGTCCCACTTCAAGACACACATTTGTTCAAACATCACACTTCGCGTACCCCTCCCCGTTTTCCTCCGTAGCCTGGGGCTGGTCTCATTTCCGATCATATCACACGCATGCATGCGTTTTCAAGGGTCGCTCATCCCCGTCTGACTTCTCTCTTCTCTTTGTCATTCGCTAGGAGGCCTATCAGGTCAATTTGCTGCTTGGTGGCTACGATGCCCACGATGGACCAGAACTCTACTACATCGACTACTTTGGTGCCATGGCCAAGGTGCCCTTTGGAGCCCATGGCTATGGTTCCTTCTTTACACTGGCCACTCTGGACCGTCACTACAAAGAAGGCATGAACTTTGAAGAGGCCAAGGACGTCATGCGCAAGTGCATCGAGGAGGTTCGTTCTTATCGAGTTTTGGCATGGGCTGTTTTGACTGAACCGCTTGTGCTGTTGTTCTTGAACAATTTTGTGCCAACAAAAACAAATACGCGCTTCCGCATCTCGCGCAATTCACGTCCTCCCGTACTGTCCTAACCTTGTGCCATGCTCATCTCGACAGGTGCGCACGCGCTTCATCGTCAACATGCCAGCCTTTACCGTGCGCGTTATCGACCGTGAGGGCACGCACGAGGTCACTCTTTAAGCATACCACCACCCAATCTTCGTGTCACTTGTCCCAGCATCCGCTGGTGTCTGTCCTTGAGCGTATCATTTTGCCCTTGCCGGCCTGAAGCTGGCGGTATCGACGATGGGCTATTTTTGTGACCTGTGTTGTAGCGTTTCATGCATGTCGCCCCTCGTGCGCCTCGTTTCTTGGCAATTCTTGTTCCTCTTTCCTTCCTTCCGCGCGCCCTCTCTCTCTCTTCTTTCGACTCCGTGTCACACTTTCTCCCATTTTAATTGTTGCTGTTTTGTCATTTTTCGTCTATGCCCGGCTTGGGTATGCCTTTGGGTGAGTTTGGGCTGCAACGCGGCCATCGCCCCGCCTTCCATGCATCCAAGCAATTGACCTGCACGCTTTTCATAAAACAAATAAATAAATAAAAACACACCTTTCCAGTCAAGCTCGGCATGCTCAGTTCACCCATCAGCACACATGTTTTACCACAACACCGCTTGCCACGACACCAGTCGTAAATTAATCCCTTTTACTGCCGTTTGGGGCTTGGCCAGATTGAAGCATCAAAGTACATCGCCATGTAACACTTTTTTTGTGTAACTCCTCATAACACAAACCAAAAGAAAGTCTAAAAAAGAAAGGGTTATGCAACACCTGCACGAAGGGATGACCGGATGACTGGCGCACAAAGTCTTGTAGGCGAGGACCAGAGCGCATTTTAAAGCCTTGCGCATCGTGGGCATCACGGCGAGACGGCGAGACTGATTGAAGATGGCACGATATCACCCTTTTTATCACGGGCCGCTGTCCAACTGGCACATGGCCAGGTTTGTGGACACAAACCTGGGACGCACGTTCAGCTGCGTGGAACAATACATGATGTATCGCAAAGCCATCTTGTTTGGTGATGCCGAGTACGCCGAAGCCATTATGGAGGCCACCACGCCGCGTGAGCACAAGGCTTTGGGCCGACACGTGCGCAACTTTGACGAAGAAACTTGGAAAGCTCACCGCCGGGAGATTGTGCGTTCGGGTGTTTTGCTCAAGTTTGCCCAGAATCCCGAACTCAAAGCTGAATTGCTGTCACACCCGGCACACACGGTCTTTGTTGAAGCCAGCCCCCGGGATCGCATCTGGGGCATTGGCCTGGACGTCAAAAACCCTGCATGCCATGACCCCCAGAAATGGCGGGGACTGAATCTCTTGGGCCAAGCCCTCACCGAAGCTGCCGAGCAGCTCCGCCAAGCATGAGTAGACTGACGCATTAATAATAATTGAAGATTGAATCGAATTACATTCTGAATTGACATGTGAGGCTTAACATTGGAAAACATCACTCAACGTAAATTGACCTGTCGAATAACATTGTGTGAGCTCGTGCCGAAGTTGGCCACTCGCTGCTCTCTTACTCTTCAAGATTAGAAACGCTGCAGTTTGCAACGTCATTGGTGCTTGGCACCGGCGATCCTCCACCATACCATCAATCTGGTAAAAGCCTTGACTCACAGTCGCCCCGTCATCGGCGATGGCGGGGTGTGTAGGTGGTACTATCGTGCAGCCGGACTTGCGGACGATAGACATCGTGCGACTCGGTCAGCAGATTCAGCGGGCACCTGGCATCACCGCCATCGTATGCCAGTGTGCAGGGTGCGATCTGGACTTCATAAAAATTCCAATGCAAGGTGCCATCTGCTTTCAGATCAAACACACCATAGCCGGGTCGCGCCAGCCGCGAGGCCGAGTAAGCGGGCATTTTAGCCCAATCGGCATAAATATTGTGGCCTCCCGAACCCACCACGAGGTGCACCATGCCATGGTTGTCATCGCGTTGACCATGTGCCAGGGGGTACATTCTCTCGTAAACGTGGTCATGACCCGTGAGGAGAAAGTCGACTTGATGGTCGAGCAGGACCTGCTCCAACGAGTCACGCAACTCCTGCATCTGAGCGGGCTTCATGTCATGTTTGTGATCATGCCCACGTAGATGGGAGACGTACATGGGGAAATGCCACATAACCATGATCCAGGGATGGGCTTCGGGGTTGGCGGTGCGGCGAGCTTGGGCAGCAGCCAGGTCCTGAACCAACCACTTGTACTGATCGGTTCCAGGACCATGCGGGGCCATGGAGTCCACAATAGCCACGTGAATGCCAAAGGTGTCATAGCTGTACCAATGCTCGCTGGAGGAGCCGCTGGCCCGAGCCGCCAGGTCGTTGGGCAAGCGCATCTTGTAAGCCTCGCGAACGACGTGATTCTCCGACTCGTGGTTGCCAAGACAGGTTTGATAAAGCAGTTGGGCCACAATGGGCTGGGCTCGATTAAAGTAGGTGCTGAGGCCGTTAAGGTCAAAGGCATAGGAGACGTCGCCCGGGTGAAGCCACATGGACAGGTTCGCTTCATATCTCAGAGCTTGCATCACCATGGGAGCGGAGTAGGAGAGGCCCAGATCGCCGACAAGCGCAATGCGGGCAGAACTGAGGGTGTCTATTGGCATGCGGATGTGATACACCGCGGTAGCCGCGCGCCCGTTGAAAACGCGGTAATAGACGTCCGTGTTGGGGGTTGCGGTCAGCATGGCCGCATAAAAGGTCATGTGCAGCGTGTCATAGTCATGGTCGACGCGCTCACTCGCCACCGCCAGATTGTTCAGGTCCTCGGCGTGAAAGCCAAAACGGACCTGAACCAAAGTAGTGGGACCACTGATCCCAAAGGAGATGGCCAGCTCGCCCGCGCGGCCCGTGACAGCGCCAAAGACCTGCTCCGGCACCTGCTCATGGGTGTGGTGGGCACTGGCCACATCACAGGTGCATTCTGTGCATGTGGCAAGATAGCCGAACACGGTCTGGCAATTGGTCGAACCACTGCCACAGTGCTGGTGCCCCGTGGAGCACTGGGGTCCCTCACAGATGGGTCGCTCAGGCGTGCACAAGCAATGCGCGTCTGTGCCTCGGTGCGACACCACGGCCTGCTCGCCATTCTCGCACAGAGGTCGAGCCTGACCCCCATACTCTCCCACAAGGCCAAGCGCAACCATCACCACAAACGCCATTCGTACCGCCATCCTCACTCGTCTCAGTTGGAGCTGCCTCCACCTCGTTTCCTTGATGGGTATTGCGTTCCCTCCAGCCTCCAGCCTCCAGCCTTGGCGAGCAAAAGCCGGAAACAGCAAACTGCAGGTGGTGCAATAGTGTGTGTGTGTGTGAGTGTGTGTGTGATAACTTGACGTGTGTATGTCAGAAAAAATGTAACACCCGATATTAATTTAAAGTTTGTTTTTCGATGGTGTGGCATTGGAGAATCACAAGTTGGGGCAGGTACAGATAAGTCGTGTTGGCAGACATGCCACCCACCAAACTGCTAGCGCGTCAGTTCCCGCGCTCAGCGCGCATGAAAAAAACAAGTCAGAAAGACGCGACTCGAAAGCAGAGACTAGCTTATATCCGCTGGTTCCACATGCTCTCGGTATCAAACATGCTGTCAGCAACGGTGTAGGCATCATCATCATCATCATCATCCACGTCGCCCTCACCGTAGCCATCGTAGTACGGTCCCCCGCGGCCTGAATCTAGCGGGGCAGTCTTCCAAAGGGATAGCACGTCTGAGCCCGAGCCCGAGCCCAAAGCCTCAACATCGGCCTTGGAGGACTTGGACGGACGCTCGGTCAAGGTGCACTGAAGAGTCAAGTTGTCATCGTCATCCTCTTCGTCCTCATCCTTGGCCGTGGCACCAAGCGAGGCCATGGCGGCTGCTCGTTGGCGCGTTGAGCTAAACATCAAGGCCACTGGATCCTCCTCGGGCTCAGTTGCCTCAGCACCCACTTCGTCGGCCGCAGGCGTGGGTCGATGAGTCGATACGTCGGGTTGAAGCATGGCCGATGAAGATTTGACGCCACCTTTGGATCCGGGTGATGATCAATGCATAAGTTGTGGCCCGGGAAGCCAGTGAGCGAGGCGAGGTGCGCGGCCGGCGAGCAGGAGCGAGCGTCTACCTAGCTTTTCTGGATCATATTGCTCTGCAAGCTGCCGACGCCACGATTCGGCCACAGCTAGACAATAGCAGAAATCAATATGCGGTCAGTCACAGGGGGGAGAGGTGTTGAAAAAAAAACGAAAAAAAAAAAAAAAAAAAAAACAGGAGAGAAGAGATCAATGTCAAACAGAGGCAGGCAAGCAGTTGGGCAAGTCGAGAAACGCGGCGTGGTGGCGGAATGTGAAGAACATGTCAGACCTGGGTCGGGCATGTGAAGTGTCGCGGCCTCGGCTTCGAGGAGCGCATCTTCTGCGAAATTTGTTAAACCCCATGGTATAGGCGATCAGGTTGTATCTGGCCATGTCAGCGGGAACGATCGAGCAGCTACGGGATCGAGCAAATGGCGAACCAACCATCAAGTGCAGCTCGCCCATCGGATGACATGGTATCCGTGGTGTTGGGCTCTGAGTTCTTCTGTGTTGAATTTGGTGCAGAAGGCTGAGTTGAAGCACTGGAACCTTGTCGACCGGACTGTGTTGTTTGCACTGGAGACACGGCTTGGGGCTGAGCCGGCAGGGCCGGGGTGGCCAGCTCCTCAGATTCATCCCAAGCAGCATTGGCAGCTACTGTCATGTAGACCAGGCAGGTCGGAAAAAGCAGGCGTGGGCAAGCGAGGCCAGGTGAGAGGGCCAGCAGAGTAACAAGCCCAAACTCTGATGCAAGGCAGCGAAGAAGCGCAGGATGAATGCGAGGCACCTTGGCGTGCACGTGAGCGACGGCTGTGGCCTGGGACATGACTAGAACGGTGGCTGGTGTTGGTTGCTGTTGCCGCAAGCGAACTTGAACACTTTTGAGGGGGGCGACGCTTGGATGCCGAGGTTTCAGCCGCCTTGGCTGCCACGGTCTGCCCACGTCCAAGACCGTGAGCCAGAGAATGGCGGTCGGGTTGCAATTGCAAGCCGAGGCGTAGCAGGCGACGACGGATTCAGCGACGGCGATTTCGCACCTTGCCTTCCTTGGCAGCCACACGATTACGTATCGCGCGATAGAGGAAGCGGAGGGGATCTTCGGGCTTGGTCGAAAGGAGCTCCAGCATCAGATCCTGCGCATTTCATCGATGTGAGACAGCAGCGATGATGGGACACAAGGATACGGGGCAGATAAGGGGTAAAGCTGACGACAGCGTACAGCAAAGAGATCATTGAGATCAAACCGATCTACGTATCGCTGGTCCTCTTCGCTCAGAGCCATGGTCGGTCTTGCTACGCCGGGTCACGCAGGGGTTTTCTGTTTGCTTTATTAAAACCTCTCTCTCTGAATTTTGAACAAACAACCAGATGATCCAGACAACGAAAACAGTGAGTGTGGGTGAAAATTTGAAGCTGTGTATCCGGATGCTACCACTTGATAGACGAGCAGTCGATGTTGCTACCAACTGTCCTTGCTTCTTCTGTTCCCACTCTTACAATGGGATGGGACGTTGCGCGAGACGTGAAAATGGCAGCCTGCTGTGCGATGTGATAGGACGCCGTGGGGACACAGCGGCGCTCGGGCGGACTTCTCTTTCCATCCGAGGTCGAGGCCAATGAGCAGCCGGAGACCGGGATCGTCATGTCGACGTTCGGTAGGCATCGCCTTTCCAATCCTTGACAGACAGTGTAGGGAGATTGTGGCGAGTACCGCGACCTTGGTTGGTGTCATGCAGTTTGCTGCGGGACAAGCCAATGAGGCCATTTCGTCGAACAGACCCCCATTGATCCACATGCTCAGGTCAATACGTCTTACCAGCCCCGCCAGCCCCCGCCGGCCCGCCAGTCCCGCCATACTAGCCCTTGTTGCATTTGTGGCACCCTCCGTCCCATCCCCGATCCGTACCAGTCGGCACCATACTCTTTATTGACCACACACCCTGCATAGAGTACAAACCGGTCGTAATATAGAACTACTGTTCACAACAACAATTCTTTGACTTGTTTTTGCTTTTCTTTTGTTTGATCATCACAATAGAGAGAGAGAGAGAGTGTGTGTGTGTGTGTGTGTGTGTGTGTGTGTTAGAAGTCAAACGGCAGTCGTGACTGCAACTCTGCGACTTTCCATGTCAAGCTTCTTCTCCTTCCCCTTGTCCGTGCTCTTCTTCTTCTCCTCCTCCTCCTCCTCCTGCTGCTGCTGGCCCTTGACCTTTGGACTTGGGCGAGCGGGTGCATACGCCACGCCGCGGTCTTGTGGGATCTGTCTGGTTGCGCTCGTCAAGGACAGGCGCAGTTCTAGCTGCCGTCGCCGTTGCTGCTCTGGGAGAACGCTGGATGAGTGAATAGAGCTCGCAGCAGATAACCCGCCATGCCGCGCTGAACCTGTCTTGAATCTTCGGCCCGCCATCTCCCAGAGATCCCAGCTGCTCGACGTATGTTGCCGTGCCTTGTTGCGCCTTGTTTTCTTGCTTCCCACCATCGGATCAATCAAAATTTTCCGCGCCATCGGAGCACGCACCGCCACAACCTTCTCAGGCAACGCTGACAGGCCTCATGCTCCATTGCAGCGACACTTTTGTCGTTGTCCCTTGTTTCTGCTGCTGGTTCCAAAGCTTGCTATTCAAACGTAGCGCTCGATTCAGATCCCGGACACTGTCGCCATGAGCTCGCTGCCCAAACGCGTAAGTACCAAGTCTTGTTCCCTTTTTTTTTTTTTTTTTCCCCGATCGCCGAGAAGATCCTTGGTCTTTTATGATTTGCACAAATACGCACATGTGCACCAGAGACAAGGCGCCGCACTCTACCAGACTTGTCTTCGAGCCTGGTGCTTGTCTTTTCCCCCATGTTTCGACACCTGGCATCATTCTATCAGATTCAGCTCACCACACTGACTCGCCTGACAGCTTTACCGCTTCAAGTGCCTGCTTGAGAATGACGGGAGCAAACGGTGCGGCCTCATGCCCTTGACCCGTCTCGTGTCGCACCCCTATTAGCGCTTTGTTTCTTCTGGCCTCACCAAACTGCTGCTCACCACTCATGCTATGACCCCTCTATAGAAATCTCTTTGTCCCTGTACCCGTTGAATATGAACAGCTCCGCCAGGCTGTTCGCGAGACCTTTAAGCGTGATCTTCAAATCAAATACACCGACCAAGACGTGAGCACCGGGCCTTGACTGCTTGTATCCGTTGTATCACAGCACCTACTCACGTCGGCGCTCAACACGATCTACAGGGAGACCTTGTGGACATTTGGAATCAGCCGGACCTCGACCATGCACTCGACAACGAGCCGGGCCAGGTGGCTTCGACCCGCCTCGTTTTAAGCGAACTCCCCATGCCCAATGAACTCGGAACCTTTGTGTATGAAGCCTGCTTTGCTGCACCGCGCACCTCTGGATGACCACGCGCATTTGGTTTGCGCTTCCCGCCCTGATCATCTCCCGCCCCGTCCCGACCTGTTAGGCCTGAGGACACTGCTCAAATGCTCGTGCGCTACGCATCACCGCGCACTCGTGCCGTGTCATACAGTGCCATGGTAGGATTTACACGCCTGCTTGCTCCTGTACCTCGCTTTCTCTCCTTCCCTCTCTGTTCCCGTTCCCTGCTTGCCACCGTCTCATGGCGGCTGTCCTGTCTGCAGCCAAGCCACACGGATCCCAGCGGCAGTCACAGCCCGCCACCCGGCAGTTTTCCAGAACACCGCATCCGCTCCATATCGCTGCGCATCGACCCCTCCAAGGAGGTCTCGGGTGGTGGCGAGTTTATTCCCGAACATCAAGCCCATACCATCCGCTCCATCACCAGTGGCCGCTCCGAGGGCTTTCACTCCTTGCGTTCCAACAACAGCACCACTTCTTCTAAATCATCGGCCACGTCGCGCATGGACTCACGGACACTCTTCAACACCCACAACATTGATGAAGATGACGTTGAGTGCGTACTCACGCCCGTTTGGATTGCTTGTAACCGCATTTTTTGTCTTGCCCATCCCCCTCTCGATTATCGTGTCGTAAATTCCCTTTTTTGCTTGCTCGCCATTTTATTTTCCCTTTCTAGATCCGGAATCCATGGGGACGGTGCCTATGGTGATACGCTACCTCGTGGAGGTAGCCGCACGCGCACAACCAGTCGCTCCAAACCCCACACCCTCCCTCGACAAGCCCCATCCCGCAATTTCGCGCATCTGCCCGACTGGGAGACGGGCCGATCACCACACGGCGACGGTATGTGCCCTTTGCCATCACTAACGTATGGACATCCGGCATTTTTCCCATCTCATCTCGTCTTTCCGCATGCAGCTGCCACCTTGTCGCTGCCATTTCGCAAGGAGTCCGGACAGGAGAAGTCACATCTTGAGGGCCGCCACAATTCCTTTTCCAAACCCAAATCACGTACGTCTGTACGCTTCATGGGTTGGAACACAAGGAACTGGGGCAGTGCAACTTGCTCATGTTTTTTTGCATATCTTGATCTGCTCCATGGCTGTTGTTGTTTGCTTCTTTCTCTTTTGGCAGCGCCATCTACCAGCATGCCTCGCGTCGGGCGTTGGAAGAAAGGTCGCCTGTTGGGTTCAGGAGCGTTTGGTCAAGTATTCCTTGCCCTCAACATGGAGGATGGATCAGAACTTGCCGTCAAGCAAGTCAACCTGCACCCTGAAGCTGGGAACGGTGACAGCCAGCGTGAGGTGCAGGCCCTACGAGATGAGATTCAGCTCTTGAAAGAACTCCACCACGAACGTATCGTCATGTACTATGGCACCGAACACACCTCTACCTACCCCCCCCCCCCCCCAAATCACTCATCATGTTGCCCGCTTGTCCTCCCGTGTGTAGCGTTCGATCGCCAATCGGCTCGCCGAGTATGGCTGTTTTTCGGTGGACATTGTTCGCAAGTACACGCGGCAAATATTGGAGGGTCTTCAGTACTTGCACGACAACAAAATTGTCCACCGTGATATCAAGGGAGCCAACGTTTTGGCCACGGCAACAGGCGATATCAAGCTAGCGGACTTTGGGGCATCTAAACGTCTTCAGGTGGGTTGACATCGGCTCACAAACTGGTTCATGTCGCATTAAGCTTGGACCTACACTCAAGTTTTCGATGCACTTGGTTTCTGTTTCAATAGACCATCAAGACTGTGACGGGGTTCAAGTCCATCCATGGCACCCCTTACTGGATGGCCCCCGAGGTGGTTACCGGCCAAGGCTACGGACGGCGTTCTGACATTTGGTCCGTACCCATGGCCTCTTTAATCCAATTCTGCGGCCACCGGCAGGTAGCTCTGTGACACTGCGCCCCTCACTCCGCGATCGTGCTGTTGCGCAGGAGTATGGGTTGCACGGTAATTGAAATGCTGACGGCACGACCGCCCCTGAGCGACTGTGAACCTATGGCAGCACTCTTCAAGATTGGGTCGCCCAATTTCGATTTTGCAGACCTGACGCCTCAAGGTACGCCGTCATGGGTCGGTTTTGCGGCATTAAACAGCGTCTTGAGACCGCTCACTTTGTGGCTTTTCGGTGCAAAACTTGACGCCGTTAATTAGGCGTGCCTGCCGATTGCCAGTTGTTTTTGCGGCTGGCGTTTCGGCGGGATCGGACAGCACGGCCGACGGCAGAACAAATGCTTCAGCAAGAGTTTGTCGCCGCATAGCCGAAGGCTGTCTTGAGCTTGGCGAGTGCCTTTGTCCAACAGCTGGGCAGCTGTCGAAGGACACCCCGCCACACGCTCACAGCGGCATGTACTGCATGCACATTCTTTTCTTAAGGGCCAGTCCTGCGGGCCAGGTGGCTTGGATGCCTTTGGCAGCGTTGCTGCAATGGGCCATGTTTGTGTCTGTTTGCTTGTATTGCATCGCACACCTTATCACTCATCAGAGTACCACCATTTTGCGATGTGGTCGTGCCCTTGTTGCTGCTCGTATCGTGTGCGATGATGTCGTGCTGGTCACCTTTTTCCGTCATTCTTCCCGTTTTGCTTTTTCAACTCCCTCGCCTACGCTGTCGCTGCTGTCGTTCCAGCCCTTTTTTTTTTATTGGCCTTTTGATATATTTTCCTACCCTTATTTTGTGACGGACTACTGGGCCTGTCGGTTTCCACGTCCATGTGTGATGGCCCTTGCGCATCTTGTTTTGAGCGCAGCCAGTAGACGTGTTGGTGGCTTCTTGTTTTCCTCCTTCATGCCTCACATTCTCCTTCCACTGCCTGTTTCGTGCCTCGGATGTGCCATGCACTGGCCATGACAGGTGGTGATGGCAAGGGATTGTTTTGCATTTTAATCGAATCACAAACGTGAGCCCAAGGTCAAACACAAATGCGATTGACCATAAAACGCCTCAAACACACAATCGCTGGCCTCGCGCCCATCAGAGATGGCCTTCAAGCCCTTGTTGCGACAAAACGAGGACGCGGGAAAATCGAAAAAAAAGAAAAAAAAAGAAAAGAAAAGGACGGTAAGCAGAGCAAAACAATTCAAGAGAAAAGAGGGAGGTCAAGGGATTGTCTACTGCAGCAAAGCCTTGACGGCAGTCGACTCAGCAGCGCTGAGGTAAGATTGCCCATCTGGGGTCTTGCCGTCCTTGCGCGCACCCTGCGTACCCCACACGACACATTAGTTTCGGTCAAGCCAAGTGAAGCAAGCCTTAAAGAGATGTGTGGACCGCTGACAGCAAAACGTACCGCTTCAAGAAGCGCCTTGACAGAACTGGCATGACCTTCCCAGACGGCCGCCAGGAGTGGCGTGATGCCGTGCTTATCCTCTTTCTAAAGATTGGGGTGGAGTTGACAGCATGTGAGGCACTTGGCACAGACAGCGCACATCATCTCAATCCAGTGAAGAATGAGGCATGCGGGTACAGGAGGAATAAAACGAGGTAGAGCATGTTCCATGGCGAAGGAGGCCTATAATGATACGCACATTGACGTCAGCGCCCTTGCTGACGAGGTATTGAATCACCTCGGTCTGACCCATGTCGGCCGCGTAATGCAGAGGACACCGGCCCCCTGAGAGCTCGGCATTGACATCGATGCTCTGAGGCAAAGAGGATGGACAGAATCGAGCATACCCATGGTCAGAGTTGATCGTGAACCCAACAGGCGCCCAAAGCCGTGCTTAAGCCCGTCAGCGACAGCGACAGCGCGTCTGGCACAGACCTCGGCCTCGACGATCTTTTGAACCTCATCAAGGTCACCGTTCTTAATGCTCCATTGCAAATCAGCCATGTTGACGGATGAGGAATTCTGAAGCAGAATCAAGCACACAATGGATTGAACCCTATCATGCAAGGAAATGGTCAAGGCACACCGAATGACCGACGATGGTAAGCCGAGGTCATGAGAAGCAAGGAGACCCCGAGTGGGCGGTGAATTTGGAACAAGACGGCCATCACAAGGATAGGTCCCAAGGTGGTTCAGTCAATCAAACCGATAACCCAGCAACTCTTCAACGCTGCCCGTTCCCCTCCCACACACACACGGGTCGCCCGTCGGTGTACGCTGCGTCGCGTCCCCCACCCTGCCACACCCCGATGCGCCAAGATGCATTTGTTCACTGACCTCTCTCTTCGTTTTGTGATAACACACAAAAAAATGAAACAAAAGAGTCTTGTTTTCTTTTTTTTTTTCTTTTTTCCTTTTTTTCTTTTTTTCTTTTTTGTTTTTTTTTGTGTTTTTTTTCTTGTTCTGATGGTGGAGCTCTGATCAATGCACAAGGCAAGGCCGGAAACGTGGGGCAGGAAGAGATTTGAGGAGCAAGGGTCTTTTGAAGGAAAAAGGCCACGAATGACAAGCACACAAATCCCAAAATCAATTTGCGAAACAAGAACGTGATCAGACTTAACCTGAATCCCGAACAACAACACGACGCGAGCAAGGGGCCAGGCAGGCGTGTTGCGACTAGGCACGATGATGATAACTCTTTTTGTCATCGTGAAGGGAGAACGTGCTATTTGGTTTGCATCAAGGGCCCAAGGATGGTGCGCACGGACCGCTGGTCCATGGCTGCTAACGGAGATGTCACGGCTCAGACAAGAGCCGTCTTGGTGGCACCGCTGTCATCACCGTCGGCGGGTAGCTTTTCGGGCTCGGGGATGTCTGATGACTCCATAAACTTGATCATTTGAGCTGCCCAGACGCCAAAATCAAGAATAGAGCCAGAGTGAGGGGGGTTGCATGGGCTGAGGCTGTGGCTGGGCCGGGGAAAAAAAAAACACACGCACCCATCTGATCGACGGTCTTGCCAATGGCACTGTTCACGATGCGTGGCGGGATAATGCCTCGTGGATCCGTATGAAAGTACTGCAGTTCAAAAGCAAGTTGGGTGGCATGAGCATGGCGGGCAAGGATGCCCCTTTTAGATTCATGGATTTCCTTTCCTTTGTAGATTGGGTGGGACAAGCGTCTTGGCTGGCACTAACCGAGGTGATGGTAGTATGAGGACGGCCATCCTTCTCCGAAGCCACAAACTGGGCCAGACCGAGGTTGATCTTGGCACGCACGGTGCCACGCACGGATGTGCCAAGCGGGTGGCCAACCGAGGTGGAGATGAGACTCTTGGCACCCTTGGCTTGGGGGTCGTTGACAGTACCGTTAATCCAGGCCGAGTAGATGCAGACGTCACGGTTGTCCAGCACGGGCACCTTGTACAGCACATAGATGTACTCGGCATCCTCATTGATCTGCGCATCACCATGGGGCATTAGGTCTCGATGGCTTTGTGCAGAAGGTGTGAGCAACAGGCCAGCATTACCATACCGTCTCCAACGTTTGGCACTTGAGCATGTCCGGTTGCCACGAGCCCCAGAGTGCTAAGCACCGTCAAGAAAAAACACAGCAGGCCATATGGCAAGGTGAGCTGTACATCCACCAAGCATCAAGCGCTGTAGGGTGTCGATGAGCCCAAGAGCGGAGGAGAGTGGCGTACACTTGTCGTTGTAAATGGCAATGACCTTGCCAAGCGAGGCATCAACTTGCATCTCGCAGCGGACGACCACCAGGGCCGAGTCCTTCATCTTCTTGACATCAAGCTTGACACCCTTCTTGTCAAACTTTCGAGCCCAGTGATCCTCGGGTTCACTGCAGCAAATGTGTGGGGTGGCCAAGAGCATTGAGCTTCTGGAACTGATTGAATCACCAGAGCGCATGAATGAGAATGGGGCGGGCGGGATACCTGCACAAGTCTTTCAGCTTTTGCATCAGCTCGGCATGTACGGTGGGCACGTCTAGAAGCGTTGTGCGCGCGGCGTTGGTGTCGTGAGGTGCCGAGCCCAAGATTAAGACTGGAAGTCGTCAATGGCACCCCCCCCCCTTTTTTTTAGCCATATGGCGCCCTGCACACGAGTCGGGTGCTTACCAGGACGGTCGGCGGCCGCGGGATCGGCATCTAGACGCAGCTGTGGGAACCAACCCGGCAGGTTGCTTGATGAGCTTTCACCCTCAGTCTTTGACATGCGCCTTGAGCGAGCCCAAAAGCACTTGGTCCAAAGAGGAGATGGCGTGCGAGAAGAAGGCCCTCACCTTCTCTAGGTTAAGATGGCACATGTCGCAGGTGCGCTGAGGCCCCTTCATGTCGAAGCTTTCGGGAAGCTCATCCTTGTGGGGCGAGCAAGTGTCGCAGAAGATTCGACCACACGCACTGCCAGGGCGAATAGAGTCAAGTTGTGGTGCACACATCGACAGGAAGACGAGGCAAGGCTTGGGAAGATTTCACGGCCAGGCGGCGGAGGACGGACCGGCAGTGGTGCTTGCGTTTCATCATGGAGAACTTGACATCACAGCCCACGCAGTTCTTGACGTTGGTATCTTCCTCCCAAAGGGGAGCAACCTTGTCCGGGTCGACGCGGCTAGCGTCCAGGTCTTCAGCGCTCATGATGGCGTGCGACGGAAAAAAAGCAAAAGAGAAAAAAAAAGGGGGGGGGGGGTCTAAAAAATTCAAGCAGTCATTGCGCGAGAGAGCGCGGGCATCCACACCCAGGCCAAAGGGGCGACGGCGACGGAGACAGAGACAATACATGCAAAAAAAAAAAGAGAGTGAGCGAGAGAGAGAAGGAGGGGCGGGGGGCCTGGCGCAATCAGCAAGCGGGTTCGCCCTTGACGGTGTGGCGTCTGGCCGTGCTGCTGCTTCCTTTCCCTCCAGGACTGCTCAAATGGCGTGGTCCAACCTACCTAGAATTTGCTGTTGTTGACTTGCGTGATCCGATGATAAATGGCGCACGTCACCTCTACAAACGCCACACACCATCAGCATCGTTCAAGAGTCGACTGTCCACCAGCAGCAGCAGCAGCAGCAGGAGTAGCAGGAGTAGTAGCATCGCATCACACCGCTCTGCTCCTCTCGGGCCTCGGGGGCGTGTCGTACCTTCTTGTTCACTGTCCAAATGTACCAAATGCATTTCAAACACACAGATCACCTGTTGTAATCAAAATCACACACACCATCACACACACACACTCTCTCTCTCTCTCTCTCTCTCTCGCTCTCTCTCTCTCTCTCTCTCTCTCTCTCTCTCTCTCTCTCTCTCTCTCTCTCTCTCTCTCTCTCTCTAGTAGTTTCTCTTTCTACATCCGGATGTAGTTTATCTCTTTCTGGTTTCTGGTTACTCTCTCTAGTTTCTCTGTCTCTCTCTCTCTCTCTCTCTCTCTCTCTCTCTCTCTCTCTCTCTCTCTCTCTCTCCTCTCTCTCTCTCTTGTCTTTTGATGACGTGCAAGGCTTTTGTGGTTCAAACACGATTAGCTCGTGGACGAAAAAGGATGAGGATGGATCAAACCACTTTGGAACAATGATTAAGAGGCAGCGAGAGCCGAGGTCAGGGTCCGGCGAAGATGAGAGCAAGGTCGTGAACCAGCTCTTCCACACCAGCACCGTCAATAGCGCCACCACCGGCCACTAGTTCGTGCCACATGCGGCACAATGGAGCGATGGCCGAGAACAAAATAAAAAAAAAGGCAAAGGCCATAGGAATGATGGGCAAATGGTTGCATTGGAACAATGGGCAGGCAGAGAATCTAGGAGTTGGTGGGAGCAATCCTGGATTGACGTGATGGCCATACGCATGCCAGCAGCGTTGCGCTGACGGTGCTGGCGGGAAGAACGGCGCCAACCGTCAATTGGTTCGAACTCGAGCCTAGACAAACTCGCGTGTAGGGCCTTTTTAAGCCAAATGCTGTTAATACTTGACGTGTATGTGTGACAGGGACAATCGCAACTCAACCCGGCCACACCGAATGATAAACGACCTCCAACATTCATTTGCAAAAGCACACACTGGCAGTGAATGAGCTTGCAAGTGTCGAAGCTGCCGACGCAGAGACCTGGCCCCCTCCGCCCCTCTGCCACCGAACGAAGCCCAGAACGTGCCTTGATTCTGCTTTGGTCTCCGAGTGTGTTGTCTTTTGTCTTTCGTGTCTTTGTGCCTGTGTGTTGTCCTCTTTCTCTCTGTCTCTCTCTCTCTGTCTCTCTCTCTCTCTCTTTCCAAATCTCTCCGTAAACCCTCTCTCTCTCTGTCTCTCTGTCTCTCTGTCTCTCTGTCTCTCTGTCTCTGTCTCTCTCTCTCTCTCTCTCTCTCTCTCTCTCTCTCTCTCTCTCTCTCTCTCTCTCTCTGGCAACTGTCCCTGTGGTTCCATGTCAACAACATGTTGTGCGCGGCTTGCCAGCAGGGGCACGAGCATTGAGGTTTTGTCGGCCTCGGATCTCGAGTTGTCGTGACTCAGGTTGAGCTTTGCAGACGTGTGACTCGATCAGGGAGGGGGCGGGGCGGGAAAGGGACCTGTTCCTTTTCGAGGGTCTGGGGCATGAGTGCGCGGTTTGCCTACGCCGCCACGCCCGAGTCCGAGACTCGCTCCACTCCAGCCGTTTCAGCCACTCTGCGACCTGAGGCAGCCTGCCAGGATGGCTGTGCACCAGCCTCGATCCCCCACCCGGGTGCTGCCACTACCCTTGGCCTCCGCCCTTTTTGTTCTACTTGCCCTCCTCCTTCACATTGATTCGTGTGGCAGCGTGAGTACAACCCCCAGCGGCACGACGTCGGTGGGAAATGTCTCGACCACGGAGGGCGGCAATGATGAGTCCATCGGCAAGCAGGTGGATCGCGGCATCGAGTGGTTCCGGACGGCAGACTATAGCTCGTGGAAAACCATTCTCGTGCTCGTCGCCATCGTCCTTGCCGTTGTCATCCTCGTCCTCTTTTGCTTCTTCTGTTGTTGCCCCCAGGTCTGCGTCTGCCGCGATCGCGAGCGCGAGCGCCGGAATCAGGCGAAGGACGATGCTGAAGGCATGATCACAAACCCCATCTTTGAGAACCGCACCGCCGCTGAGATGGGTCGAAACGCTGCAGAGGTTACGCGCAATGCCCGCCATGGAGGCAGCGTCAACAGTGCCAGCGGTAACGGCTCAGCCGGCGGAAGCAACCCCACCAGTCAACCTGTCAGCCGCCATGCCAGCGATGGTCGTGTCGGCCCTGCTCCGACCTACGACCACCTTTCGAATGACTGGCGCCAGTCGACTGCCTCTAGCGGCCCTCCAGCCCCGGCAGCCCCGGCAGCCCCGGCCTGGACTGCAGAGTCCCAGCCAGATCACTACGATCACCTCGCTCAGGGCGCCACCTCGCTGGCTGGCCCCGGTCACAATGATCATCCGAATCCAGCCTACGACCATATCGTTCAACTGGAGTCGAGCCAATTGCCAACCTACGACCACTTGGCCCAATCAAAGGAGCGCGATCGGCTCCCAGGACAAGCCTATGCACACCTCCACGGCCGAGAGGTGGTGGATGAGCCTTCGCGCCCCGGCGTTTACAATCATCTGAATCCTTCGAGCCGAGGCACGTCTTGGCATGGCCAAGGCTCATCTAGCCACACGCACGAGCACTGGTCTCATCAACGTCACTCCATCCATGCCCATGCTACTCTGCCCGAGGACACCATGATTGCCAACGTCGCCTACGCCTCGCATAACATTGCGAGCGACAGCGAAAATCATCAACCAGAGGCCGACCCATATGCCGTCCCCATTCCCATTACCACCACCACTCTGTTGGAAGCCCCTCAACCCGAGCCTTCCCCTCGCGTCAATATACAGTACGCCGAAATTCAAGGCGAGGAAGAGTCTGTTGAAGCCATTAGCGGGGTGGATTCCGGGGCCATTGATCACGAAGCCACCAATCACCGCGACCACGCTGATGCATATGAACAACATGTGCTCCAGTCTGAAACACCAGCCATGTCGGTCATCCCGCTCGACCCTTTGGGACCAGTGTCTGACGTCAACCGTGACGACGAACCAGATCCAGCGACCTACCCCTTGACCAGCACCTTCTTTTCTGGGGCCGTCACATCGGAAACCAACGTGGATGGCGATGAAGAGGAGGAGGAGGGCGAGGAGGATGGAGAGGACCACGCGCTGGAGATGACAGTGCTCTTAGCCGACGGTCGCACCGTCCGGCGCCGTTATGAAAACATGAAAAGCAGCAACTTAGAAGTAGACCTAGCCAACGCCCCCCATGAACTGCACGAATTGGTCTTTGAGAACATGACGCGCCAGGAATCCGAAGCCACGCTGCGGCGAGCGCGCTCGGCATCGGACGTGGCAGCCACGTTCCTGCTGCGGCGCAAAAACGAATACGCCTTTGTCCTGTCCTGCGTCATTGGTGAAGAGGTCAAGCATAACCTCATTCGTCGTGTCGACAAGTATTGGCGTTTGAATAATGCCATCCTCCAGCGCAACGACATCCCGTACCGCCTCGAAGGCTTCGTTGCCTTTTTACAAGTTCACGGTGCCCTCACTCAGAACATTATAGGCAATACCCTTGGCCGATGGATTCAACCCTGAGAAACATAACACGCACGCATCCGCGCTTCCGACAGGGACTTGTCATCGAACAAGCTCGATGATGCGTTTTCTCCGCTTTCTCCGCTTTCGGCCATTTCTCTTCTCTCATCCTGGTGTGGTGCCATGTCATGTCGTGTCGTTTCGTGCCTTGTCGTGCCTTGTTGTGTCGTGTCGTACCGTGTCGTACCGTATTTTGTACCCTTCGCCTTTCATGGCATGCTGAGCATGCATGGGTTGGTGCGCTGTGTTGTCCGTCCTGTCTTCTTGATTCTTGTTTGACTCTTTCTTTCCTTTTTTTTTTGTTCCCTCTTGTCTTGTGTCAATTCCTCCCTCAGGGCCTCTTGTGTCGTGGTTGACGAAAGGCGCGCTGGCCAAGATCAACTGTTGTGCGCCATAGCACTGCTTACCTCACCCCATCCCCCAAAGCAATCGAATTCTATTGACGTGTGAAAAAAACGAAAAAAAAATCAAAAAGACAAAACTTCAAGCAAAAAAGTCAAAGTTTTCGATTCGAGCATCTTTATCGTCATCACAAGGTCATGGCAGCAGAGGATCCAGAGGTCTTTGTGGACTGGCAGCCCGATTCTGACAGTGATGATGAGGGCGAGTCAACTGGTCGCGCAGCCAGGTTGGCCCGAGCGGCCAAGAACTTTGACCCGCAACCCATGCCATACGAGGTTTGGACCAGAGTCGTCGCTCCTAACCACGTGCATGAGCGCCTGGGACACGCTGCCGCTGAGACTCATTCCACATTCGTCCTGCACGCAACTTTGGACCCACACGCGAGTAGTGGTTTTTGCATGAAGACCCTCGGGACGAGAAGCAGCTTGTACACGTGATCTCACACCGCGGTCATCTGCTGGCTGCGCGAGGCGACTGGGCTGGCGTTTTGAGAGTGTGGGAGACGCAGGCTACGCAACATCGACTTGGACGCTTGCTTGAAAAGTCATGGCTTGATCTGCGCATACAAGCCGCTCGCCACGGATTCGGGGACATCCATGTGTTGGACCTTTTGAGGGAACAGGTACATCCACCTTCTTGCGGTGGCGGCAATTGCAAATGACAGCGTCTAACTCATGGCGGCCACCTCCAAATGGAACGTTCCAGGCCATGGCTGACACGGGCTTTGAGTACTATGGACGCCTCATGTTGGCCGAGACCTTGCTCGACATGGGGCGTCATGAGGGTGGGTTCTGCTTGAAGGCACCCCTGTTTGGTAGCTGGTCTTGTCTTTTATTTGATTTTTTCCGGCTCTTTTTAACAACCTCACATGATCTCTAACCTCTATGATTCTGGACAGAGGCTTTGTCGCTTCTGATGATCTGTATCGACGCGCAACGCATCAGCGGTCGACTCTGGGGCATGCTAGCCGATTGTTATTGGGCTTTGCGCGTCAGTTAAAATACCACCTGCCTGCTCAATATCAAACACGTGGCCACTCGTACAACGGCAAGATGGTTGCGCCTTGCCTTCTTCACCTCACGTGTTGCCTGGCCCCATTTCTCCGATGTAAACGATATGATAGGATCAAGCGCAGCTCAAGCGATGCTATGCGCAGATGGCCGCCGTGCGCGCGCGCGCTTGGGCAGAATTGGTCTGTTGGCCAAATGCCTTTGCCGAATGAATCTTGCCAAGCCATTTGACCCGTCAGATTTAATATGTTGTGCCATGCTGCGCTGCCATAGGGTCTACAATCCTCTCGTGGCTTTGGCCGCCAAAATGCTCGCGCCTACTTGGAACGGTATGACACTTTATTCTGAAGCAGTCGCCGCTTGCCTCCTCGCACGATCCCCCCCATCTTTAATCTTCTATTTGGCCAATAGGTGTGAAGCCCGATGCATTGCGTTTGGCCTACCACAAGGTCAGTCTCGAACCACGTCAACGCCGCATGCTTCCGCATCAGACCAATGCGACGCTGCTGATGCTGCTGATGAATGTGGCTGCTTTAGCGCGTCCGTCCAAAGACCTTGCAAATGCCGTTTTCACGGAGCTCAAGGTGGCTGGTGTAACGGTTGAGTGCGTTCGCCTGTTCCTCCTAGCTTTATCGAATGGGCCTGCGCTCATGTGTACGGCTCATTACATACCTTAGACTGGACCGGGCTGAGGATGAGCCGCAGATGCACAAGGAGCAGGTTCCACAAAAGGGATTGGTTCATGAGCATCCGGACAAGTTTGAAGCCTTTTGGTTTCATCGATGGCAATACTTGCCACAAACCGAGGCTGATATACCTGAGCCACGCATGGCGTATCAGCCAGATCGCGGGGCTCTGGCAACCAGCGCCTCTTCCCTTCAATGACCGTGTGCCCTTTCACATGCCCCGACAAATGCAAGCCATGAAGGACGCTGCCTTGGAGTACAGTCAATTCCCAGCAATTACACGTGTCGACTCAAGCCGGCCCGAAGCAAGCTGTCTAAGTCATGGCTGGAGGAGAAGAAAAAGCAAAGCTAATCTCATTCGCGACGCCTATAGCACCCAGCGCAAGCCACTCATCAGCCAGGCACAAGAGAACGCGTTGCCGTTGGGGGTTTGGGCTTATCAAGAAAAAAAAAATGCAGAGTGGTGTTGACGCAAACCTTACCACACACATTTCCACCTCGTGCAATTCGGACGTAACCATTCTCGCCCCAATCTGCTCCCCTGCGCAGCAAAAGCACACATTAAGTGAGCTGCCGGTGCGCACGAGGAAAGCATTCCACCGGCAGCGCCGGTTCATTTTTTCGTAATTGATTCCGATCCCATGATGTTTTTGTGTTTCGGCAAACTTCCGAGCACGTTCAAGCCCAAAGCTGAGTGCGCCAACGTACCACGAGTTGCGAATGATCCAATAGTCGATGGGATTTCCATCGACAAGTTCTGTACCATAACCCACTATTTGCACTGCGTGCTATACATTCAAACAACCGGAAAAGCAAGTACGTGGCGGTGAGGTCGTTCTCTGAAATGAAGATGTGGGGACAGAAAAGAAACCGTGAAAAGCAACTGTAACTGTTCAAGACACGAGTCAAGGACGAACATCTCCCGCGCTGCCAGAACTAGCACAATGCCAGCGGATAATGCCCGATTGGTAGCCGTTCCATGGATCAGCGTTGACCTTGATGGCCAGTGGTCCGTGCTGCACGCAGACGGCCAGGCAGAGCACGTGAGGGCCCACGATGGAAGGGTGATGCGCACACGCACGCTCTGCGCGAGCCGCATAGCAGGGAAACCACAACCACCTGGGCAATAAAGGTCTGCATCTGTGCCTCGGTCCAATCATTGCAAGTGCAGCTCGAGTTGATTTGAGCAAAGGGCGGGTGCAGGGAGGGACAGGCAGGCAGCCCGCCCGCGCAGCCATCCGTGGCACAGGCAAATTGGGAGTAGTTGGCCGCCTCCAAACCTTGAGCTATTCAGCCAACCAAAGCGAGACCACGTCGTGAGCTTGATCACGACAGGCACCACATCAGGTCACGAATTTGGATCAGGATCGAACGCTCACGGACTTGCGTTGGACACGCTGAGGTCATAGACAAACTGCATGGCTGCATCAACGTAGCCACCGCGACACCCATTCTCTGTGGAGCCGGTGCAAGAAAGAATTTGTTGGATGCTCAAGGGCCCGGCACCAATGGGCGCGTTTCCTGCCAGACGGAACATAATCTCCACCGTTTCCGCGGTTGCAAATGCCCTGCGTTGTGAAGGATGCAGTTGGCCCCAGCACCAGCGTCATGCCCGAGCGTAGCTGCGTGGTTCGCGCTTGAAAAGTCGACCCGACCCCAATGTGCAAGCCACCACAGCTTACCAACAACCGCCGCACTGTACACCGGCGCAAACACAGGCACGCTCGTGAGTGCCAACAAGCCGTCAACTGGGTGACTTCTAATAGCCGGAGCAGAGTGGGCGCGATGAAACTGACCTCGCCTTGATTGTTAATGACCGTCACCATATCTCGCCTGCCACCCATGACCACACCCTCATGAGATGAGAATCAAGACATAACTGTGACCCGCCTGGACATACATGTCAACAGTGGTAGGGAGCGTTGCCGTTGCAGCGGCTGCCATGCTGCAGTTGAGCGGTGCTACCAAGCACGAGGCTTGATTTGATCCCAAAAGACGATCGTTTCTGGCTGCCGCGTTCAGGTCCGTCATGAAAAACTGCGCACGCCTACGAAATAAGTTCGCACAAAGGTCAGCTGGCCCAGATCACGCGCCGAGCACGCGAGAAGCCAGCAGCCGCAAAATTTCGCACCGTTTGCGCTCTGATGCCACACAGCGATCGGCAAACTTGTTGAGGCCAAATCTGGCTGTGTGTCCTGCTACCCGGCTGGCTGCTGTGGCCGACATTCCAGCCGCCGCCGCCAGATTGGCGCGAAAGCAAGCCAAGTGGCGCGCATACGCCGTCGGCTCCGGATAACTCCGATTATACGCACGGAGAAAAGCCTCAAAGTCCTGACGAGTCCCATCCACGGACTCCTTCCACTCATCACTCTGCACCACTGCCATCCACCCACAGAAGCATACCAACACACGCAGCCATCTCAGCCCCCCTCCTGCTGCCGCTGCCATCTTCGTCATCGTTCACCCGATCTGAAGCGAGCGAGCTCAATCGTCTGACAAGCGACCCAGTATATGATGACATTTACTAAATGTAAGTCTCATCGGTAGCTGTGGTGTGTGTGTGTGTGTGTGTGTGTGTAGTGGATCACACCAAAAGGGCAGCGCGTGTGCGCAGCGCGCAGGGGGAAGGGAAGGTCACGGATCGGTCACGGATCGGTCACGGATCGGTCATGGATCGGTCATGGATCGGCGGCAATCTTCCGAAAGAACCTCTGATTGAAGTCATTGGGAAGATCTTGATTCCGTATACATGGAGTGATCCGTCGAATGGCTTGTGCTGGGAACTTGCGTGATCCTGCTCCTTGGCAAGGGGGGTAGGCGAGCAGCTAGCTGGACGTGTGTCTGCTTGAGGGTCGGTGGGCCTTCTCATGATACCGCACCTTCTTTCTCGCTTGTGTCTCGCAACTGTAGCCCGGTGTTTTTGCCACCGACGCCATGGCGGACGAAGTGGACCAGTATGAGGATGTGAAAAAGATTCACATCGAACGCGGAGCCAATGGATTCGGCTTCAACATCAAGGGGACCACCCAGGTTGGCGGCACCATGCATGCCGTCAACGGCCGACTCTATCCGCCTCTGCAGTACATTAGTCATGTAGACCAAGGTGTGACCACATTTGTGCCCGGAAGACGGCTCCTGCACTGCTCCTTTTCATGGCGCTAAAGTCTGATGCTTTACCCCCACCACCTCCGGGCTGCAGGTGGAAGTGCGTGGGAGGCAGGTCTGCGCAAGAATGATCGGATTCTTGAGGTCAACGGGCTCGATGCTCGCGGCGCTGCCCATGCAGATGTGGTCAAGCAAGTTATCAAGGGTGGTGGTATCCTAGATATGATCGTGCTCAGTGTTGACGAAAAGGAGGCCGAGCGCCTCCAGCGCTTGGAGGAAGCTGCAAGTAACAAGCGCCAGAAGGTTTGATCTCTGGACTGAACTTGCCAGTTCATCTTCACTCGGCGCTCTTGTCTTCCTGGCCCGTTTGCTTTGGGCCTGAAAGACCATTCCAGGAGTCAGAATCTCACAATGTCCATTTCTCGCCAATCCGCAGAACCAGAGCTCGCGCCTTCTCGAGATTCGCGACTATGATACGCTCAAGGATGACCAGGGCAAACCCTTTACAGTGTACAACGTCTACGTCAAGGGTTCCTATCGCACCTCCAAGCGCTTTAGCGAGCTCCAGAAAATGCACTACGCCGTGCGTCAACTCCCCTCCAACCCATCCGTTCGTTCAGCAATGCTGTTGCGCGCTCGCTGATACCAGCTGCCTCTTTGAACCCAATGCTGCAGATGAAGGCTCGTTTCCGCTGGCACAAATTTCCGGCCTTTCCTGGCAAGAAGCTCAACGGCTTGACCAAGTCCACACTTAGCGTACGTTGCCTCTCTCGTTGGAAATCCTGGCTTGTCCCGTGTTGAGCCTCAACTCATCAACGCGCACCGCGATGAATCACAGGCTGCCGATTTGAAACAGCGACGAGTGGATCTCGAGGACTATTTTAACAAAGGTGTGAAGTCGAATCGGAGCTGCGGCTTTCTGTCATTTCCTGGTACCTGTGCCATCAGCTGTGTCTCAAAGCACTCTTGCTCACTGCGTGGACGCCCCCCCTTGGGTTACCCCAGTTTTTCAGGTGGATGACATTTTCAAGAGTGATGAGGTTGCCGAGTTCCTCAAGCCTGGTGACTATCGCCCAGCCGGTGTGACGGACGACGACGAGAATGATGATGTCTCGAGTGATGAAGAGCCTGCCAAGCCTGCCGCCAAACCCGCTGCTGCCAAACCCGCTGCCGCCAAACCCGCTGCCGCCAAACCCGCTGCCGCCAAACCCGCTGCCTCAGCATCTACCGAGGCAAAGCCAGATAAAAGCAATGAAGCGTCAAACGCGAGCAAAGACGATCTGGTCAGTCAGGCCTGGTAGCTTTAGCCGTGCCCCCTTATACCAGTGTACAAGAGCTCATGTCATCGCTCTATACATGAACGATCGATAGTTTGACGAAGAAGATAGTGAGCCCGTGCCTGCCCCTGGCGCCCGGAGCGAGTCACCGGTATCGCCCGCCACGCAGGTCTTGCTGCCCAACAACGAAGTTGTGGATCTGTCCGAGGCCACGACGGCTGGCCAAGCCATTGAGGTACGTGACCCAATGCCCGCACGCCACACACACACACACACACACACACACACACACACACACACACACACACACAGTGCAAACTATGGGCCCGAACCAACACATGTGCAAACTGGTCAAGTTATGTAAGGTTTAGTCCGACCCTCTTTCTCATCAACCCCGGACTGGTTAGATTCTTGCCGACAGCATGGGCTTGAGCGATGATGCCAAGTTTGTATTCCGCCTTTTCACAGCGGACGATGGACATTCGCCCGCTTCACGCACACGTCCCGCTGCCAACGCCAAGCGTACGTGCTGCCACATGCCTGTGCTACCGTTCTACAGTGCAAGCTAACGCGATTTGCTCCCGTGCAGTCACCCTCTTGGAGCCCACGGCAACGCTTGCGGATGTCAAGACACACATTGTTGTTCGCCGTTGGTTCTTCTCCAAGGAGCACGAGTCCCGCTTGGACACCGACGACGTTGCCGTGGCCTGGCTCTTTCACCAAACGCGTCAGGAGATCGAGGACGGTACCCTATTCTGCGGACCCAAGAAGCGCACGGCGCTTGATGAACTGGCCAGCCAGGATCAACAGTTGGAATACCTGCAGATGGCACGCAAGCTGCACATGTACGGTGGCTGGGCCTTCAAGCCCTGCACAAGTGACCACACTGGCGAGGTAAGACCTCTTGGTCATTGGTGGCCGCTTGGTGCCCGTGTTGAGCACCTCATGTTTTCTGAAACAGGAACAAACAGTGTGTGCCACTGTCACGGCCGATAAGCTGATTCTGCAACCGTTGACCGAGGACGGCCAACCATCAACCAACTCAGACGATGTGACCCTCATGACTTGGGATGCCATTTCCAAGATCAAACGGTGGGTCCGAATGGTTTTTCTCATTGCCTTATCATCTTGCCGTGGTGGCCTGCGTGATGATGATGATATGTCAAACGTATTTTTTTTACGAGGACTCATGTCATCGGTTCGTGTCTGATTCACATCACAGACGTGATGACATGATCGGCATCAAGGCCACTGTGAGCGATGAGCCCCTGACCTTCAGGCTGACAAGCGAAAATGTGAGTTCACGCTTCATGGCATGTCGACGCTTGCCTTGATCTGGCTGCCATTTGCTGACCGGGATTTGCTCTTACGATTCTGTATCATCGTCCCAGGCGGGTCTATTGGAGGCCGCGCTCAAGCGCGCAGTCATGGAGAATGAGTGGCAAGGCCAGGACGAGGCCGAGTCACTCTTCTTTGGTTAAGCCACTGACGCGCAAGCGCGCAACTACGAGAGGCAAAACTTGCCTTTCACCTTTCTCATATTCTCGTGATTTTCGTGTGAGTTGTGTACAGACTATCCGCCTGTGCGCTCTTCTTCCTCTCTTCTTCTGCTTCTTCGACCCTCTTTTCTCCTCGGTGGCTTTAGGACGTTCTCCCTCTTCTCGTTGTTGATGTCTGGTGGTTCGTGTTGTGTTTGGGCCTGCATTGGTGTTTTCCAAAACTTGTTAGCGGCTCTCCTTGATTTGGAGGCCTGCCGTTGCCCCACGTGTTCTTTATGCTTGAGCTTAAGCAGACTCTTTGGCGTGATTGCTTTTCTATTGTCAAATCTTTTACTTGGTGTACACACCTCTGTCAGACCGCATGCATACGAGGTCGGCGATGACACACCCGTACACTCGTTCTCGCCGGCTCATGTTTGCTGCGAGTGTGGACTAATTGAGCTATGCGCCTTCAACCGTTACCCACTGTGTTATTTTCGCGCTTGCATGAGTGAAGATGAAAAGTGCAAGTCCTGCTTCAGGGATGTCTTAGATTGGGAGGGTCATTTATTCTGAAAGCACAAGAGCAACGACGGGAGAAAGGGGCATGAAAAACACCATCACCGCCGGGCAGTGTCGGCAGTGCCGGCAGTATCCTAAGCTATATCGTGCCTTAAGCCTTGAGGGCAAATGTTTTCTTGATCTCGTTGAGCAACTTCTCGACCTCGCCTGCAAAGAGCACGCCTTGCTTGCGCTGCTGACGAATGGCATCGTCGCCGTGGCTCTCAATCTTATCCAAGGCCACAAACTGGCGCGTCAACAACTCCTGTTATCACCCATAGACAGAAGAAGTGAGACTTGGCAAAGGTTCGCAGACACGAGAGGTGCAGGTCTTTGAGAACGGGCGGCCCTATTACCAGGGACAAGAAGGGAGACTTACATCAAGCTCGAGCATCACCTTCTTGGCCGCTTCTGTGGTAATGGCCCCGGCTGCCAGATTCTGTTGGAGCTCCTTGGCGCGCGATTGAAGGTCTTCCAAAGCACGATTGGCCTTGGCGGTGGCTGGCAGCTCGGGACTCGCAGCATCATGGGCTGAGCTGTCAGAGGTCTGGCTGCCCGCAGATGCAGGTGGAGTTGGCTGGGTCATGGAGCTATAGCCAAACTGTTGATGACTCTGAGGATGATGGTGTGCAAAATCGCGTTGAGGCTGATGCTGGTGCTGGGTGTGATCGTTGGCCGCAGCATGATGTGCGTGACCCATTGTGGAGGCGTGTGGGACATAAGCATGGTGTTGGTGGGAGGGAAAGGCGGCACTCCGGAAGTCGCTGTGCTGTGGCTGCGTGGGGCCTTGCTGATAATGGGGATGATGCGACCTGGCGCTATGGTCTGGCACCGTCTTTACGTACTCCTGGCCGTGATCCGAATGCACTGGGATGTGGCGTACATGGTGTTGACCACCGGAGCTGAAACGGGGATCGTCCCAAGTGGTGCGCTTGTTGGCATGGTCTACAAAGTAGTAGCGCTGCGACGGCGGGTCGAACATCATGTCCCAGTTTGGAGGGAGAGGGGCGTGCTGCGCGCTGCTCGTGCTGGGCTGAGCTGGCTGATGGTGCTGGTGGTTGTATGCTGTGGTGTGCGGAGCAAAATGCCCATCCCCGGCCGCCCAGCCGGGCGCATACGAGTTACCATTGAAGGACATTGGAACGGGCGCAAGCCAAAATGTCGAAGCTTGGGGGCCAACAGAGCGGATCCAGAGATTAGCGTGATCACTACTATACACAGCGCAAGAGCCGCAAGTCAGGGGCCCATCTCTACACTCAAGGGGTGGGGTTGAAGACGTCTTGTGTGCGCCCGCAAGACGAAGGTGGCGATCATGCGTCCGCTAGGTGGCGGTTGTTCAACGTGCGCCGCGCTGCTTTGACTGGCAGCTCGAGAATGCAAGAGGTGATGCGTCGAGGGCGACAAAAATTACCTGCAAAAACTGTCAAGACTCCAACAAAGCTCCACGGGGGTCCTCCTCAATCAGATTGGCCAGCTGCTGCTGCTGCTGCAAGAGCCATCAGAAATGCAACAAGCACACACCGCACCGCACAGGCCGACGGATGAAATGCTCGCACCAGCATGGGAATCTCGGCTTCCTCTCTGTTCTCTGCCAAAGGCGCTGATGGAGCTTACCACTGCTCGACTTCCACCTCTCCCAGTGACACTTGCAGTTGGTAGCGAATTGTCACACTTTTTGCTGACGTTTGAATTTTTGATTCCTTTTCAAGACAACAACACCAAACGAGGAAGGCAAGACACGAGGAGCCCGCATGCGTCCGACCGGTGGCGAACGCACTAGAGCAGTCCCTGACGGGCAAGATCTTCGTAGACTTTTTTGGTGACAACATTTCCCATGCTGTCCTCAAACTCCTCCTCGTCCTTGTCGAAGAAGGAGGTATCCTTGTTGCTCTTCAAACGCTCGTAGAGGTTCTTGGCATCCTGAATCTTGGTAATGTTGATAAAATGCTTCGAGTTGGGAATGCCCAGGCAACGCATACCGTGCGCGTGGCGCCATTCGGAAAAGTGTTGCTGGAAGGCCTGCCACCCCCGTCCCAACAACACAAACCGTGAGCTTCAATATGATGCATGGCACCATGCACCATGAACCCAAGCGCGTGCCGTACCTTGGGACCGCGATATGGCTCGTTGCCACAAATCTCACAAATGTACACCTTACTCAGGCCGTGCAGGCGATACAACCAGTATGGAATGGGCTAGCCATTGGCAAAGTAAAAAAAGGACGAACAAAAAAAGTGGCATCAGCACGAGGATCGAGCAGGAGGCCCCGAGCCCGTCGTCGGCCAACACGTCTGTTTATGACTGTTTACAGGTCATGAAAAGGCTTACCTTGCCCTCCCAATCCATGACCACGTTGGTGCGCTGAGCTGAAGGAATGTCCTCGTCGTCCTCCTCCTCATCCTCCAACACAACAATGTCATCGTCCTCTTCCTCAATCTCGTCGGCAGTTCGCGCTTGCTTACGCTGCACGTTCTCGAGGGTTGCACTGCGCACGTCTTCCAGCAACTCGCAAAGACGGTAGATTTCCGCTTCCATCTTGGCCACCTCCTTGGCTTTGTCACCGGAGCGCGTCGTGCCGGCCGTGGCGGAATCGGCATTCTCGCCCTTCTTCTTCTTGGCAAAGAAAGACTTGTCCAGATCCTCCAGGCGCTTGCCCTTGGTAGCAAACAAGCGCTCCGCCCGTTGACGAGGTGTGCCGCCTGCCTTGAGGCCCAGTGCCATCAGACCAGCCTTGACACGCTCGGGGTCCACGGCCTCGAGGGCTTCAACACTAGCATATGGGCTCAAATCTAAAGCCGCCACGGGAACGGCTGAGGGCGCCTGATACCCTTGCCAGCCCACAAACTCTCCTTGCGCCCACTTCTGCTCAAAATCGGTGAGGGCCCCTTCGACCACCTGTGAAGCATGCACACCCAGGTGGCATCAGGCCGATACACGAGCACCACAAAAGACACGGACAAGCCGCCCTCCCACTTACCTCGGCATAGTTCCGAAGAGGGAAGGCTCGTTCGAAAAAGTCTTGCAAATAACTCAACAAGTCATCCACATAGCTGCAGGTTCCAACAGATCGGGTTGCTGTGAGCCACGAGAGTACACGTGCTGCTGTCAGATTCTGCTGGTGAAGGCATACCGCTTGTAGGCGTTGCTGCCCTTCTTCTTGTTGTCGAGCTCATAAAGTTGGTCAAACATCTGCAGGTACTGGGTGTACTCGATGCGTTCGCCCATGTTCAGGTTGATGTAGGCTTCATGCAGCGCCACGAGATCCAGATATTTGCCGTAGCCCTCCTCGCCGGAAAACTCAACGTGTTCTGCAAACGCATGCCCCAGTCATAGAAGCACATGAATTGGCATGGTCGTTCCCGAAGCATAAGGCAGACAACTCCCAAAGGTGGTGACATGAAGACATGAGGCGTGGTGGCGCAAATCCCGTCGGCACTAGACGTACCGGGAAGCTCTGGATAGTCGGGCTCCTCGGTGCCCTTCTTTCCTTCTTCCTTGTTGTCAGTTGTCGAAGGGGTGGGAACAGAGCCATTGGTGGCCACGCTGGCCTTTTTGGCCATTTCGCTCAGCCCTTCGGGAATGAGGTCAATGTCCATTGGACGGGCAATCTGCACACAAAGCAGAGTCAAGCCACAAAGGCAGCAGGATGAAATACGAAGAGATCAAGTCGATGGTGAGAGAAGGAGGCAAAATTCGTATTGCCCATTCGTTGTGACCCCCGTGCGTGGAGAAAACGCGACCAAGTATACTCAAAGGGTCGGGTGACGGACCTCGTTGGGATACTTTGTGTGAAAAGCCTTTATGGCGCTAAGCTTGTTGTAGAAAGACTCGGTCGGCGCCCCGCTCATCAGGGCCAGTTCTGCCGAGCGCAAGCTGCAAGGACAGGCCACGATGCGATGGCGGTGATGGCGGTGATGAGTCTAGTTAGACGCGACACGCCTTTGCAGTTTGGGCAAGCATAGACCTACCCATCAGCATCGTCGTAGGCTGCCAGCAGCTTGCTTGCACACTCGCTTGCCCGCTGCACGGATTGCAATGCAGACCAGTTCATTGTGAGGACGGGGCTTGATGAACCAAAACTTGAGTGACCGGTTCTTGCACCAAAAGCGCACACCGACCTCAAGCATGGCACGCGTGTGGTGCTGTGCATTAACAGAGAGGCGCTGCGTGGGAAAGTTCAGGTTGCCCAAATCACTGGCACCACGCACAAGACGCTCGATTTCCTCATGATGCAGCCGCTGCTGCTCCAAGATGGAGTCCATGGCCGCCATCCCAATCGGTCTGCGGGCAGCGGAGCAAGGGTGCCAGCCGACGTCAGTCCAACGTACTGCCGACAACACTGGACGCGGTGCGGTTGACCAGGTGATCACTACCACGGAACCAGATGGACCGCAAGGGTAGACCTGTCGACAATTTATTCAACACTCGTCAAACGCTTCCTTTATGTCTCCGATCCTCTCTCTCTCTCTCTCTCTCTCTCTCTCTCTCTCTCTCTCTCTCTCTCTCTCTCTCTCTCTCTCTCTCTCTCTCTCTCTCTCTCCGCCCACCCCCTCATCACAACAACCGCCGCCACCGTCGGTCGCCAGCCAGTCGCCGCCGCTGAACGTACCCAAAGCTGCAAAAAGTGAAGCGAGGCGCTGAACGTGTATTACCAAGTGTTCTTGTCCAAGTTTCTCTGACATTCAAATCTGTACCACTCTGTGTAATATCGTATCAATGAGGAGCAGTAAACCGACCCAAGATGATTCAAAGTTTTGAAATTTTTACCAGCCGGAAATTTCGAGCTATTGTCAGCATTTCAAAAAATCCCGTTTTCGTTGTGGTCTCTCGAATTTTTTTTTTTTTTTTTTTTTTTGGGAGGGGAGGGGGAAACTCAGCTGCCTCGGGCGCGTTTGACTCGGGGTCCCTCGTGTCGTGTGTTGTTGTGGCTGCATCAAAGAGGAATAGGAGGCTGGTGAAGGTGGATGGGTCTATCCTTGGCGGGTTTGCAAGTGCATCACCTGGCTATTTAATTTATTCCTTTTGGTGCGCTTTTGAGTGCATCAGTACGTTCAACGATGGAGCGCCAACACAAGTTGCAGACCGCCGTGTGCCTGAACCGGATAGAGTCACGCGCTGACGTCGTGGTCACTGATGATCACACCGTTCAAATTGGCACAGAGCATTATTCTGGTACAGTCGCGTTTGTCTGTCCTGGGAGCCTTGCCTCTGCACTTGCCGGGTGGTGTTTGCATGGTTTTGTGCTGCAGCGAGCCTATGGGCATTTATCTAATTGACTGATCTGTGTCATGCCCTGGCAGTTGGCTTTGCCTTTGGTAGCGAGGCTTCGCAGCGGGTTGTGGCCAGCTCGCTCGTGCCGCCTGCCGTCATCACGGCATTTGATGGCTATGATGTCTCCGTACTTGTGTGCGGTGCTCAGGCTGATAATCTACTGATCGGTCATGAGGCTCCGGGGTTGATCTACTATCTACTCGATCAAGTCTACGAGCGCCTAGCGCATGCAGGAGCATCCTCGCCCGTCTGGCAGGTGTGTGACTCGTCAGTGTTCCCAGTGTTCTCAGTGTTTGAGTTTTCTGATCAATCAGCCCTCTCACAGCGCCGCATGGGTATGTACACCGCTGGCCCCGTAATCTTCCGCCGAGCAGATGGCCGTGTCTGGATACGTTGTCCCGACGCAGGGTGTCTGCCATGATCTTTTGGGCCGCCACACCTGTGCGCGTGGCGAGGACGCCGAGGCACACGTCGCCCCTGATAGCGCGGCTGCCGCTACCATGGTTGCACAGATCCTTGATGAGGGGCGTCAACATGGGTTTCCCCATGCCCTCTCTGGTGCCTTTGTTGTCCAACTCGCGCTGGCTGACCACCTCTTGGGACGCGGTGCCATCATTCGATTTTGCCTGGTTCCATGGCGACCTCTTGTTCGCATGCTGGCGGCCACTGCGGCCGATACCCCGGATGGCAGAGGGGCTCCACATGATGCCTTGGAGGCACTTATGACCAAGCTCATGGACCAGACCGCTGCGACCTTGGTTGCTACTGTGCAACCTGATCAGGAGCAACATGGAACCAACCTTGACTTGATTCGTACCCTGAGCGCAGCTGCGACGAGCCGCTCCTGTGCCGTGGCACGCCGCCAAGTCCGCGGCCTTGCCGACTTGGTACCAAATCTTCGCCAAACCTCGACCAGCCATAATCTGGAAAAGGAAGCAGCAGCTGACGCTCGGGCCGAGCCCGAGCTTTCCGCTATTCCCCGGGAGGAGGGCGTGGCCACAGAAGGATCTGAAACGCCCACCCTGTCTGGGAGCTCGCAAGCAACACGCGACTTTGCGCGCCTTTTCGATGTTACTCCTCGCGAGCAAGCGCTGGCGCAACAGCAGCGTGCTGCGTCTGTACGCCCTGCTGACCGAGACTTCTGGCCCGTCTCGACAGCGCGGCAGTCCGTCTTTCCGACACCTTTGGGAGCTCAGCACCAGGCACCGCCATCAAAAGTGTCCTCCGATATGGCTGACCTCCCTACACCCTCATCGACGTCGTTGCGCAGCGCCGCGGCAACGGTTCATGCGACACGCCAGCGTGTGCAGGAAGTCCTAGCTTCCCGCCATCTGCGCACTCAACCCTCCGTACCTGCGCGGTATCGCGTGGGGGAGCGAAGTGACAGCGGGGTGGAGATTACGCGCACCACCACGCGCATTGGTGTTCCGCCCAAGGCATCTGCCAACGATGCACTCAAGACTGATTTGTCCGCACCCCATGCCCCCGCCAGGCCGGCAATGTACTCTCGCTCCGCCACTGGTGGCACGGACAGCCACGGCCTTCGGGAAGACCTGCGCTCACTGCGCCAACGCCTCGAGCGCCGCCAGCGGGAAGAAGACTTGAATACCCGGGATGCCGACAGTGAGGCACAAATCAAGTCTGATTTGCGGCACCTCCGCCGCTCTGCAGAAACGGCTCACGATCGATGCGATGTGGTAAGCTGCTGCATGTTTCGCTGTTAAGGGAGAAGCGCGGGAAATCTGATTGTATTGAAATTTTGCCACGACTAGGGAACCCATCCTGAAGCCGTACACCCCGGAACATCCGTGGGAGCCCAGGCTACCGACTACAGCGACCTGCTTGGCCTCAACCAGGAGCTAGTTCGAACCAATCAGCGCCTGCAAGCCGCGCATCACACGTTGGATGACCGCGTCATGGCCTTGCAATCGGAGCTACGGGCAAGCAAGGATGCCGCACAGCGAGCTCAAGCAGAACGCAATCATCAAGCGAACACCATTGAGCGCCTGCAAGCCGAGAACGGCGACTTGCGCGCAGCACTACAACACGAGGGCAGCGCTCGCGTTAAAGAATTGGTTGGCCAACTTTCTGATCTGAATAGTCGTCTCGAGCAAGCGACGGCCCAGGCCGAGGACCGCGGCATCGAGCTAGAACGCACTCGCAGTGCCCTCCATGAGTTGCAAAAGGACAACTCCACCTTTATGCAGAAGAATGACCGGCTCCAAAAGGATGTCAGCCGGCTCGAGGCCGAAGTGGAGGACCTCAAGCTCACGTTGCAACAGGTTGAGGGTGCCCACCACACCAAGGCACAAAACGTGCGCGGTCTGCGCACCGAGCGGCTTTCGCTGGGCCAGCAAGCCGAGCAACTGCAGCGTCAGGTTGATACGCTGACCAACGAGCTGGGTCTAGCAGCAGCTAGCCACGATCAACTCCGTACTCACGCCGAGGAGTCTCGGGAGGAGGCCAAGGCCTTACGTCGGCACAACAAGCAGCTGGAGAAGGGCATCAAGGAGGTTGAGGATAACGTCGAGCGGCTGGAGGCAGAACTCGCAGCGGCCCTCAGCGCCAAGACTGACGTGGAGGGGCAACTGAGCACCGCTCAGCAGCAGTTGGAGGAGTACCAGGCCAACGTGACCACATTGCAAAAGCAGAATCAAGCCCAGCGCAACAAAGTGGCGGCGGCCACACGACACGAGCAGGCTTTCCTCAAGGTCTTGGCCAAGTTGCAGGCCGTTGTGCACCATGCTGCATCGCATGCCAGCCGTTGTGCCGCACGCAACGCGTTTGCTGTCAAGGCCAAGCGATTGCAGGATGATATTCAGATTGTTTTTGAGGAGTGTGTGGATCACCTGGCCGAGGGTGGCCTCAACTTCAAGACGCGCCGTGATGTCGTGGCTGGCATGAAAGACATGTTGGCCCGCCGGGAGGGCTAATCACCCGTGTGGGGCAGCTTGCTTACTTTTTGAGTGTGGACACCCTGAGTGAAGTGCTGTGGATTGCCACTTTTTTTTGGGTTGATGCTGCCGCGTCCCATTTGGTCAAGGCGGCCTTTCTCTTCCTTGCTGTTTGAAGTTGTTCGTCGGTTGACACGTATAATAATATTATTTTTGATAATCCATGATAACTCAGCCTCAAACGTTTTGTCTGTTTGTTTTGCTTGGGTACAATTGTGGGCTCGATACAACTAGCCAGCAGTCCGTGCACAGAAAATACGATAGCCGGAATTGGCTTGCAAAGATGAAAAGAAAGGAAGAACAAACGAGTTGAGCATCTTGAACGTGTGTGTGCGTGCGTTGACATCCCGAACACTCAGAGCCATCCCGAAGGGACAAGAGTGAATGCACGCCACGAACAGATACATGAGAGATACGCTCATAGGGACACGCAAAGAGCCGCGGAAGATATCCTTGACTCGGTATTGGTGCCTGCTCGCATTCAAGCGATGCGAGATGGCGGGCTTGACTTAGTTGGACGACATGGTGGAGCTGGCCTTGCCAAAGTCCTTGTGAGACTCGGTTCCACCATGGCCATAGCCACCGGCGCCGAAAAGGGCCTCGTAGCATGGCTTTTGGCAGTAGGGCTTACCACCGTGCTCCAAAAAGGAGCCGTTGGCCAGAATCTTCTTGCACTTTTCGCATTTCAGGCACATCTGCCAACGAGAGCAAACTAGGTCAGTACAAACGCAGACGTCACGTCCTTGGTGGCAAGAGCGGGTCATTCTTGACGCACCTTGTGCCAGTCCTTGCCAAGTGCCGTGTGCTTTTCAGCAAAGTACACGCTATGTCACAGGGAAAGGACAAAGGACATAAACAGGGCGTGAGTTGAGCAGACTAAAGCGGGATGGTGCCCATCAGCTGCAACGACTGTTCGGCACGCCTAGCCACCCATGCCTGTGGCCTCTCGCCAGAGGTTTGAGAGGCCCACTACCCCGATTTTTTCCCGATATCTCATCATCATGACCGCGCCGCGTCATCTTCTCCAGAATCGAGTCAGAGGGCGGGGGGTGGCACAAACACCAACCTCTTGCCGCACGAGGGGCACTTGGGCGCTTCAGGGACCTGCGGAGAGCCATCGCACGATTGACAATGCACATAGAGAAGAGAGCAGCCGTCAGATCTCAGGCCTAAAACCTGAAGCCCTCGTGCTGCTGGAATCAAGAAGACATGTGCGCACCTTGAAGGGCATGATGTCGGTGTTGGTGTTGGGGGGGGGAGGGGTCGTGATTTGAACAAATCTATCTCATGCACGCAAGCGTACCAGACAATCAGTTAGACGGCCAAGGCAAAAGGCCACGACAAAATCTTATATCCCTGCACCACAACGCCCACAACAACCAACAACCAACAACCCCCGTTGCTTCCTGCTGCTGCCATCGCGTCCGTGCTGCCCAAGACGATGCGCGCGCGCGCCACTGAAGCATCGGAACATTGTTGTGGTCTTGCACACACCAGAGGAAAATGCACACACAGCTCGAGCGACTGGGTTACTAAGTGTCACTCTTACATCGACTCCTCAGGTACATCCGGATGTAAGACTTTTTTTTCCTCTTCCGCCTCGCCTCTTGTGCTTTTCCTTATTTCTCTTTCTCAAACCGACCAATTCATTTGTCTCTCTCTCTCTCTCCCTCTCTCTTGACATCTTGCTAGGCGGTTTACAGAGGCGGCAGTCAGGCAGTCTGGGTATTAGCATGTATGAAAAATTCAAGAGTCGCGCTGATGGACTCGACTGGTCTTGGAAACGGACATCTGAATTGGTTGGTTCACACACCCACACTTAAAAATTAGAAAGAATTAACTCAAAACCCTCGGAGCGCACCGCATCAAACCCCAAACAGAATATGCATGAGGCGCAACCAGACGACTCCGACATGCTTCACTTAACCTAAGCAGTGCTATCTGTGGCAAAGTCCAGCTCCACCGCAAAGTGCTCGTCGTAAATCTTCCATGTCTTTGGTTTGTGTGGATTGTCCAAGTCCTGGCGCTCAATCCGCAACCTAAGCGATTGCCCGCCCATTCAGTCAATCGGCCGCTCGTACTCGAGCCCACATCTCCCTTCTCTTTCTTTTAAGCCACAACCAAGCCAAACACCCCACCCAGGCCCGGCAAAGACGAACCGGTCTTCGGGAACAAAGCCCGTATTGAACCAAAAGTAAAAGGGGCACTTGTCATAGTATGCAGGCAAATCCTGAACGCCACCAAAACAGCCAGCAACGTGAAACGTCCAAGGCGCCCTGCGTCCTTGGCTGCAATTGAGGGTCAAATTTCCTCTGCCCGTACCTCTGAGTAGAACATGGTTTTAACATCCTGTCGAACCGCCGTGCCAGAGCAGGAAAACTCAATGGCGGGGATTGACACGCCACTACGCTCCACGGTGACCTGAGAACCAGAACAAATGAACCCAAACAAAATTCGCAAACCAACACCAACAGCTCTGCCCAGTGACCTACTTGCTTCGCGTCGCTTGTTTCCAGCACAGTAGTATCTGGGTTGAGCATTTTAACGCGCAGGCTTCGGATACCATTGGTACCCGAGGGATCCACTGACGCAAAAGGACACCTGGTATAAGTGGCTGATCACGATAGGCGCGCAAACCAAGTGGGCCGGTGCATGGTTGTCCCCGCCCTCAACGGAGGGGTTTCACTCACGTCGCAGGGAGCAAACTCGAATGGTCGAGATGTGCAGGGTCTTTGTGGGTGGAGGAATACGATTGTATTTTTGGATAATGTCCTCCACATAACCCACAAAGCGATACTGGCTGGGAGTCTGTGAGCCCATCGTGTATCGGTTAGTAATAGGCAAGCCACTCGGCTTGAGCAGCGCTAAATGGGACAACGCGCGGTCGCGCGCCACCCCTCGCAAAAGCTCAAAACAAACCTGGACGCCTTGGAACATGTTGCCTACACCCTTGTCGGTGCGTCGCTCGGCAAAAAAGTCCAGTGCCTCCTGAGGTCATATGTGATCGGCGACATACATGAAGAAAGGACATGCGCATTGCTACATTCCCGCGAGCTGCCAAGCTGTTCCGGATACCCTCCTCCCCCCAGACTCACCTGAGCCTGCGTAAACATGCCGCTGTAGAGCAACCAAGAGCAGATGATTGTGCCTGTCCGACCTTTGCCACCTGGACGCACCAATCATATCAGTTCGTCACCGCTTAGACAAGCACACACCGGGCACAGCTGGTGCGCACAGAAGAGCCTACCTTTGCAGTGAATGGCCAGAACACGCTTTTCGTCCTTGCTCAGAAAGTCTTGAAACTCACGACAAATGGAGAATATCTCGCTGTTGTTCCCAGACAACCAGAGAGATATCAGGTAGGCCCACGGCGCGCATCCGCAAGCGTGGTCCGTGAGAACAAAAACAAACGCGACGAGTAATGCCCCCGAAGCCAAAGCCCTCTTCGGCTTGAATGGCACGCCATCCAATTTTATCACACGGCACTGACTTGAGCGGTGGAACATTGTGATCGTCGATGCGGCAATTCTTGACCGAGTTGTTGAAAAAGGCGTGGTCGTAATCTCGCTCCGAACAGCAATTGACAATCAGGTAAGCATTCGGAAACTTTGTGTTGAAAAAGCGCGCCACCTCGGCGATGGGGTTGCGGTAAATGGCTGTGCGTCCCGAGCTTGGAAATGACATGGCAATGACTCGATCTAAAAAGCAGTGACAGCGGTACCGTGAGGTTGCTCTGTTTTATTCTTGTGTTAGCTTCCTCCTTTCTTGAAGGGCGTGCACCAACGCATGTGAGAGGAGCAAGCATTTGGCCGGCTAGCGCTACGGTACGCACCCGTGACAAAGGTCAGATCAAGGTCAAAGCCATCCTGACGATAGCGACGCTTGTTTTGCGAGACCTTTCGTGGCGCCGTTCATGACGACATTGGTGAGGGACCGGGGGCGGCGCTTTTTCTGCAAAGCACAGAAGAGGACGCCGATTTAAAAAATAGCATTCAATGTCGAGCTAACGTACCAGCAAACGAGCAGCACGCTTGAGTTTATTTTGCTCCGAAAGAAGACGCAAGATCAGGAAGATGCGCACGAGTCGTGCCAAGATGATCACTCTAGATACGTCAGCAGGTGCGCCGAGTTTTAACCCAAAAACAACGAGAGTGATTGCCGGTGACTTGAAACTGGGGCGAGGACAGGGCATGCCTCTGCTGAGTGGAGTGAGACACTTAATTGGATACACACCGGCCAGCTTCAAAGGCAAACTCGAAGATAAAGGTCACGAGCACGATGAGAGCATCAAACATCTCCCACGGCAACCGCACAAAATGACGTGGCCTGCGTCCGACAGAGACCGTCGTCAAAAAGGCGTCATGTGCAGCTACTGCTCAGTTGTCACTTTCGCACACATCCCACGACCGGCTGACATACCCAATAGCATAGATGCGCGCACAGAGCTCGATCATAAAGTAGACCACAATGATGGTAGACACCACATCATAGGCCTGCCGTGCGCGCGAAGCAGGGGATGAGGGTGGCAATGGAAGGAACAAGATCACAAGCTCGATGTAAGTACACGCACGATGGGATCCTTGTGGTGACTGTTGAATTTCCAGTGCGCGTTGGAAAGGCGAACGAAAACCAAGATGACGTCGATCAACACCAACAGCAATCCAAAGAGCCGCGTGTAGATATTGTCGACTACTCGATGGACCCACCACCGAAAGAGACTACCACCAATGCACAAGTCGCGAGCCCCGCCAAGCCAGGTGAGGCAACACAGATCAAGGAGATGCGAGATACTCAGCAGACGGCAAGAACACGGGACGTACGGTTCGCCACCGGCCGGCTTTTCGGCCCGGTTTTGGTGGGAAAGGCTCTTGTCGAAGGAGACGCCATTTTCTAGTTCAACTTCGACCAAAGCATCGGTAAAGTCCTCATCCTCCATCGCGAGGGAGAGCTCACGGGGAGAGGAGAAATCAGATGCGCGTTGGGATCCTAGGGTTGTGGAGCACTGCTCGTTGCTGCCAATGAGGGGCTGCCTGAGCTGCTGAATGACAGACTTGCCCATGAGCCTCCTTGACCTAGCTCGACCTAGGCCTACGATCTCGATTCAAGACCGAGCAGGCTCTTTGATGTCCCAACGACAAGATGAATGCCACGTGAACCGACGGACCAGGCGCCAAACAAGCCCGAGACTGAGAAGCAACACGAGCCTATCGTGTCCCCCGACAATTGATGAACACCGAAGGCGCTCCTGGTGACCCACAGGACGCGCCGGCAAGCCGAGGTGAAACCTTCAACGTCTGAAACTTACCTCAATCCCCCAAAAAAAAGGCGATCTCAGACAAAAAATTTCAAAAAAAAAAAAAAAAAAAAAAAGTGGACAACGACAATTTGATGAACCCTGCTTTGTGGCCTCGCTACTGTATGGGTACAAAGAGGCTGTAGCATGATTGAACTGGCTGAAAGAGCTGCGGCTGAATATGGATGTCAATTCTATATTGAGCAAGCCGGAAGCCGGGAGCCGATTTTCAATTTGACATGACGCTCCTGGCCTGCCTTGATCGGATCATAGGCGATATGCGCGGCGAGCCGTTTCAGACAGCAGTTGACGCTGAGCAGCCTCGTCGTACCGAGCCAGCAACCGCGAGAAACCAGCCTAGCCCGCCCGCACAACAGCAAAATGATGCAAGGGCGAGAGTTACACCACCTACACACCAACGCACAGGAGTCGCGCTGGGCACCAAGGCCGGGCCATGTCGCAGACATACCCAGAGTTGCGCTGGTTGAACATTGAATTCAGCTTTATCCACGGGGTAATTAGAGGCCAGCATGCAGCTATGACACGGCAAATGCGCAGCGGCTGAGTTGCATACGCTCACAGGGCCGTCTGGCACAACAACGTACTCACCGGTCTGTGCCAAAAAGTGCAATGACTTCATGCACGAGGTCATCCACCGTAGCATCAGATCCCTCGTGCCAGTTGGACTCGGTATACGCCAGCATGCTCAGCTTGACATAGACATGTGGGCCCGCAGCAGCTAGCAGGTGCATGCCCGCGCGCCAATTGGCCAGGGCCTAGGAAATAGCAAGTCGGAGAGTCATCCCTCTCGTTGGCGTTGGAGGGCCGGAACGAAGCATTGCAGCAAGAAAAAAAACACACACCTCAGTTCGCTGCGCTGAGCCTTCAACGTTGAGCTTGAGTGTGCCCAGGTGGTCAACGATCATGGGCACTTCAGGATGCTAGAAGAAGAGAGCCAAAGGAAGAGACCGTATGACAAGGAGATGAGCGCACTCGATGGGCGTATGATGCGGAAGAGCAGACACTCAACAGGAATAGCAACTGAAGAGGCAGCGCTGACCTTGGCGGCTAGGGCAGCAGCACGCTCCAACTGATGCGGATTGGCTTGCAGATCAAAGCTATCCATGGATCCTTACCTGAGATCTGCCATGGTGGTGACAGCAGCACTCAGGAGGACAGCGTACCTGAGTTTGTGCTTGGCAAGTTCGGCGTAGCCCCGGGCAAACTCGGTGCTAGTCAAGTGCTCGTCATGCTCCACTTTGGGCCAGCTTGGATTGTGATTGAGGATCATGCGGATACCGCGCATATACTGTCATTTTCAGCCACCCGATGAGAGTGGTTGCGACCGCCTTGTGCAACTGCACGAGTGTCCGTCCCAAGAAGTGTACCTTGCCGCGGTTTCCCTCCATCATGGAAGCGACCAGCGCCGGTGCTTGAGCATCGGCCAGGTTGGCATAACCCACAATCCCCTAAAGATGAGACGAGGCCAGACGCAGTGGTTAGGAAGAGCAAGGCTCGGGACCGGCCGTGTGTTGCAGCAGTGTACGCACGAGGGGTATGTCCGCCTGCTCAGCCAACTGCACAACATAGTCGACTTCACCTAAGAGGATCATCTCAAGCACAGCACCATTGGGATGGTACGGAGGTCGGGTAAGCACGAATCGACCAGCTGCGCTGGGGGGGTTGGCAGTGGGGCGTGGACGCACGCAGAGCATCGTCAGCAATGGCTTCGATGTGAATGGCTCCTGTCAACTTCATGCCGTAGGGATCGACATCGGCTCGCAAATCCTGCGGTACAAGCGTGGCCGGATATCATCAATGCCGATCATCGCCCTGCCATCACGGCCCCGGTGGTCCTGATCAAGTGGGCCGAGCGTACCGCGACGCCATAGACGGGACAGGCTGCCGCGACAGCTCCCAGAGTCACGGGTGAGTGGACGGGATCAGTGCCTGTGATGTTCCAGAAGTGCACATGTGGATCCACAAACTATGTGCGCACGATTCGTGAACAGCCGAGTCATCCAAACAAAAGAGAGGGCTGCAATCGCCCATGGTCCCACCTCCATGACGGCGTTGAAAGCCGAGCCCTAAAAGCAACAGGCGACCCTTTCGATGAAAAAAAAAAGGAGGCCCTCTGACCTTGGCCACGGCAACGACATGAGCAACGCATCATCTCAAGCCAGTGGCAGGGACGATCCTGAGGGCAGCATGCTCGAAAGACTTCACTTTTGCAACCATGCCCCCCTCCGCCCCAAAGTGTTCTTATGCCGAAGCATAACAACAAGATCATCATGCCCAAGGCCAGCAACAAAGCCAACACCTCGTCCGTCCGGCCAGATCACCCTCTCCACCCCAAGTCATCGAGGACCCCCTCGCCCACAGCCCCAACTCGACAAGCGACTCACTTGGAATGCAGCGAAGCTCGCACGTATCAAAGAAAACGTTGACAAGTGTGGAAAATCGTGCATACATGTATAACCAATAACCCTTATTCCGCGTTGGTCTTGACGCTACACGTATATATTTTCTGACAATCGTGTATCACCAAAGGCCAATGTATGTGTGGTGCGAGCCGAGAGAACGATGTTGGGGGCGACGAGGTTATTTCTCACAAATTGGGCTTGGTACGTCCCCACCCCCCCCTTGATGGCTGTTGGTCTCTTGGTCCCCGTCGCACCTCTTTGACCACACTCACACACACTCACACGTCTGCAGCAGGGGCGCGCGCTTCTCTTGACTTGCGCCGTCGTGCTGAGACCCGGCTTTGCTCTGGTGTTGCTAGCGACGCCGAACGGCCATTGGATTTGCTTGGTTTGCGGGACGTGGCCTCCTTGTCATCAGCTCACACAAGAAAGGGCTTCACCGCCGTTGCTGCCGCCATCTTTGAAGTGAGTGTCGGACGTGTACGCTTCCGCATCGCAACCGGCAACACTGCATCGCAGGCGCCGCAGACCTGAAACCATCCGCCCGGCTCGGCATCAGCGCGGTGCTCATCGAACTGCGTTCATCAGGAACATAGTTCCACAAGGTCAAGCACCGTTCTTGGACATTGCAGACCCGACTGGCCTTTGAGCTGGCAACCCGTTCATCAAGCTGCAGGCACTGCGCCCGTCACCAAGCCTATCTGCCCATGGTTCACACCATCTCCTTCACTTTCTCACCATCTACATTTGAGCTCTCCTATCCTCTTCTCAGCAGGATTGATATTGAAGTTCCGCTGCTTGACTTGAGCCTGTTCCTGCTCGCTTCCACAACCGCTGAGCATGTCTTCTGTTTGAGCTCTTGTTGCTTGGTGTACGCCATCCTCTTGCGCCCTTCCGGCCTGTATTGCCCGAGAATCAACAAGCCCCTGGCTCTTGCTTGCCTGCGCTCTGATGAGCTGAAGACTTTCACTCTGTTGACAATTGCGCGCAACGCCTGAGGCCTGATCAACAGCTCCCGTCATGACTGAGTCGGCCGTGCCCTCGCACTCGGCGTCGCCCCTCGCTTCAGCCAATGCGAGCAACGGCGAAAAGCCTCGCATGCGCGCGGTCCAGCTCATGCGCCGGCTACCCGCGCCACCGCCCACCACGCCGCCCCAACGAGGCCGACGCCGCTTGCCGTCAACCCCGCCCCGCTCGCCCCGCCTGTCTTTGGCTAATTCTTTCGGTGTGGATGATGAGGAAGCTGCCACCGTCTCCAGTCGTGCCTCCTTCGACTCGCAATGGTCTTCCCCCCTGGCAGCACGAGCCTCTCTCCCCTACGCCGGCTCGGTCGGCACGGTCGAGGATGAAGTTTTTGACGACCCCCTCAATCAAAGCCTCAGCCTCAGCCTTAGCTTTAGCGCAGACCAAGCTGCAGCACTGAGCCCGTTATCCAATCTTGGGGCACAGGCCAGCTTGCCTTCCAGTCTAGAGGTTGGGCCGACTTTGCCAACTTTGGATCCAACTGTGCCTGTGGCGTTGTCGCCTCGGACCAAGCTCGCCGATGCACAGGACAGCCACAAAAACAGTGCTCACAAGAGCCGCTGGGGTAGCAACTTGGCGCACCCACCCGCCCACGTGGACAGCCCGCTGGCACACAGCCCCTCACGATCAAACACCGATGCCCCTGATAAGCGGCAATCCGTCATTTCTGCACAGGAGCTACGAGAGGCCCTCGAGGCCATCATTCAGCCTGCTGGCGAAGATGCCTCCACCGATCTGAACGACGCACTGCAAGAAAGCCGCCGTCTGGCCATCTCGAGCAAGAACAACAACGATTCCGAGACACCATCCGCACTCAGCTCAGGGGCAGCCTTTCACATTCACTCGGCTCAGTATAGTACGCCCCCACCAGATTGCGGGCCCCGAACACCGCGCTTTGCCGCCCATGCGGTTGGCATCAAGCGCACCAAGCTCGGACGTCGCCCCGTGTTCAAGCCTCGCGCGCTGCGCGATCCGCTCTTGGACGGCCTGCCGGAGGAAGGCACCTTCTTGCGCTCCGTGATCGCACCTGCGGGTTCCGTGCAGACAGCTGAATCCAACCGTGGCTCTTCGCTGAGTGACCACGTCCACGCACGCTTGCAGGAAATCCGCAACCTCCAATGGCGCAACATTCGAGAGGAAGGCTGGGGCTGGCGCAAAAAACTGGCCAAAAAGGCGCTTCAGTCCAATACTGGCCTTGGTCACGTGGGTCGAGATGAGGATGAAGATGCTCAGGACAACAGCAGCGTCACCACGCGAGAACAGAAGCGCACTCGCCCCTCACGACTGAGTCGAAGCTGCGCCGCGGAAGTCCGAAAGCAACCCATCATGGCCTACCAGAACCTTTTTGGCAACCGTGATAGCCAGCACTTTCAACTTCGTCGTAATCTTTTCATGGACGAACCTGCTGCTGAAGCTGAGCCCAGTTCTGCCAGCATGCCAATGGATCCGCCTCAAAAAGTCACCGGCTTTCAATCGCACTTGACCTTTGATGCCCCAACGCGCCCAACCATACTGGCCCCCGTTGAAGATGAGGAGGAGGACGACGATGAGATTGATCTCAGCCTGGCCACCAGCAGCGACTTTTTGAGCTCTATGGTCCCACGAGCCACGGTCCGCCCTCGGGAGCGAGGCAGCCTTCGCTCACGCGACTTGCTGGGCAGCTCCTTGCAGGCATCCCAACTCAAAACCAGCTCGCCATCCACTTCGCGGGAGAACCAACAACAGTCGAATCACAAACCCTCGCCATTTTTTCGCGTCAAATCGGCATCGCCCCGCAACGGGGGCCTGGAATGGCTCGGTGACTCGCGCGGTCGTTGGGAGACAAGTCCCAAGCATGTGGCGCTTGAGCGCGCCGTCAACCAAGCCCTTTACTGAACTTTTGACCAATTATCAGATCTAGCCTGTTTCCATTCGCGCACAGGACCCACGGAAGCTCTTTGTACAAACCTGTGACAATGTCATTTTGTCTGTAGAAGATTTTTGGGCCCCCACTGGGCCAAACAAGCGGCTGGGCCGCCCGGAGTTCCCTTTCTGTTAATTCAACCTCGATTTTCTTTATTTTTTTTTCTTTTTTTTCTTTGTTGCTCCTTGTTGCACATGAAAGCGAACCCAACGGCTTCTTAATCCTCTAATCCAGTGTTTAGCGGTTCATGAAGTCGAAGAGAGATTCGGGTGTGCTAAAACTCCCCTTGTCTCAACCCTTGGTTAACGCCATACAAAGAAAACGTCCCTTTTTATTATTTTGACAACTTCGGCTCTTGTCGAAGTGAACTTGCTGTGCAACGACATTTGACTGTTGCTTCCCCGCCTTCTTCTGCAGTGCAGTCAATAATATTGCTATTGTTGTGCACGAAGGCACGAAGGCATCAGCTTCGCTGCTCGTCGAGGAGATAACTTGACAGGAGCACATGAACACTTGTTAAGGAACTACACATAAAGCACAATCAATTTTGATTTCAAAGATGTCTCTCTGTTGAACAGCAGGAGTGGCACACGTTCGTCACAGAACGTTTGCGCTGCCTGATTGACTTTTCTGAGCCCTCGAGGTCATCAACTTGAGCGAAGAAAACGGGGGAGTTTGCCTCCATCCTCTCAGCGCCAGATGGGTATGATGCGAGCGACGGTTCCACAAGTCAAAGAGGGGCGCTCTCGCTGAAAGCTCAATCAGATGGCTGGACAAACACGTTGGTTTAATAGGAGCGCTGACCAATTGGTACAAGATTAGCGTTGGAGCCGCCACGGTCATCGCGGCGGCCATCGCGGCCGCCACCGTAGCCACGATCGCGAGACGAACGTCCGCCATGGCGATCACGATCGCGGTCTCCGTATCGATCGCGATCTCCCCGATCACCATAACGGTCACCGCCGCGACCACCACCACCGTAGCGATCACCACCGCCGCCGTAGCGATCACCACCGCCGCCGTAGCGATCACCACCGCCGCCATAGCGGTCACCACCGCCGCCGTAGCGGTCACCACCGCCGCCATAGCGGTCACCACCACCACGGCCACCACCATAACGATCGCTTGAGCGACGATCGCCACCATAACCACCCGACGAGGAACCGCCGTAGCGATCACGCGAACTGCTTGCTGGTGCCTCATAACGGCTCTCACGCCTATGGAGGGGGGAGGGAGGAGGTGCGTGCAACCATCTCGCGATGAGGACTACTGTCTTTGTACGCTTTGCGCAACAGCTAAACATCGTGGGCCCTCTCTGCCACATTTTATGCTTCTGCACAAATACAAACGCACGCCACTGACCTGCCCTCCTCGACGCGCTGACTGCCCACGCGGCCCGTGACGACATCGTTCTTGTCTGGTCCACCGTTTCGAGTGCCTCCGAGTCCACCACCTGAACACAGACAGCATGAGTCGTGGTGCGCCAACCGCCCGGAACCCGTTGCAGCCAGGCTTTTTGAGAGATGTTCAGCATACCCAGACGACGTGGCTTCCAGTCGTCGACCGTACGACCACGCTCAACATCCACCACGACGCGGCGTCCTTCAATCTTGCGGCCATCGCCGTATTTGTAAGCAGCTAAACAAGCGTGAGTAGTCATGGAGGTGAGCGAGGGCTATGTCAGCAGAACACCGCACATGTGACGCAGAATCTGACCCTTCAAGTCGTTTTCATGCTCAAACTCGATGAAAGCATAGCCGCGGGATTTGCCGTCTGCATCGCGAACCAAGGATACCTGGACACGGTAGGATGGGGGGTTGGTTGGTTGATTAGGCGGTGTCGGCCAGTGCGCCGCAAGACAGAGGAACCTCCCCCAAACACGTCGACGAATAACTCACATCTTTGACGGGTCCATAGGTGCTAAATTCCTTCTTCAGGACTTCCTCGTCAAGAGCGTAAGACTGCAGTGTGAACAACAAACCGAAAGAAGGCTTGCTCATGAGGAGGTGCTCGAAAAACAGACGGGGAGTACCAGCGCCATGCAGTAAATCATACCAAGCGGCCCACAAACAAGGTCTTGAATGGGTCGCTCGTAGCTTTGGGATTCTCCTTGGGCTTCCCTAAGCATGGGAAAATCGGGAGAAGAGGGCCATTGGTTAAAATGCCACCTGAGAGGCGCTGGTTGTGCTGCACGTAGCTGGGCGCGTTGATAATACTCACATGCTTCCAACGCAGCGGAGAGCTGAGGCTCCTGGCGCTCAATGGCTTCCTTGGCCTGCGGGGGTCAACGTGCAAGATTCCAGCCATGGTACAACACGTCAGCAGGACTTTGTATGCACCTGGTTCTTTGAAAAAAACAATTTTTTTTTTTGTCAGGGCACAGCCCAAAAGCATGCTTACCTTGCGCTGCTTGCGGGCTTCCCGAGTCTCGAGAAACTGGCCCACCCGAGGCGGTGGTGCAGTGGTTTCAAACTGGTCAAGATAGGCTGAGATGCCCGTCAGCGGGGCGTTGTATTTCCTGCCAACCAGTGTCGTGTGTCGAGGCAAGAGAGTGAATAGGTTGAGGTGATGTCTGTTGGGCGCCAAGAGGGGACGATGCACGGACAAGCCCAATGGGGCGGCAAAGCTGCGCACGGGCCCTACCGCTCAAAGTTCTCAACCTGCAATTCAGCGGCAGGGACGTGTTTGATGGGCGGTCCGGGCTCGAAGAGATCGCGAAGGTAGGGGGGTAAGAATGCTGTCATCGTGCTCTGGTCACCAGAGGCTCAGCACACTCGGCTCGACGAGCTGCCGTCCACTGTGCGCGTGCGGCCTGTTGTGTCGTGACAATACACGTCTAGCACGAGGTGTGCTTGCAATGAGATCGGTCACGGGATCCAAGCAGCACACGGTGGCTGGAGGTACAGTTGGGTCCCAACAATGCCAGCTCGCCCGGCTGCCAAATGCAGATGTCTGAACAGCCAGCGAACGCAGCGGAACGACAAGAGAGCAAAGGGGTGCCTTTATAGTCGCTTGTTCTTTTTTTGACCCCCGGATTGTCAGACGCACTCTTTTGTCAGAAAATTTCAAGCCAGGGACAAGTCATGTCAATTCACATGCATGAAGAAGACTCACGGGGCACGGCCTCGGTACGTGACAGGACCTACAAAGGGAGCGATTAGGAAAGAATGGAACAAACACAAGACACAATGTACAACCAGGTCGACAGACACGGGACATGTCTAGACCACAACGATACTTGAAAGTTACTCTGTCTTGGTGTGAGCATCATCATCGTCTTTGCGACTCGGTTCAAGTGGTACTGAAGATGAGGTGGTGGGTGTGGCGGCGTTCGTAGGGACGTCCAGCTTGTCCCGGGGATGAGTTGGGACAGGCGAAAAAGTGCGGGTATGTGGGTTTGCCTGCTTGAGCGAGTCAGCACGAGGTGTTGAGGCAAGGCGTCGACGCAAAGGCCCCTCGCCAAGAGTGAGTGGGGAGCCCAGATTTGGCGTGCTGGGCCGGGATGCGGCGGCTGATGTGCCTCGCGATAGTGCCACGAGTGAGTTGGCAGGCAGCCGGCTGGGTAAAGAGCTGGAGCGCATCGTGCGGCCTTGTACCAGCTCCTCGTCATCGGTCCCCTTTGCATCATGATCGGACCAGCTCGGCATGCTGGACTGTTGGCTCTGCGGCGGATGCGAGGGCTCCATGCCCGCAGCAGGTCGACCCAAGCGTCGCATGGCGGGGAGAGTGCGAATCAAGCGATCGCATTCGGTCTCGTAGGCCAATTGCATGCCAAAGTAGCGACGCATAAACTCGCGCACCTCGTGCACAGGCTGCATCGCTGTGGCACGCACAAAAAGTCGGATCGGCGAGACGACACGGTTCCCAAACAAGAACAACACCTGGTGCCGGTTCAAAACAGGACGTGGTGGACAGCAGAAACAAGGAAAAAAAGGTGAGCCATCAAGACATAGATATACGCTCGGCTCGAGGTTCGAATGAGGGCCAAGAGAGCAGAGCATCGCCAGTTGAGGAACATACCCGAAACATGGGCAAGAGCGCACGATGAGAGCCTTCGAGAGCAGCATAGACCATCACCAGGAGAGGCTGGATCAGGCGGAAGAGCATGATGCAGAGGCGTTGAATAGGCTCAAATTTGGCCTTGAAATACACCATAAGAGCGTCAATGGGAACAATGAAGCCAGTCACGTAGGCGGTCCAGGCGGTTGCCCAGTCGGTCAAGTCGCCCAACCACTCGAAAAAGTTTTGCACAAACTGCAAGCGGTTGCGAAGCGCAGCAAAAACACACACACAGAGACAGACAGACAGACAGACAGACAAACAAAAAAAAAAAAAAAGGAGGAGGGTCAAAAAGGAGAGCCGCATGAGGTGCTGTTCACGGTTGCCGTTCTGTGCCACAACGCGCGCGCGCGCTTGCACGAAGAGCTAGGCAGGGCGAGGGTCAGAACGCTGGTTTGGCGCACGTGAGCGCCAAGGTTCTACTTGCGCCTGAAAGCTAAACAAACCTGAGGCAAAGCGGGCAGGTAGATGGTGGCACGCATCGAGCGGAGGATATAGCGGGTGGAAACGACTCCCATGTCAGCGTTGACGCTGCTGATGAAGCGGTTGTGGTGCCGGGAGATATGGGGCCAGGTGGTGTAGAGGACCTGAAATGTGAAGACCACCGGCAAAATGTACGTCACAAAGACGTAAAGATAGCGTCGAAAGCTGATGCTGTTGTAGATGTTATGATACACGAGTACACTCATGATTGTCTCTGTCTGCGGAAGAGCAAACAAAGCAGGCCAAGGGGCATGCACGAGTGAGCGCGGCCAGCGAGCCCCCCCAAAAGACATGGGACGGGGGCGTGGAGCGACGACCTGAGCTTACCCAGTACGAGCCGATGGAGATGTGACGCATCCGTCGAGCATACTCGGGAACGTCGAGCACCGAGTCTCGAAAGCGCAGAAGCTGCGAAAGGCGTTTGTAGTCTTGCTTGCTTTTGGCGGGAGCATAGGTGATCATGATTGGGTAGTTGGGTTGGATATAGCGAAACTGGTCGGGCAGGCGAAACCAGGAGGCGACACGGTCACCCAAAACAACCATAATGGCGCCGCTGAGGAACAGCCAGACCCCAAGGGTCGTCCATCCAGCGTAAAAGAAGAATCGAGACAGATTGATCCAGATCAAGATCACGGCTGAGCGACACTTGATGTCCGCCCATTGCTTGGGTTTGAGCTCATAGGATGAGGTGACGATAGCATCCAAGTCACTGCGCTTGTGCACGGCCAGGGCAAGGAGCACAAAGGCTGTGATGGGCCCCGTGACGAGCGTGAGCAGCAAAAAGCCGTTGAAGAAGAGGACAATGCCCTTGATCCAATCTGTCCATTGCTGAAGATTGAGACTCTGAACCGTCTTGACAATCATGACGTGCCCCTGCGCCAATTGTCGCCCCGGATCTGTAAACATGATAACGCTGCCGGAATCGTATCATCGCGGGTGAGCAAGCGCAACGAAGAAATAGGCAGATTGGCAATGCTTGAGAAAAAAAAAAAAAAAAAAAAAAAAAAAAAAAAAAAAAAAAAAGGAGAGAGAGAGGAGGCACGAGCTGTGTGACCGGCACACCTGAGGGCACAGATGTCGCGCGCATCGAGAATTGAAGTGCGGTTGTGATCATCTCGATAGCGAATCGAAGGGGGCTGGTCAGGCTGGTCGATGAGCTCCACCTCAGCAGGGCGTTGGGTTGGCAACGGAGACGTGGGCCGGCTAAATCGACCCAAAGCCCCCTTCCATTCTTGAATAGTTTGGCGCAGGTTGGTCACGAGGGCCGGTGAGCCACGCAGTGAGCCCGTAGATATGCTCGTGTGGAGCGGCGAGTTGGTGGCCATGCCAACGGTGCCGTGGCCACCGAGTGGCCTATCCTGCTCCCCAAGTATGCGCCGTGTTGTGTTGTTCGATCCTCAGCGACCAGGCTCTCACAACTGTGTAAGCTTGGAGGTTGAGGGTTGCTCAATGTCCACAACCAAGACAGTTGCGTGCTAAGCGCAAATGCAATCGACCTCCCTCCTGCTTGAGAGGGGCCACTCGTCGGGCCTTGCTGCTGCTGTTGGAGCTCGCGTCCGCTTGAAAATGTTGTGTGCATGATACATGTACATGTACATGTACATGTAATTGAGTGTTTTTGTGTTTTCACTTTTCTCTTCCTTCCTGTGCTTTGTTGTGATAGATCCTTGGTAGATCAGGCTACGGTGAGGCTGCATGCAGGAAGGACATTGCCTTGGGTAGGTGTATCAAGGGCCGCCTACCAGAGGCCTCACCATTATTATCATCATCATCATCATCATCTTCTTTGCCTTGACTGCCGTCTGTGGCCTAACCAGCTGCTTGCTTGCTTCTGATGTGGCGCCACTGGGGCAAAGCAAGACCTTGTTTTAATTTAGAGAGCACAACACAAAAAAGAAAGACCATCATTATTTGTCAGCAACTTTCGGGCAGGCAGTGCGGCAAAGGTCAACGAACAAGAAACACAATGATGGGGCGTGCTGAGCTGTGGCTGGTGGTGGTGGTGGTGGGGGTATTGACCTGCGGTGGGACGGGCCTTGCGGGTCGAGGCGGTGTTATGGCTGCGCCGATGACACCGCCAACTGTGCAGATTGAATGGGAGGCGCCGGTGGCCTCGCGTTGGGCGCCGGCTGTTGATGCAGTGCTCGCCCGCTACTCGGCCGAGGAATCCTTCCTGCCCGTGTTTGCAGCCCACAACGCCTCGCTCTTCAACAACCTCACCACCGAGGACTTTGCAACCCTGGGCCAGTCGTTGGCCAACCATTGGCCACACCTGTCGGAGGAAGTTGATGCCATCGCTCAAATTCTGACAGATCGTGGTATCCCCACCTCCTTCAACTATTTGGCGGCCTGGGTTTGGTTTCATGAACTCGCGCACACGGATGCTGCCGCGCCCGACTTGCGCCGAGCTCGCGGTGGGTTGGGGGAATCTGCTTGCTGCAATCACGAAGCACAGACCACGAATATCGCCCAGCATCCTCCTTTTTGCCCCCATTCTTTCAAACACTTTGCCGTGGAACGGATGGATGAAAAACCGCACCCGACTCACCTGTGTGCCGCCTGCGTGATTTGATGGGGTTCGGTTCGGCTGACATGTTGTCACACCTAGCTTGCACGGGCGTGCTCGTGCCTTGTGGGGCCACAGGCATTGCGCACGCACGCAATATGGATCAATCGCCGTATGAAGCCCGTCGCCTCACGCTCCATATTAACATGACCCGCAATGGGCAAGTCCTTTTCGAGGGTGTCGACTGGTACTGGATCACTGGCGGTCTCATGACGGCTGCTGGCTCTGGCCTCACCCTTGAGGAGAACTGGCGCTTCACCGATGTTTTCAGTAAAACAACTGTGCTTGCGGCAGCAACCACGGGTGCCATGCCCCAGGTTTTCGTCTTTCGTCACGTCCTGACGCAGGCTGCCGAGTCAGGCAATGCGAGTGCCGTCCTCGAGACACTTGAGACCCTGCCCTTGGTTGTTGGTATGTATATTATTGCCAGTGCCCCCGAGCGCGAGGGCGTCATTATTTCGCGCTCTGCTCTGGAGGGCAACATCACTCGCCTGAGCGGAGACTACCTTGTGCAGACCAATTACGATCATTGGCTGCCCGATCCAGCTGATGATCCACGACGAACCATGGTCCGTACCTGAGTGGCTGTCTCCTCAATCGAAGGAAGGCAGCACGCCTTGGCAGTTGGGAACACAGCGCATGGCGTTTGTGCCAGATGCAAGCGCTTAACACAACATTTGGGGGAACTGCCTTGGTCATTTCTCATCCTGTCGTGTTCCCGTTGGCGTGTCCCCAGGCTGAGCAGCGCTTAAACAGCACCGCCTCCAGCCTGAACGACTGTCATCTATCGGCTTATGATGCCGTTGTGGCCGACGGTGTCAAGAACACCGACACAGCTTATAGCGTCTTGATGACCCGGGAGGGCATTCGCTTTGCCATTGTGTGGGACACCAAGCCCTGAGAGCATCTGGTTGCCCCTAATGTATTCAAGCGACCTCGTTCACTTGCAGCTGTTATGATCAAACAAAGTTTGTCAATTTTCTGTTACACATGGTCAAGACGGCTCACTCCACACACAACATCATGCTTCAACCATACCACTTTTCTTCTTTCTGTCCCTCGCACACTCTTGCCATCAGCAGCGGCAGGGAGGCAGGTTCTGGTTTTTTCACGCTTAGGCAGAGCCGGCAGCATTCTTGCGTGCAGTGCCCACCTGGCACTGATTTACCTTGGTGGCAAAGCGCAGCGTGCTAATGGTCTCCGTTGCACTCTCAGCCCGTGGGTTCAGGTTCACCATCATTAGTCTATGGTAGCACGGGTGGGCACGAAGAGTTCACTCAAATGAGCGCGTCCGTCAAACGGGAGAAGAGGCAATAGGGCCTCACGAACTGGACGTACGTCTTGGACTGGCCCATCAGAGAGTCCTGCAGCAGGAATGTGAGCTTGGAGTCCCGGTAGGGCACATGGGCATTCTGTACACAGAGCGACAGGCCGGTCATGAGGGCGTCTACAAGCAATGGGCCAGTGGGAAGTAACAATAATCGATGCTGGTGCGGCAACATACGTCCTTGCCCAGGTTAAGAATGACGTTGCCAAGTGCGCTAAGGCTCTTGTTGATTGCTTTGGTCTCCTCAAGCTGCTGTCCCTCGGCCTTGGAGGATTTGAGGCGCTCCGAGCCCGCGAGATCAATGAGGTTGAGATCAGCACGGCACGTTTCCTCTAATCATGGCATCCACAACCCAGCACAGTTTACAGCACAGGGTTGGCAACTTGGTAAGGGCTCACGTGGCGACACTCATCGCACCGGGATATTTGCAAAAGGCACGAAGCAGAAGACGTGCGACACCGCAGGTATACAAGCATTGGAAGCAACAAGCCATAGTTCAACAGACCCGTCGAAGAGTTGCTGCCACGAATATGCAAACGAAACACGCTGTGGCTTCGCGAAGAGTGCTCGTTGGCCTTGGTGGCAGCAACAGCGCGGTTCTGCTGGGCGCGTGCAAGAAGAGCCAAGATGTCTTCGGCACTATGTACTGCCTGCTCTGCCAGGCCTGGGATTTGCACTGCTGCGCTCCCCTTTGGGCGGCGCAGTTCGAGCCGCTGTGTCGCATCATCCGCGAGCAGATCGCGCACCGTCTCGTTGTAAATCTCGAGAAAGGTTGCACTGAACTCGTACTTCCAATGGGTGCTGGCCGCCGCTTCGGCAGCCAAGAAGATCTATGTCCATCGTTTGTTGTTCCCAGGTGAGGCAAGAGCTGGTGCACCAACACAGATAAAAACAAACAAACAAACAATTTAACAATCTAACAACCTGAAACATTTCCAGTGGTAGACACGTGCTCTTCAAAGGAATAAAAGCATACCTGCTCCACGGCGCGTGGAATGACGCCACGCTGCTCGCCTTGGCCCCCCTCCATGGTGTAGGTTTTGCCCGAACCGGTTTGGCCATAGGCAAAAATGCACACGTTATACCCATCGAGGGCTGATCGCACCAGCTGTGAAATGTCTTCAAAACATTCCTCCTGGGAGGTACTGGGTCCAAATACCTATTCAAAATCGGATTTAGGCCAGTCGTGCCAACATCGTGAGCCAACAGCCAGCTGATTTGCGCATGAGCCCGCATGCCCATTCTTGGCTCGACAGATGGAATCAACCTTGTCAAAAGTGAATTGCATGGTCTTGGATCGGGCCTTGCCCGCCACACCACCTTCCGTCGTTGTCGTTAGACTCAGGACACGCTGCTCCTTCTCATCTGGAAAGGCCATGGTAGCCATGTCCCCGCCTTCCGATGGCAGCATGGGGCGTACGCGACAGAACACGCGAATGTTGCCCTTGAGCTCTTGAATGGTGTTGTGTAGTTGACGCCTACAAGTGCAAGCCGTCACCGCCCAATCAATGCGACATGCATCAAGCCGGCAGGGTCAAGAGGTGAGACAAGGTGCGAGCACTGGTCAGCATCAAGGGTTCAGCACTTGGTTGCTGAGCCGGATTCAAAAGGATGCAAAAGGCGCCCGCCTCGATTGATGCTCTATTGACGACCTGGGCGCGTCTTACCGCAGTTGCTCATCCTCGCGTGCTTGCTGCTCCAATTCGGCCACCCTCGCATCACGGGTCGCAATGACGGCCCGAAGCTCGGCAATTTCGGCGTCGCGAGCCTCCAGGGTAGTGCAAGCTTCCTCAAACTTGACAGTTAGGTCGGCGTGGCGCTGCTCCTGGTCCTGTAGGGCAGCGCGTGTCTCCTCAAGTTGGGCCTGGAGGCGAGCCCGCTCGCTGGTGACCTGTTCATGAGCCACGCTCAATTTGTCCACAACCACGCTAAAATCAAAGTTGGCATAACAAGTAGCAGACACATGAGTTGGATATCCTTCTCGTGCTATCTCAAACGGCACCCTGCGTTGTCGCGTCGCCTTGGGGGTGGGGCTAAACCTGAAACACAGGGGCACTCACTTGGCGGCCAGATGTGTCGCGCCATGATCGTCCTGCAAAGCTACAAGTTCGCTTTGGCAGAGCTCGTACGCTTGGCGTAGTTCTGTTAGTTCTGCCTCGGCCTGCACCACTGCGTCTTTGAGTTTTTGAGTGGCTGGATCTTCGCGGGTAACGCTCGAGCGCATTGGAGCCAGCGCCTGACGAGATGCCGTCTTGGTCTTTTTCGTGGCGGGCCCACTTGGGCCTCGCACGCTGGCCGAGCGTCCGGGACCACGGATGATTGACGACGTGCTGCTTGCCCGATTTTGGCTGGGATCGGACTTGGCACTTGCTGTGCTGACAGGCCGAGTGTATTTCACGGCGCCAGCGCTGGTTGCCGAGCGTTTGGCCGTGTTGGTGCTGGAAGGCCCATTTGCGGTACCGTTCCGAACTCCCAGCGGCCGGCGCACGGAGCTAGCCGGGGCTGCTTTGTTGGCAGTACGTGCCTGCGGCAAGCGGGACTGGCTGGTCTTGGGAGGGCCAAACATGGTGACGGTTTGCTGAGGTCCCTGTCGAGCTGGCGTATTGAGGAGAGTCAAGGGAAATGAAACACCAAAAAAACCACAAAGCACACATCAAACCAGTTTCAAATTTGGGCGTTGATTCTTCCCGCCAAAATTTGAATACGACATTCTCGTCTTTATCGTTTGGACCCTCTTTGGCCATCAATTTTTCTTGTTGACCCTCAATTGTTCTCTTTGTTGCGCGGGAGTCAAAGGCCCGCACAGTCGAGTCACCCTCGTCGAGCTTCTTCCCGTTTGGGCATCATGGAAGGGCACAAGACGCTACCAAGTCGCGTACCAAGCGCTGTTCGATCGGTGCGACCCCTACAAGCTCAGAATGGGCCTGTTGCTGGCGGCTCAAGCAAGACCAAAGTGGCCTCAAAACCTGACCGACGCGGGTGAGCTATGCCAAGGTTCTAACAACGGGTCGATCAGGCAGTCCCTGTGGGTAGTAGCATATGACAACTTTTCTCTGGGTGCTTTCTATAGACCGACGGCGATTGCCAACTCGGAGCGTGCGTTGCGCGCGGAGAACGAGACGCTACACACAGACCTGACCAAGCTGCGCGCCGAACTAGCGGGAGTCCAAGCCCATGCGCAAAAGCTGGAGGTGGAGCTACAGCAGCTCAGAAACGAGCGTGAGGCCTACCGTAGCTCTCTCGAAACGGATTTTGCTAAAAAAAGTGCCGATCTGCTGGCTAACTTTCAGGCCCAGCAAGGTACGAAGGCGCCCTCTGTTCTGCGCGATGGGAGTCCTGCCTAAAGCTCTCAGCAGGGTGGCGGCATGTCAGGATGGGCCAATCGATGGTCTACCACCTCATGATTCTTAGCGCTAGCTCTGGCCTCACTCTTCTTCTCGGGTAAACATGTGCCTGTGGTAATGCAATACTTAGATCAGCTGCAAAGCGAGACGGCCGCGAAGCAAAAAGCAGACGCACAGGAGTTGGTGAGGTCTTGAGGGTTTTTTGACTCACATGTCAACAATTTAACCATGAGGCTTCGTTGCTGCCGATTGCCCTTCTCACTCCGATGGTTGATCGACCTGGCTTGATCTAGATTGAGCTGAAGCACACACATCGTTTGCTGCTGGAGCAGTTGGATAAAAATGGATGGAATCCAGGTGGGTCGTTCCTACGAAAGGGTAGATCCAGCCGATCAAAGACCAATTTCTTCTTCTTCTTCTTCTTTCTCCTCTTTCTTCTCTTGTTCAATGGGCTGCTTCTGTTGCCGTAGTCACGGGCGCGCCAAATGCCGAGTCATCCATGCTCAGTTCAGAGCAGGCTGTGCAAGCTCAGGTGCGCGGTGTTGCGATGACGTTTGTAGCATCGTGTCGTTGTCTGTCTTTGACTTGAGGCCTCTCGTTTATAATAGACTCTGGTTCAAGGGCTGCACAAAGCCGTGGGTGACTTTGCAGCCCGTCAAGCGGCTCTCAACGCGGCTTTGACGTCTGCCCTCGCCACTTCAGCCCAATCCGAACCTTCAGCATTGAGCGAGCATGCAGCAGAGCTGTCCCAGGATGAACAGGTGGCCACTCGCTCGGTCAGCAAAGAGCATGACGATGCTAGTGAGCATGAGAGCGAGGATGAAGAATACTACTAAAGCCGAAGTGGGTCTAGGCGATGCTTGGAGCGCTAGCAACGCTTTTTTTCGTCAATGCTGGTGCAACATCTGCCCCATACCTTGCTCGCGGCCAGCGACTGCCTATGATTTGTGCAAATGGAAGAAAGCTATCTTGTAATCGATCAAACTTTGTCCTTTCAACCCCGACTCGACTCTCAGTCCGGTGGATTTTTTTTTCTCTGATCCTTTGATGTGATTGATTCGATCGATCTTTGATGTGAGCGAAAACAGTGAGAGTTTGCCTTTTCTCTTCTTCATCTTCAACGTGTAAGTATCATGTGTGTGTGTGTGTGTGTGTGTGTGTGTGTGTGTGTGTGTGTGTGTGTGTGTGTGTGTGTGTGTGTGTGTGTGTGTGTGTGTGTGAAACATGGCGAAATGGTGCACGGATGGCAGCCTCTCTGTGGTATCTGGTAGAGATGAGGGTGTTGGTTGAAGGGCAGTGCTGATGGTCATGCTGTGGTGATGGATGGATGTGGTTCAAGGCGCCGCTGAAAGGGCCTTGAAGGACACCGTAGCAAAGTGCTTGGTGGTGTTGGGCCTGCGTCGTCTCCTCATGGTCGGGTGTCGTGCGTGTCCTCGGGTTCCTCGCAGGCCACAGGTGCTGTTGGTGTGCATGGCTGGAGCAAGGACGACTACGCTTCGCCTTGTATCAGCAGGGTTGGGATCAGTGCTAAAGAGTGTTATGGCGGCTCGCCCTGCCGCCCTCGCGCGCCCAATTGTGCGCCGTGCTCTGCACAGTGGCGCCGTGCAGCGTGCCGTTCGCCAGCCCCAATCCGAGCCTCTGTTCGAGATTCAGCATCAAAGTCAAAGCCCCGGTGACTCACACGTGCAGTGTACAACGCTGAGCAATGGAATTCGCGTCGTTACCGAGCAAATTCCTGGCGTCTGGGCCAATGTAACGGGTGCGTTTCTGACACCACCCCTGCCTTGAGCCTGCCCGTGCCCGCAAAGTATTTTGTCACAGGCTCACCTACTCGTTCCTCAAACGCATGCATACACACGCCGATGGACTTCTTTGCCATCTTCCACAACAGCTGTTTTTGGATTTGGTAGCCAAGATGAAACAGCTGCTACGCGCGGCGCTTCCTATTTCCTGGACCGCATGGCCTTTAAGGTAATTGAGGCCTGCTGCTATCAGCCCATTGGGAAACACACGGTGCCTTGAAGCACCTCACGCGTCACGCGTGCTTGGTAGGGGTCGGCGCACATCAGTGCTGAGCAAATGATGGCCACAATGGAGCGTGTGGGCGGAGATATCCTTGTTCAGACCAATCGCGAGACCACTCTCTACTCGGCCAACGTGCTGCAGAATAACATCGAGGATGTGCTCGAGCTCATGGCGCACAACATGCTGGTTCCCGCTTACTCGGAGGCCGATGTACGTAGGCATACTTGTTCATCCCGACGCATCGCTACCAAGCTTACTTTTCCGCATGCCTTTGTTAAACAGTTTAACGCTTGCATGGACGGCTTGGTTTATGCCGAGGAGCTAGCCTTGGACGCGCCAGGCGTGGAATGCTTGGAGCGGCTGCATGAGGCGGCGTACGGTCATCAAAGCATCGGGAAACCCTTGCGTCCCACTTTTATGGAGGCCCAGTCTTTGACCCCAGGTACGATTTGCGACAATGTTTCGGCGCTTTCGGAACATGGCTTCAGGAGAAGCCATGACTGCTCCATCATCAATGCCCGTGCGGCTCAACAGCCTTCATTGCCTCCTGTATGTTTTTCACAGACAAGCTGCGTCAACATCAGCAGACCAACCTTCACCCGTCACACTGCGTCATCGCTGGCGTCGGGGTAAATCACGACAAGCTTGTGGAGCTCGTTACAAAATATCTAGGCCCCAACGTGCTGCCGCCCAGCACTAACCCCACCAGTCGGCAACCACCCAAGGTGCGTCGCCTTGTTCCTCAAGATACGCCTCGGCCTTGCACACAAGTCTCACCAATTTTGTTTTGCTTTCCTGTGAATTACTACATCACTTGCAGTTTATTGGTGGCGACTGCATTATGCAGACTGACAAGCCACTGCTGCACCCCGCACTCCAAACGGATCAGACTCACATCGCTTTGGGTTTTGAGGTGAGGCCTGGCATGGCGGTTGCTCCTTGCTTGTAGTTTGCGTTCCCAGTTTGACGTCGGCTCTAGCTGGATCCTGCTCATGGTGTGCGCGCTTCTCCACGGACTTGTTGCAGACTCCGCACTGGGCTGATATGGCACAAGCCATTCCCTATGCCGTAGTGCAGGGCGTGCTCGGTGGCGGTAGTGCATTTTCCTCGGGTGGACCCGGCAAAGGTCTGCACAGTTGGTTTTATACGCACTTGCTGAACAACTACTACTGGGTTGAGACCGCGACGGCGGGTCTGGTCCCCTATATGGACACGGGGTTGATGGCACTCCAATTTGCCTGCGAACCAACGCGGGTATGCCTGCTTGCTGGCCTCACCACGTGTCTGTGCACACACAAATGCGTCTTCTCATGGCAAGCTGATGCCCTGCCAATGTTGTGTGCAGACGAGCATGACAATCCAGCTAGCCTTGCGCATCTTGCACCTGGTTCACAGTGGCATCACTGAAGCCGACTTGGAGCGCGCCAAAAACCTGATCAAATCTCAGCTTCTCCTCAATCTGGAGTCGCGCGCCGTGCGCGCTGAAGACATTGCTCGGTCCGTCTGAAGCGTGATTGTTTCATCTTAATTTTTCGCCAACACCTGGCTCATCTAGCGCTGGGTACATGCGTGCTCGTTAGACAATACTTGGCCGGTGATGTGTACTATGACTCGCGTCAACTTTGTGAGCTGCTTGGTAAGTGTTCTGTTGGCACGTGTGCGCGCATGTATGTGTGTTTGGGTGTGTGTGAGTGAAGTCAAAACTCGATGCACCTTCAGGTGCTGTGGCTTTGCCTGTACTTTTTCTCTCACTCCATCGACCTCACGGACAACAGATAACACGACACTGGCCGATGTCAAAGAGGCTGTCAAGAAAATGATGACCTCCAATGTGGCGGTGGCTGCCTTGGGAAGCAACGTGCGCGATTGCCCCACTGCCGCCAACATCCAGCGCCATATTGATCAAACTTATCGCTTTGAGTAGACATTGTTCTGCAAGTCGTCCCCCAACAAGGGTGAAGGCACGAAATGAAGTTGTTCACATCGGCACAGTGCTTTTCTTTGCAAGTTGGGGAAAGCGGTTCGCTCTTCAGCTTGAAAAAACAAAAACAAAATTGATTCACATGGACATGTACATCATCGGCGTCTCTCTTTGATGCAAGGAGCAAAACACCAAGCGCTCGGCGCAAGTGAACGTCCTGCTACGCTTTCCATTTAGTTGTTTCCAAGATTCAGAGCCGCCAGTTTGCCACCAAGCTCCTCTTCCTCGGCAACCACGCCCGCAATGTCCTCTGGAGGGCAGAACATGTACGGGAGCCTGAAAAAAAAAAAAAGACATGGGCGTGAGAAGTGCTTGCCTGCTGGTCAATCGAGCAGATGAACACATGGGTCGAGCAGACCACGCCAGCCAGGCATGAAGTACGTACAAGGGGCGCTTGTCAAGCAACGAGTAGCCCAGTTGATGGTGGGTGTAAGGGTCTGGCTGGCTCGTACTCGTCCTTGCTGGCAGGTTGTTGTCAAAGCTTGACGTGCGGTCAGGCGATGCATCATGCAACTTGTGAATCCTACACAAAAAGGTCGCCAACACCGGAATTATTGGAAATTGAAGACTGTACTGAGCGCAGCCTTCTGCAGATCACTACACGCCGCAGCGTCATTTACCTCGCCCGCAGCGCCACAACAGGCGAGGCCGCACGTGTACCGGCCAATCGGGGTGACCTGTTGGATGCGGGTCAGGATGGGCTGTTAAGGCAACATCGCTTGGAGGAGAAATGATCGTTCAGTCTAGTAAACAGCAGATCGGTGCCCATTACCCCGGGGAGGCCGTCGGGGAAGCCTGTGCATTGAGGAGGGCACGTCGGACAAGAGGTGATTGCGGCGCGGCCACTGATTCTGATCGGCGTAATGAATGCAGCTTGCTCCGCAATGGAGACCCTGGTGCTCCCAGTCTATAATGCAAAGCAATTGGCCCAGTTGTCAGCAAACCATACTCCAAGAGATGGTGCTGTGTTGGGGAAAAAAAAAAATGCCCATGGACACCACTCCTTTTCACATACGTGGGGGAAGCAGCTTCCAGGCTGGCTGGCCCTTCGCTACTAGCAACCACCGCCTCGTCGACAACACTCAAATCAAACAGCGACTGCAAAGACAGGTGCAGCAATGATATTTTATATAGCTTGTGAGTTTGCGCAGCCATGCTTGCGAGAAGGAGAGCTATAGGAAGAAAGGGATGCGGCGTGCCAAAACAGTATTGCATGACGAGAACGCTACAAGCACGAGAGCACGCTAGGATGAGACCTGAAAATAGAGGGCCCAGCCCCAAACGTGAGGGAGGCGCACAAGATGGTCCCATGGCTTGCCAAGCAGGCGGGAGCGGGACTCCGGTTTCCACCCCAGCGCAAGCTGGAGGCTAGGCTCTTCGCGTGCGGCTAAGAACGCATCGGCATCACTGGGCCCGGGATATCGGCCTGCCAAAAAGCGGTGATGATGGGTGCGCAGGTGCGCTTCCAATTTCTCCAAGCCAGCCAAAGTGCTAAGATCTGCGTAGGTACCAAGAAAGGGCCAGTACTCGGCAAATGGCACGCCACTTTGCTTGGAGAGGACTCGGCCGTATTGTTGCAAGCCTACAGAGCAGCCAATGTCATCGTGGCACAGAGGGCCGAGGCTTGCTAAGCACAGGCCACGGGTCACATGGTCTCTCAACTTGCTCCAGCCGAAATGCCGTCATCAGCCCAGGTACGTACCGCGGCCTGGATCATCGCGGCGACGCGTTCGATATTCATGCCATTCGGCCGCGCGTTGAATGGACGAGGGTGTATCGGCCGTGGGTGTTCCCAAAGGAGTACCTGTGGTTGGCGTTGATGGGTTGACACCATTGGTGGTCGAGGCGCGTTCCTGGTTTTCACGTTCCCCTGGCTCGGTGGCTGTCAGAGCAGCCTTGAGGCGATTGGCTTGCTGCTCGGCAATCGTATTGTCCGGTGAGTGCTGAAAGGCTGCCTGGAGCTCCATTGCACGCTTTGCGGTTGTTGGACCTAGCCAAGCCAGCAGTCTGCCAACACCAATTCAAATACCAAAAGCTGTTGAGTTGAGGTGCCGCCATCAGCACAACCGGTTGCAGGTGATGGCACTGACCCTTGAGGTGCCTCTTGGCGTGAAAGAGGCTCGTCGGGATTCCAAGTCACAATTTTCGGCCGTCCATGCCCAGCAGTCTGCGGCACACATGCTCTTATGTGTAAGAAGGCTTGAGAACCTTCAGTTTACAAAAGAGGTTGTTTGGTCTTTCGAGTACGTACAGGTTTGGTGATGGCCACAAAAGTACGCTCGACCAAGAACTGCTGGAGTTCATTGCGTTCAGCAATTACCTCACTTTCAGCCGCAGAACTACGCTCGCCATAATGCTGCGCCACATTGCAATGTAAAGGCAGGATTGGAACAAACGATAAAAGCGTTGCTTGCCTGAAGAAGGGCTCACCTCAATCAACCATTGCAACGTCGACTTGTACAGAGGGTCCGCCACGCGGCTGAATCTGCATACGCGAGTGCATGCGTATTCATTGGGGGTATGTCAGCGGGGCACGAGTTAGTTGATGAGGGCTGATGGACAGCCAAGGCCTCATAAATTAACGCACCGGCCGCAACTGAGCAGAATCTTCAGCGTTCCCAATCGCCCTTTGCGCGCGGCCAACATTGCGGGCGTAACGGGGTCGCCATACACTGAATACTACATGAAGGGGGTGGGAGTATTGAGCAGATGCACGCTTGATGCCCAAGGCCACACTTGAATGCGCGGCACCTTCTCAGCGCGTGCTGTTGCCAACAAACAAAAACGAACCGGAGATTGCAGGTAGCTAGTCATGACGCAGTCCAGCAGTTCTGCTCGGGCTTGTTCCATTGTTTTGCCTGGCATGTTGGCAGCTAGATCCGAGTGCTACCATGGACCAAAGCAAGACCGAATTATCAGATTACAGTACCGCAAGAATGAGAGGAGGCGGTGGAAGCTATGACGAGGAACGGGGTGCCCTATTTTACCTGGGCAAAGGCAACAACTTCCTCTAAAATAGCTCGAACCAAGTCCTCCCGACCATCTTCAGCAGCAACATGCAATGCGTTGCCTCGCGCCGTCTGACACATGTTGCATCGTGCATGGCGATAAGAGATACGACCGGTTTGGCACAATGCCGTCCAGGGTGCAGTGAGGAAGAATACCACTTGATCGTTTAACGCGCACCTTGTCTGGGCCAAATTGGCGGATACGCGTGGGAATCAATGATTCACCCTCAACAATGAGGCGGTCGGGGCGGGCTCGAACAAGCTCACGGTAGCGAGTCACGTTCCCCTGGCTCACAGCACGACCGACTTCAAAACAGTCACCCGCTGACTTGGTGGTGGGTACTGCTTCAACATTTGCAGCGGAAGTGCTTGAATTGGCTGCCAGTTCGTCTTGCTGGCGCGCGTTTTCCTCAAGGGTAAGTGTCTCTTGTAACCATGCAACGGCTGCACTCCATTCTTTGTACTCACGAAAGTGTGCTGGGCGACACCTATGTCATGTTAACCAGCCGTGGGGGTTGAGCGGAGGTTGATCAAGGGCCCCATCCCTCTTTGCGGCGCAACATGCCATGTGCTTTCAATAGGTCAAGCATATCCCACAGCCCACCACGGGTGCACACACTTTGAAAGCGTTCTCCACAAGGGGCAGCTGGTGAGAGGGGTTACGGTGTAGAGAATGCCTGCAGGCGGCAAGTCCGCTGGAAGCGTAGCCCAATTACCGGGCTGAAGCGTTGTGACGGGCACGGCATTGATATGTTCTAATCAACCCCCCCAAGAAGACACGGATCGGCACAATGGAGATTAGCGAGGGGACGGTGTCGTTAAAACCACAACGTTGTCAGTTACAAAACAGCTTACCGGCGGTGAAAGGCTTGGTAACCAGGCCAAACACGGCTCGAGGGCGCTGGAGCCAGGCGCGCGCTTCTTCCTCATCATCCACAGAGCGAGTCTCCAGCCCTTCCAGCTCTGCACATTTGATTCGGTAATGCATGTGCATGAGATCTGGACCTGATGACAGCGTCTATGCCGCTTGGTTCTCGCAAGCATGAAATGGAACAGGGATGCACGCACGGGTCAGCTGCTGGAAAAAGTCCGGGTACGAAGCGTCTTGCTGGAGGCGTGCATAACCCTCTGCCAAGTTGATCGCACCGAAATCAATGGTCAGCGCCAGTCACATCCTGGGCGGGCATGTTAGTGGCCAGTAGCATCGATTGGGTACGGACCGGCTGGCACGCGTCGATCAGCACCAACGGTGGCGGGATCGAGTGGGGACGGGGGCAAGGTTGGCACGGTGACTTCTTGAGGTGGTCGGCTGGTCCAAGCCACCCAAACATGTCGAATAGGCTTGGGCGCTGCAGGTTGTGGTGCCTCTGTCGCCGTCGACATGGGAGTAAGGCCCTGCAGGGCGTAGTACTGCTCAAGGGCTTTGGCCTTGGTCGCAGCGTTATTCAGTGCCGACACATTGGGAAGAGAGGTGCCGTGTTTCTTGAGATAAATGAATAGTTCCCGATTGCTGGGTTCCACCAGCGTTTCAACCGGCGCCTGCTGTGGCGCCGCTGGTGCAGTCGCCGAATCCGGTGCGGCCTCGGTCACAGCAGGTGCAGCCCCCGAATCTGATGCGGCCTCGGTCACAGCAGGTGCAGCCCCCGAATCCGGTGCGGCCTCGGTCACAGCAGGTGCAGCCCCTGAATCCGGTGCGGCCTCGGTGACAGCAGGTGCAACCCCCTCAGCCTCGGCTACTTGCTCCATGTTGCTTAACAACAATCGTCAAGCCTACCCCGGCTCTTCAGGATCACAGTTAAGAGCCCCCCCTGCCCTCCTTCGTCTCCTCCTTCGTCGTGCCGTCTTCAATCTCTTTCTCCCAAAATCAGAAAATTTCGTACAAAAAATTTAATGATGACAATTCATGCTTTGCATGTGTGTGTGTGTGTGTGTGTGTGTGTGTGTGTGTGTGTGTGTGTGTGTGTGTGTGTGTGTGTGTGTGTGTGTGTGTGTGTGTGTGTGTGTGTGTGTGTGTGTGTGTGTGTGTGTGTGTGTGTGTGTGTGTGTGTTTTCTTCCAACGTGATGGCAACTGCTTGTGTGAGGTTGACCGGGAGCTGGCAGCAGGCAGGTCGTCTGCAGGGGCGGTGGCTCAGCTCTGCCATCTTGGCCCACGCTCCGGATCACATGAGTGTAACGGCTGGGCAGGTTCGGGTACGTCTATGTTCCAGCTGCGCTTGGCTGCTCGCTATGTTTTTTGTTCTCATGCTGACTAAGGAGGGGGTGGCGCGTAGACTAGTCCCATTGAGGTGCAGGTGGCAGCCTGCTGGCCGGAAAGTCCGACAGTACGAAGCTTTTACCTCAAGCCACTTCGACAACCACTACCCACCTTTCGTGCTGGGCAATGGTTGGATGTTTTCATCAAACATGACCTGATTGGTGGATTCTCCATCGCATCAGGTCCAGAAGAGGTGATGGAGACTGGGCGGCTGCTGCTCTCTGTCAAATATAGCCAACATCCACCAGCTCGCTATATGCACGAGGTGTGCCAGGAAGGAGACGTGCTACCCATCTCTGTGGGGGGGCAGGTTTGCTTTGAGCCTGCTTCTGCCGCACCCAATCTTCTGCTCATTGCCGGTGGTATTGGCATCACCCCGCTGCGCGGGATTGCGGCCGAAGCCTCAACACGACCCCGCTTTCGCGGCCACGTTCTCTACAGCAACCGCACAAGTGACGACGTTCTCTACAAGGTGGGTCGGGCATGCTACACAAATTGGTGCTCAGGAGTCTCATTGATTCTGGTTCGACGCTTGTGGCGCTCTCAGCAGTCATCTCCCTCGCCTTCCTGCGCTCATGGCTCGCTTTGATTGGGAAACCTCGGCAGGACTTTTGGGATAATTTAAATTTAATGCCCAGGTGGACGGTGCGCCAGACGTTTACACGCCAGGACGTGGAGGGGCGAGCAGCAGGCCGCCTCACGGAGCAGGACATCCGGGACGCGCTGAACCAGCTTCAGCCACCGGGTGAGGTTGTTCAACCTGTCGATGTACACGTCTGCGGGCCCCCGCCCATGGTTGACGCGGTTGAACATTGGCTCTTGGCGGCTGGTGTACCTCCTCAACACATTATGTTTGAACGTTGGTGGTGATGAGCGGATTTTTTGTTCAAGTTGGGCCAGTGGCCTGTACTTGAAAGTGCATCAAGTACAACGTGCGTTCAGGATAGATAGTATGAATTTTCGGTAATTGACCACCAGACAACCCCGTGTTTCACATGTTACAAGCCTATCGCTGTGGGGAGCCAGAAAAAACAAAGAATAGTTGGTAATCGATGAACTCTACTTTTGCACCAAAAATAGTTGTTCTTCGATGAACTCTACACCTTCGCACCAATTGGCATCTGCGCTGTCACTCTTTGATGACCACCTGGACATCACGTGCACGCAGTGATGCCACAGTAGAGGCTGCGGCATCCGAAAAGCCTTTGCCGACTACAAGAATCTTGAGGTGTGGCATGCCTACCCGGGCCCACGAGCGGCGCAGTACATGGGGCGTTGAGCCACGATATGGACACGCAAGTGCGTCGCCAGACAAGCTACAGACACTTTTATGTGAACGGGCTGACAAGAAACAGCAGGGGCCACATGCCAAACCGTACCAAGGAGGGCGTCGGCATCGGCTGTATTGCCGTCGGCTGCGCCAACCACATCCAGTTCTGAGCACAGGACTAACAGCTCTAATCTACTTGGAGGGGCAGCACAACCACACATGCTTGCGAGAATGAGCGGCGATGGTGCACACCAACACAGCACGCGTGCCAAGTCAGGAGCTGACGCTCACCCCTTCAAACTTGCGCGCGGGCGTGCAAGGCAAACTTTTGTGCAGCCGCTTAGGACATGCCACCAATCACTTGCTGGCTCAGCCTCTGCCTCATCGACCTCGAAGATAGCTGGGGCCTCGTAGAAAATTTCCGAGGCTCGTAGACTGTTTGATACATTGGCCGAAGGAGGTCATGTGGTGAGGACATGCCCAAGATTCCATCATATTGTGGGACACAGACGCGTGCATACCGGCGCAGCATCGAAGCATAGAACATGTGGCGAGTGGGGTCGATGGCCTGCAATTCTGTGAGGTGCTCACGAATGGTGGCTGCATGCTTCAGCGCACTCTCCTGCCAAAGCATCTCCATCAAGCGCAGGCGACACCACTTGCTCTCGCCAACCTCAAGCTCCTACTCAAGAGCCAAATGGGACAAGATTCAGTAATCCCCTGGGCTGATGTGATTCATACAGGCGGATGACAAGGCATCCTGCTCATCCTCCTGGCCTTTCTGTCTGCCTGCTTTGCTGGCCTGTCTTGTTGATACGTACCGCCATGAGTTCTTTGATTAGATCAAGCTGTGAAGCTACGGCATCGGCATTGCCGGGCGGTTGGGACCACCGCTGCAGCGAAATGTCAGTGCGGTCTGCCACTGGATGAGGGGACCAACAACAGGGCGTGAGGGATGACGATGGCTCCATGCCACACAAGGATATGTTGCCTAGCGAGTCGGCTGTACTGGTAGCACTGGGCTACGCACAGAACGGGCGTGCTGCCTTACCCGAAGCGTTGAGCTCGATGGTGCTTCCAGTTGAGGTTGCGCCGTCCACCGTGGTGAGGGCACCACTGTCGAGAAGGAGGTGGCTCGGTTGCTGAGCTCCATCTGCAGCGGCTGACCAACGCAATACATGTTTGATGGCCAATCCTGTGCGTTCAGGCTGGAGGGCCACCTCGGCTGTTCCAAACGTGGCTCGCAGAGCCTTTGGTTCCAGACGGGTCGGCAGGTTGGTCACAATATGCAGGGCCTCGCCAGCAACTGCACTAGCAATCACGTGGGGGACTGTGGGGGCGCGTCCCAAAAGCCAGCGATGATAGTACCAGGCGCTCTGGTCCTGCGGGTCAATGTAAAAGGCATTGGTCAATAGTTCGAGTTCGGCGTCGAGCGCCTCTGTGGCTAGTTGAGCTGGTTCGGTGACCCCGTGAAACTGCAGCAAGAGGTTACTGCGATTGTGCCACGCCGAGTAATTGGAGTAGTTGTGCGATATTTTATCTTCAGTGTAGGCCAGCTCAGTTGCCACGGCATCATGACGGTCCAATTTCTCAACCACAAAGCGACGATAGTCCCAGCAGTGAAAGTTTCGTTCGTCGTGCTTGAGGAAAAGCGTACAAAGTTCAAGCTCTGCCTCGGCTTGAGGCTCAGCCTCCTGGTTCAAGATCCAGCGTCGATGGTGCCAGCAGTTGTATGACTTGGGGTTGCGCTTCAAACAGGCCGTTGTAAACTCACGCTCGGCTGCCCAGTCGACGGGTTCGTCACTCGCCAGGAGGGCCAACAGGGTCTCCCGACGGTACGCGAAGACCGTGGTAAAATCGGGGTTTAGGAGCAGGATTTGCTCACTGAGCTGCAACCCATCACGGTCGTGGACCTGTGCATTGCGTTTGGCAAAAAGTGCGTTGCGCAGTACCAAATAACCCTTGCACTTTTTCTGACGCTCCAACTCCTTGAGTGCCTCCTGCTCCTCCGTCGATCGTACCTTGACGCGCCCGTGCATCTCGACCCTCCTTCTTACAAGATCAAACAACAGTTGGAGAAAATGTGTGCGTGTGTCAGAGAGTGTGTGTGAGAGCGCGAGAGAGAGACTTGCCAACACGACAACACACACACACACACACACACACACACACACACACACACACACACACACACACACACACACACACACACACACACACACAGATTGAAAGTGTGATATAATTCATTCTATCTCTCACGCAGTTTTTTTAAGGGTCTCTCTCTCTCTCCCTCTCTCACTCTCTCGCTGCGTGTGTGTGTTTGTGCGCATGTGTGTGTCGATGGGTTTGGAATGATGGCAGCCATGTGGCGTGCTGCGGTTGTGGCTGTTCAGCGAAGCTGGCCGCGCTCGCGCTCGAGATGGGGGACACAAACAGGCCGACTACAGGCATTGCTCGACCGTACTGGGTTGATGATCCGGGCCTCGAGCTCTTTTCCCGATCAAAGTGAGTGAACCAGTTTTGAAAACCTGGCCTCGTGTTGCCCTTCGACTTCAATTCAAAAGCCGGCCTGGCAGGCATCCATGTTGTGCACGAGCTTTGATGCACTCAAGCCGCTTCTTTTTAATGTACAGCCCACCTTTTACAGTTACCCTCGGTGCAGCAGCATCTTCAAAGCATCGTTGATGGTCACGCCACACTCAGCGAGCGCCTCACACAGCTGACGACAGAGGTATGATTTATGTTGGCCACGCGCCGCCTCAAATCAAAACGAGACAGAGCTGACTCGACCAAACACTGCTCTCGTGCAAACCTCCTTTTTGCGTGCCCAGAATGGTGCGCCAAATGAGATTGCCAGCATTAGTCGGCGCCTCGCCAAGGTGGCAGCCCTGACCGAAGTGATCCACGCTCGCGATAAGGCCCTTGAGGTGCGTTTGATGCGCCACAGGATACAGTCTGCTTGACCCTATCAGCACCTGATGTGTGAGGGCCTTGTTGTATCTGCGTGCAGGCCATTGCTGAGCTCCAAGACATGCTGAAAACGGAAGAAGACTCGGAGCTGCGTGAACTAGCTGCAAGTGATTTGGCGCAAGAACAGACACAGCTGCAAGAATTGGAACAGGAGCTTCTTCAGGCCTTGGTCCCCGAAGACACGGCAGACGAAGCCAGTGCTGTGGTCGAGCTGCGGGCTGGAACCGGGGGCCGTGAGGCGGCCCTCTTTGCCCATGACCTGAAGTTAATGTATCAGGGGTACGTGCCGGCGCAGCTCGGCGTCCTCTCGGTAGAAGCCAACCAGATCCTGTAGGTGAAGCTGACCGGTCTTCTTGTTGACCGCTACTTTCATAGCTTGGCTCAGCAACAGCGTTGGTCCTTCAAGGTGCTGGATGAGCAAGCCACTGACGACGGCGGTCTACGTGTACGTGCCGGCTTTCTCGCACTTGGCTGCGCATCCCCAACACCGCTTGTGGTTGCCTTGCTGGTGACAGTTTCGGTGGCTACCACGGGTGCATTGAGCGGGAGGTGGCTCATGATTTTGCTTATGCTGCGGTACAGGAGGCCTCGCTGAGCATATCCGGCAGCGGCGTTTTTGGTATGCTCAAGTTTGAGAGCGGAGTGCATCGTGTGCAGCGCATTCCCACAACCGAAACGGCTGGGCGCATCCACACAAGCACCGCCACCGTGGCCGTTTTGCCCGAGCCCACTGATGTTGAGGTAGAAGTCTTGGACAAGGACATCCATGTTGAGACCTATCGTGCCGGTATGCACCCTTGCACCGCTGAGCCAATCCAGCTGACAGGGACGCTCAGAACATAGCTGTCTTTGGGGACTTCCGGGTGCTTATAGCCAGGGGGGTGGGGGGCGCGAGGGGCTGACTCTTTTGTTTGGATTGACCAGGTGGTGCGGGTGGACAGCATGTCAACACCACGGATAGTGCCGTGCGCTTAACCCATCTACCGACGGGCACTGTGGTTGCCTGCCAAACGGAGAGGAGTCAGCACAAGGTTTGTTTGCGTTCACCGGGCCTTTCCTGCTCCTCTTGATCAGCTTGAGCACATCGTATCCACCCGCGTTGCCATTGATCAATGCGTGCTGTTTAATCGGGTGCATCACCTCGTTCAGAATAAAGCAGCAGCCATGAAGGTGCTCAAAGCCCGTATTTTTGCTCAAGTGCGTGCCAAGCAAGAAGAAGAGCGTCGGGCCGCTCGGCGCGAGCAGGTAAAGTCCTTTGGGCACCCGTTGACCGTTGCCAAGCATGGCATGAGCTGTAGTTTGTAGTATCTCACAGTATCCGCTCTGGGTGACTCGCTCTGGGTGACTCTGAGCAGATTTCCACCACGCCCGGCGAGCGCTCAGACCGAATTCGAACCTATAACATGCCTCAAGATCGTGTGACAGGTTGGTTTTGGGCACCAAGCAACCCTAGCACATGCTCATGCATATCATCCTTGTCAGCGTCCAGGCGGGTGTGAGTCCATAAAGTCCTGCGCCTCATTCTTCTCGTGCTTGCCCACAGATCATCGAATCAAGGCATCCTTGAACAACGTCGAAACGCTGCTCAAGGGCATTTCGTTGCCTGAACTGATTGTGCAGTTGCAGCAATTTGACAACAGCCAGCGACTGGCTGATCTATTTGGCGATGAAGTCCATCTCTCATCTTCAGGCTCGGAGAGCAATTGACTCAGGCAGAGAAGCATGGGTTGAGCCGCCACCCAAAACTACTCTTTCCTTTTGGTCGCCCGTGCTTTTTTACGTTCGTTTCTACTTTGTGAGGCCAGGGTCAGAGGACGCGGTGGAAGCATCAGAATTGATTATGATGATAACAATTGAAGGTCTTGTCAGGAAACGAAAGAAAACTAAGACGCACTCCTACTGATCATGCTGGCTCAAGATCGAGGGCGGATTTGGCGTACAGGAGGATCAAGTCGGCTGCTTGAGCTGGTCGCTGCACGAATGGGTCCATGCCTGTCTGCGCGAGCGCTTGTCTTAAACACGCGCAGCAGCACACGCGGCCTGATTCTGGCAACAAGGCTGGATCACGGGGGGGTTGGGCGCACAATCCGCAGCTAGCCGCGGTGGGCTCATGTTCTCTGCCCTGGGCCGCTGCACCGGGTGGGATGGCCTGGGCTGCATAATCCGAGTTTGCAGGCTGAAGAGCATTCGCAGCCTGAGTCAGAGTCGATTCTCGGACTGGCTCTTCGCCAAATAAAATGAGAATCGAGCCGGCCATGGGCAGCAGTCGCCACGCGGATGCAAGGACGCGGGGTGTTGCGCGCAGCAACCGACGGGCAAGGGGAAGGTGTGATTCACTTGGTGCCGGGAGACTGGATGACACGGCCATCGGCGCCGCCCGAAGGATGCGGCGCGTGGTTAGCCCGGTCAACAGATCCAGCACCGAGGTAGCGGTTGAGACGCGCGCGGCAGAGGAGAGCGAAAGTCCAACATCCAGCAGTTGCCAACCCCCAACCAGATACTCGAGCCAGGCCTCGACGGGCAGGGCGTGCTGTTGGCCCGAGGGGCCTCGAGCAGTACTGACGCGGTCGTCGCCCAAAGCTGAAGTGTCTTGACGTCGATCGAGTAGGCGATGACCGTCCATGCCTTGCTGGAGCCAGACAAGGCATTGGCGCAAGATGCGGCGAGAACAGACGAGCAACACCGCCCAAATGCTGCGCCAGCGACCCCAAGCTTGTTGTGTGGTTGTTCCAGCACCTCGGACAAGTGCCAGGGAGCACCAGGCCGAAGCCATGCGATGGCCCCAGCGCCACATACTCACGGCATCACCCAGAAGAAGAACCATCGTCGAGAGGCTCTGCGGAGAGGCGCGCCATCGTGCGAGGCGTACCAGCCGGCGAGCAAGCTCATGCACCACCTTCTCCAGCAGCGAGTCCAGATACTCTGCCGTGAGCAGCTCAACCAGAGCGTGAGCCACCATGATGTGAAACCGGCCAGAGGCCGTCCTACCCTCAGCGCGCCACGCCGCGGCTGTTCAAGCGACTTGATGGCGTTTACAAGCTGAAATGAGAAAAAAAAAATAACCGCCGCCAGCGACATCAACTTGAATATCTTCTTCATCAACTTTGAGCAAATTTGCTTCGAAACACCTTATGGGTATGAATATTTCTGCATTTTCTTTCAATTGAGAGTGTTAATATGGCTTTGCGACACAGAACCGTGGCCCGATTCGTGCGCTCCATCTCGGGCTCGGGGCTGAGCCTTGTACGCCGCTGCAATGGGCCGGCCACCGTGAGCGGTTGTCGGCGTCTGCAGCTTGCAGCCACGCGCTACCTTCCCGATGGCACGCATGAACAGCAAATGAAAGGGGATAGCTGGAATCCAGCCATTGTTCATCAGACGGGTGCCCCGCCTGTCGTTTTCTTGCATGGCCTGTTTGGCAACCGGGCCAATTTTCGCACCATTAGCCGCCAGTTGGCCGAGGAGACTCAGCGAGACGTGTACGGGCTAGATCTGCGGAATCATGGGGACTCGCCATGGGACAACCACATGTCCTTCGAGGCCATGGCAGACGATGTGGCGGAGACGCTGCATCGTCTCGTACAGAGCCCAGGCGGCGTGATCCTCGTGGGGCATTCGCTCGGGGGCAAGACGGCCATGGTGACTGCATTGCAAAACCCAGAGCTAGTACGCCGCCTGGTGGTTGTGGACATTGCCCCCATCCGCTACGCGGCCATGCGACAGTCGCGGTCGGTGGCCCAGGCCATGCAGGGCGTGCCCCTGTCAGGGCCTGGAGCCCTGCGGACGCGGCAGGAGGTGGACGAGCATCTTCGCCCACTCATCCCCGAAGACGGCATCCGCCAGTTTGTACTCACCAACTTTGTCTCCGGCTCACGCCATCGTGAGGCTACCTGGCGCTGCAATGTCAAGGCATTGACTGCCGAGATGCCGTCGCTTGCTACCTTCCCGACCTTTGAGGCGACGGCAGATTTTCCCCACCCTGCCCACTTTCTCTACGGTCGACGCTCAGACTACGTGGTCGAGCGCGACGTCAAACCAGCTTTGCAGCGCCTGTTCCCACAGCACACTTTGCAAGGGTTTGACACCGGCCATTGGGTGCATGCGGAGCAACCAGGCCCGTTCCGTGAGGCCATCGCCGACCTGGTCGCGCAGGACCATGCCGCTGCCGCCTCTGCGTGATGGGCTCAGCGCCAAGCGCTGCCCCTCCCATCTCCCCGTGGGCGGAACTTGATGTGTTTGAACAGAAAGCATGTGAGAGCTGCGCCTTGGTATTTGCGGGCCTTTAGGTTACCACCCGACCGAGGGCAGAATTGTGACCTCACGTTGAAGACTCGATGAGTCGTGTAAAATTGAGCAGAACAATACTTTATCACGTGCGCACGCACATGTGAAACACAGCGATCAACAATATCACAACGTCCGATGGTGTCAAGGGTTGGCAGTCCCGTCCTGGTGGCGCAGCCACTGCAGTGACCCGGGCCTTGATATGCCGTCATCTTCATTGACGGCTTGTGCTGTGGCGCACGGCAGCACGGCTCGGTTCAGGGAAACGTGTGTTGGTGTTCATCAGTGCATTTGTGCTATGAACCCTGTTGGGGCTCCAACGGCCGCTACATCTGCATGCTGATGAGGTAGTCTGCGAAGGAAGAGACTTGGGTGAGGCAGTCAGCCGCCGATGCTGGAAAAGCATAAGTGGCGACGACGAGCGCCTTCAATGTTTTGTAGAAGACGATGCCGCAGTTGTCTGCCATGCAAAGGGCCAATACGAGTGCGTTTGGGATGAGGCGGGCCAGCCGTCTTCAATGAGCTCGTCTCAGCAGGCGGTTTGCAAAACAACTCACGCTCGCGTCCCATGATCATGGTGCCACCATCTGTGTCAAGCCAACGAGGCCAGGGCAGTGGGCAAGGAGAGGAGCACAACACCGTGAGGGCGGGACTTTCTGGTGATGCCGCTGATGAAGAAACGCATGCGTAGACCACGCACCGCGTCGCAGAAAGAGGTATCGCTTGCCACCAAAATTGATGCCACGTTCCACGAGGAGGGCTGCCACCTTCTCACTCTCAATGGCCTCGAGGATGGCCTGTGCCTCCGCTGCTGGAGCTGCCTGCAGTTTCCCTGTGGCTGCCCACAGCGTGCCATCCAACCCGTAGATGGCCGCATCCTCAATATTGTTGGTCTGGCTCAAAGCCTGAACATGATCCACCCAGCTCGCCATCTCGACAAGATCCAAGAACAAACCTGAGAGGCACACACGCACCCAGGGAGATACAGACACAGGGATATACAGGCACACACAGGAGTCTCTCTCTCTCTCTCTCTCTCTCTCTCTCTCTCTCTCTCTCTCTCTCTCTCTCTCTCTCTCTCTCTCTCTCTCTCTCTCTCTCTCTCTCTCTCTCTCTCTCTCTCTCTCTCTCTCTCTCTCTCTCTCTCTCTCTCTCTCTCTCTCTCTCTCTCTCTCTCTCTCTCTCTCTCTCTCTCTCTCTCTCTCTCTCTCTTTCTCTCTCTCTCTCTCTTTCTCTCTCTCTCTCACACACACACACACACAATTGAAACGGCCGTTATCGCGGGAGAGCTGTCGGATCGCCGTGGTGTCGCACATGGTCCGGGTGGCGAGGCGAGGGGCAGCGGGGCAGCAACGTTTGAGATTATGGATGATTTTGAAGCCTTTATGGCCGCGGTATGTTGGGATGGGCTCATGCCTGTTCCCGCCTTGCTGCTTGGCTGAGCCGTGGTGGGACACCTCACGTCTGTTTGTCTTGCACTGTATCGATCCCCCCCTATCAGCCGCTGTCGGACGAGGAGAGTCCACAGCCATGGCAGCGCCGTCACCAAGCAACCTCTAGTGCAGCCACGCGTCAACCCTACACCGCTCGCATCCCGCTCAATTTTTCGGATGAGGATGAGGATGAGGACGAGTCAGCCCTGGGGCGCGAAGACTCGGCAGCCACCGGTCGCTCCCGCTGGCTGCGACCCAAAACCAACCTGGCCGCAACTGCCCCTGTACCCAAGACCACCGGCGTCGCTGCTCGAGGTACGTCGGCTGTCTCGGGGTACCGCTCTTGCCGTCAGCACTCGTGAATGAGCCTGATAAACGCCGTTGCGAACAATTGCTACTCGAATCACCGCATTCGCTCGTGCGCCTTCGCATATCCTGCCCTACCCTCCATTTTCAGGATTGGGTGGTGCCTCGCGCCTGTCAGCTTCTGTCAAGCCAAGCGCGGGGGCCGGGGCACACCTCAGCGCTTCGCTTCACGGGCGCAGCAAGCCCGGGGGCTATTTGAACATGTCCGACACCTTCACCAGCTTGGGCTCAACCGTGAGCAGCGCCCAGCTGGAGGATGAGCCCACCGAGAGCAGCACGTCAGCGGATCAAGATCGCAATGCTCACCTCAGCTCCCGACAGCACCCGCTAAAGTCGCACATTGCAAGCTCAGGCACCATCCTTCGTGCACCAAGTGCCACCGCCCACAGCAGCGTGGCTGATGAAATTGCTGCACTTCTCGCTGGTGCCACCGACCCTGCGCCGCGCGGCGCCAGCGATCCGATTGCCGAAGAACCCGAGTCTGAGGAGTCTGCTCCCATCGGTCACGTGCAAGTGCGCACTCACACACCTCCGAGCGAACGGAATGCGTCGGACGACTTTGCCAGCCTTGACGATGATAGCGATCAAAATAGCAGCCCTGACAGAAGCCACCGTGAAGCCAGTCACGACCGTGGCGACCGCAGCGTGAGCAAGGACTTTGCAAATGAGCATGACCATGACCATGACCATGACCATGACCATGACCATGACCATGACCATGACCATGACCATGACCATGACCATGACCATGATGATGATGAACAAGAAGAACAAAAAGAACAAGAAGAAGAAAACACCAAGGGCCAGGAGACGGAGAATCAAGAATCTAACGAGCACGACCGTACGGACAGCGCAAGCGCTGACACCGAGGATGAGTTGAGCGGCAACGAGGAGCCAAGTGACCACGCAATCGCAGAACCTGCAACCGCCATCGGCGCCTTGGCTGCCTCCAAACCCTCGCGATTAGATGCTGGTAGGTTGGCGGCGTGTCTTGCGGTCTTGATTTCCGCCAGTGATTCGCTTCTGCTCTGAAACCCACACCACCTAACCTCTCCTGTGTGGCGAGTCTAGTCAACTTTGCAGACTCTTTGGACGGTAGTTTGATGAGTTCCTTGCGCCCAACCCTGGCACTATTGCGCGAGGAGACCGAACACGCCCCTGTCTCCCCCGCTCGCGCGACGACGGGCACTGCTGTTGAGGCGGACAACAGCGTGGCACGTGACCAAAAACAAGCGAATAGTGACGACGAAACGCCTTACCCCATTTCTGGGGCCCAGAACAAGCCCGAACCAACCCCCGTGCCTGCCCCGCGGCCTGCTATCGTCTCTGCCAGTGCTGCCCTCACTTCTGCAAAAACACAAAACTTTGATGATTTCATGGCTGATTTTGACTCGACGATCAATTCGGCTTTGGAAGCGAATGCTGATGCTTTGGACAGCTCCATGGCTGGACGGCACCTCCAAGACGATGCAGGCGCAGACAGCGAGGCTGGCACGGACGAGGGAGATGACGCTGAGACTCAAGACAACCACACGGATCATGTCGCAGCCAAAACAAAGAGTGCGCTTGCTCATTCATCGAGCTTGGCCCCCCAGGCCTTGCCGGCATCTTTATTGGACACAGCAAGCTCGCGACCAACCACCAGCGGTAGTGTGAGCAGTCGCATACCGCGCCCCGCTGTTCAAACCACCTCGGCCCCGACCGCTGCCGGGATGAACCCCACAGGTGCTGCCACTGCCGCCACTGCCAAAGGGGTCCCACCCTTGTCGTCACGAGCCCACCAACACCACAGCGCGTTACAGGAGCAGCTGGCCAAGCGCCTGGATGCCTGGCAGGCTGATGGCACTGAGCACGGCCTCGAACAGGTGACAACAGCAGCAACCGAAACCGCGGCACTACGCGACACCGTGGCTCAGCAAGAAATGATGCTCAAGCTCTTGAATCAGGAAAATGAGCAGCTGATGAAGCGCGTACGCGCCATGGAAACAGTGGAGGGCGGCCAGGCTGCTGACTTGCAGACACTCCTGGCTGAACTGCGACGCGAAAATTTTGTTCTTCGAGCTCAAGTCGAAGATACAGACGAGCGCACCCGCACGCGTGGCACGATTAGCGATGAGCGGCTGCAAGACCTCGAGCGCCGTCTACAAGCGGAGCAGGCGGCCCATGCAACGACCAAAGAGCAGCATCGCGGTGCCTTGGCTGAGCTGCGCACCGAGCTACAAGGCACGATTGCTCGCCAGGACGCTCTGCTCACGCGGCGCAACGAGGAGGTGCGCCGATTGAAGGAACAACTTGAACAGACGCTAGCCGCTATGGAGGAGCTACGGGCCGAAGCACGTCAGGCACAAGCTAATCTGGCAGAGCGTCAGCAAGATTGTGAAGCCTTGCAAGCCATGCTCACCGAAGTTCGTTCAGGCAAGGCTGCCCTGGCTGCGGCCCACAAGCCCAAGGAAGATAGCGTAGCGTCCTTACTCAAGCCCGACGAAGAAGTTACCGTTGTGCAGCTACGCAGTGCGCTTGCTGCACGAGACCGCGATCTTAAACAGCTGCAGGCTGACTACGATCAGGCCATGGCTGGGCATCGGGAACAGTTGGAGCAGCTTCGCTTAGAGTACGCCAGCATTAAGACAGGATTTGAAGCTCGTCTTAAAGAGACACGACGCGAGCTTGAAGCCGCCAAGCAAGAGCACCGCCCCTACTCCAGGGCCAAGGAACTTCAAACCGAACTTGAGGCGTTGCAAGCTCGCTATGCACAGCTAAAAAAACGGCTGGGTGCCCCTGAGGCCGATGCGCCCGGGGAGGGAGCGGCACCATCGCCGCGACCGGATAGCACCGGACACAGCACGCACTCTGTGCAGCAAGTACTACAGCTCGAGCGCGAGCATGCCGTCCTCACAGAGAAAGTAGCGGCTATGCAAGCGGCTTCCAGCAAGTTACAAGAGCGGGTAGAAATAACGGCTGAAGAATTACGTCAGGTCCAACTCGAACGTGACGATGTCCAGGGGCGGCTTGACGCTGCGGTCCGACTATCTGAGGCAAACCGTTTGGAACGCGTCCGCATTGAGGCAGCCTTAACGGAGCTCAAAGAGAGTTCACAGACTGCCCTAAAGGCTCGCGAGCAGCGCCTGCGGTCGCTAGAACAGAGCACGCAGCTGCTCGAGGCCGAGGCTGCCTCGTACCGCGAACACATCAAACGCTTGGAGGCGCGAGTGGCCGAGGCGCCTTCCTTGGAAAAGGTTGTCGAGTATGAACGCCAATTGCGGGAGCTCGAGGCTAGCAAGCACGCCCTGCAACTAGAACTCGACCAGGCTCAGCAATTCCAAAGCCCCACCATGCAACACTTTAACCTGTTGCAGCGTCGCATTGCTCAGCTTGAGGCCCAGCAGCGCGAACGGGAGCGTCAGATGAAACACCTCTTGACAGAACAGCTCCAGCGCTCGGATTTAGACAAAGAAACGGTCGAAAGCAAATGGCGCCAGCGACTGGCCGATGAGGTGAGTAGGATCCTTGTCAAGTCATTGCGCGCTGCCGTGGGTTCTATCGTTGCCAAAATTTGGCCTGGGGCCTCACGAAGCTGCACTCTGCTTGGTAGGGCCTTAAAGTGTTGCGGCTGGAAGAAGAGGTGAAACAGTTGCTCGTGGCTTTGCAGGACCTGCGCCGACGTCCAAAGCACCCGCAGTGATCCGGAAATACGGAGTGAACCACGTGCAGCATTGTTTATATCGATAATAATAAGAGACCATGAAGCTCCTGAGTGACTTTTTTTCCCCCTCGTCTGAGACGATTCGCCGTACCCTGAGTGGCTGACCAAATCATATTTATAATGGATCTGCCGCGCAATTGATTTACATGTCTAATGGCTTTTTTTTTTTTTTTTGCTTTTTTTTTTTTTTTTTTGATGTTGAAAAAAAACAAAAAAACAAACCGAGAAATTCTCAAAACCTCTGGCGCATTTATTTCAAAACGTTGGCGCGACACACGATGGATGAGCAAATTGCCTTGATTGAAAACTACGAAAAGGTCGGTCGGTGCGCGCCCGTGTGTGCCCTTGTTACGAGTCTTCCCGTGGTTGCCTGTCTATGTGGTGGAGAGGGGAGAAGCGGTGCAAGGAACATGGAAACCGGGAATTGATTCAGAGCCAGCATCCCGTTTGCGCTTCGTGCGCATGGTCTCATGCTGTCGCAAACGCCTCATCAGGCCGAGACGCGGCATGCCGACGACAGTGCCTTTGGTGTGCCGGACGGTGTTACTGGCGTACACGTCAAGGGGCACAGCAAGATGTCCGCCGTCATTGGCTTTTGCACCTCGGCCCTTGAGGTGGGTCAGCCAAATGTCGGACGCAGGCCTGCCTGAGTCCCGCGAAGCGCGTGCCGCACTCACGTTTACCGCCCTGACCCGTGTTTGCTTTCTAGACAAGCCCCATCTGCGTGATGGCCTTTGGATCTGCGGTAGCCAAGTGTGTCTCCATTGCCGAGATTCTGAAGCGGGAACTCCCTGTATGTTGGCGTGCATTGACTGTTCTGGCCGAGCCCCGCCTCCTCCCACGTGCTCATGCCCTCCCGTTATCAATTCATAAAACCCATATAGGGTTTGTACCAAGCTAATCAAATCTTTCATGTTCGGTATGTCGACTCACCCTCATCAATATAACCATGCTGCGGTGATGGAGAAGGTGCTCATTTGCCTTGTGGTCCCCAATGCCTGCTGTGTGCAGGGAGGTGGAAGTTTGGCGTCCTTTGCCGACAGCCGATCCCAATCTGGATGAGTTCGTTGTTGTTCCGCTGCGCACTCTTGTGCTTTTATAAATGATGATGATTATCATGAGTGATAATGCCCGAGTCCTCACTCCTCGCTTTCACCATAGGATTCATGTGAATCGGGATCAGCCAGCGCTGACCATCTTCCTCTCGAAGCAACCCATTGATCCAGCCACCCCAGGGTACGAACCTCCTCGGGGTGCTGAGAACGTCATACAAGCGACGTGATCGTTGCATGCCGCCCGTTGCAGCCATAGGCGGGTCTGTGCCATCTCACTTTCCACTGTCCACCTTGCCCCCCATCACCCTTGACCTCAGATACCAAGCACCCAAAGCTCTGCCCACCGAAGCGGTGAAATGAGACGGCGCCCTTCTTTCCAAGGAGGAGGTTTTTTGTTTTCGGCTTTTTTGTCGTGCATGTGAATAGAGTGACTAAGCTGCTGCGTTTGAGCTGAGCTCAGCGTCAGAAAGACTGCCGTTTTCTACTTTCTCCTCCTTTCTGATCAAACCCCTCTTGCAGGCGCATCCGGTCGACCTCGTGCCGAGCGCGACTCGTCCTTGTCACTATGAAGGCACACAACTTGACGCACCAATTTAGAGCCTGCATCATCAGATGCCGATCGATCGGCTAGGACATCAGATTATGCTTCAATTGTTCTAAGTCGGTTCTAGGCGTTGATCATGGCTGGACACAGCAAAATCGATACACAGCAGCGCCAAGCGTGTGGTTCTGCATTTCATTCTGTTCTTTCTCTCGCTCTCTCCCACGGGCCAGCTCCCATCTCTTCAGCAGGCAGGCGGTCCATAGCGCATGGGATAATTTTTATTATCGCGCCCACGATCTGCTCCAATTTGGAGCAAGGCGCTGCGTGATGCGTCACGAACGCGCTGCTAGCTGAAGCATGAGTATATCAAAGGCGTCCAACGGCACCCAGTTGGAGTGATAGGTCAGATACTGACTGGCTGCCAGCAAGTTGGCGCGAAGCAGCGGTGCCTGGGACAGCTTGGCCAGCAAGATGTCTTTGAGACGAGGAACGTCATGTTCCGGTACAAACACTGCAAAACTGGGCCAATGTAGAAGGGAGCTGAACGGCAGCTCGTACCCATCCGCGATGATCACCGGAATACACCCAGACCACACGGCATCCATAAGTCGTGGCGTCCAGACTCGGAAGCCCCGAACCACCAGACAAAACTCGCTCTCGGCCAGCGCTTGACGGTAGTGTGCTGCCGCCAGTGTGCCGTCGACCAATAAAAAGTCGGGATCGCCATCGAAAAACTGGCGTAGGCGCGGCCGCACTGGCCCACGTTGTAGGTTGCCGGCCATAAAGGCCAAACGATTCCGGGGCGTGCCTGCCCATGCCTCGCGCGTCACTGACAGTCGAGTGCCGCCCTGTAGGCAGGTGTCACACCCGTCGCCGATGTGCGGCGCAGTGGCCAGATCTCGGTGCACATTAAAGAAGCCGTCGCGACGATCGGCTGTGTTGACGAGACCAATTAGGTTCTGCTGGGCTGCCCGAGACAATTGAGCGACGGCCGATGAGCCCATGTCATGGCTACAGACGTAAAAATGATTGGCTCCGGCACTGCGGTTCCAGTAGGGATATGCAGCGCTGATGCTCGCAATCCATGAAGCCAGCCCCGCCTCTGCTGCGTTTTGGCCACCCGCACGGTCGGCCACTGTGTATCGATGTGCTGTGCATTGAAAGGGAATTAGGAAATGAGTGGCTTCTTCAGGCTGCTGGACTGCATAGGGAGACGATGCCAACACTTGGGGCAAGCGGCGTTCAACGCCATACTTGTAGTCATCTGGGGCCCGAGGCATGGAACCCAGGTGTACCGGGTAGGTGAAGATACGTAGCTGGCGTAGCGCCTGCTCCTGCAGACTGGTCAAGTTGATGTTGGGCTGCAGCACGTGCGTCAGGCGCTCCACCTGAGCGCGGCCAGCTCCGAGATGGGCCGCCGCAGAATCTTGACGGGCTGCGGCAAGTGGCAACTTGACAAAGAGCCGTGCCCCGGACGGTGTGCGCGAGCTGACTTTGCTCTTGAGCCAGCCATTCGAGTTGAACCCCATGCACTCGGTCAAGGCGTTGCAGGTCTGCTTCAACAGCTCCACGTTATTTGAGCGGACGTTTGCAAGGTCATGGCCCTCCACGTCAGCACCTTCAATCACATCGTAGGTGAAGGCTGGCGCGGTATTGTATTCTACCGTCAGGTTGGTGAAGACGGGTTCGATGGAACGGCGCGGCACAGGTTGGCAGCGTGGAGCAGTTGGGCGCGCAGCGCTGTCATGCTCAAAGGAGATCTCCAGCCAGAGACCAGCAGCCAGCACCAAAAAAAGTGCAAAGGGCAGCCAGCTACAGTCACGCCCAACCACACTGGCCCGCATTCTGTCGGGCTCTCGAGCCAAACGCACCCGCCCGTGCTAGCAAAAAAATCACCAGCCCACCGGATTCGGAGTGTGTCTGTGTGTGTGTGTGTGTGTGTGTGTGTGTGTGTGTGTGTGTGTGTGTGTGTGTGTGTGTGTGTGTCTGTGTGTGTGTGTGTGTGTCTGTGTGTGTGTGTCTGTGTGTCTGTGTGTGTCTGTGTGTCTGTCTGTCTGTGTCTGTGTCTGTGTGTGTGTGTGTGTCCTCATCCCAGAACGAAACACAATTCAGATTGAAGTGTCTGTGGAGGAGCCGGAGCTGGGTAAAATGCTTTGCAATTTTGGCGCACACACGCACGCACACGCACACACATAAACGCGCAAACACTGTGGACGGGATGGGCTGGCCTCAACTGTATATACATAAAACAACAGCCACAATCACAATGGATCTGCAAGATCAACAGAAAAGGGAGCGTCATGGACGCCAAGTGCCCAGCCACAGACCAGGCGGAAAGCCATGCAGCTTTACTGAATGGTTGACTGTGCCTGTGTTAGGCACAAATGACAAACAAAGAAACACGGGGACAACGATGTGGCGAGACAATCTACTGGAGCGCGCACACGCCGACGAAGGTGGCCCAGCTTTAGACGACTAGCTCATACTGCACAAATTTGCGAGTGCGACCAGCGACGAGACCCGCGCCAATCATGGCCAATACATAAAGCAGGCAGGAGGCACATGCTGTACGCAAGGTGATGGGCGATGTGCACGCATTGATGAGTCTCAGGTCAGAAAAAACACTCAAGCAGGGACAAGAACTCATCGAATATGACCAAGAAGGAGGAGCGATAAGGCGGTAAGCGGGACCGCGCTTACCAATGGGCCAAGCAAGGCCAAGGGTGCAATCACCAAGCTCAAACATGTGAGCATGAGTTCCGCAGCCACAAGGTGCGGCGGGACCATTGGGCTGGGTGGCACTCACACCAGCGGCGAATTCGATGGTGCCTGCCGTTTGCAGGATGGCTGCGAGATCGCACGAGCGCACCGCGTTTATGAGTGAGACAATGTGTGTGTGTGTCCGGCCAACGGCGAGTTCATGACATTAAAGCATAGTGCAAAGCGCTCGCACCAGCCACGGCCATGGGAATGGTTTGCCATTTCTGTTTGGAAAAAAAAAAAAGCCAGCAAGCACATCAAACAAGACCGTGACGATGTGGCGTCATACTCGCCGCTGATGCACTGAGCCAGGGCACTCGAGGACACAATCGTACCGTGCTGCCACTCATACAGGCGCAGGTTCCAAGGGCAAAGGGCAGGGTCATGGCGCTTAGGATGAAGGCAGCAATGTTGAGACCAGCAGCATGCTCCCAGGCAGGCGTGGGTGCATCACTAAAGTCGGCCCCATAGCGCTCACGCAAGCCTTGGCTTGTCGCAACTATTGGGACAATACAAGAGTCAAAAGGGACAAATGGTCTGAAACAGGAGAAGTACAGCTTCAAAAAAGAGGGAGGGCGGGCCAAATCGAAACGCACAAGTCACGGGGCCACAACTATGAGCGGTGGCTTCGGGTGGGGCGAGCAGCCAGTCGGGGCTGGCGATAGACCACACACTGCCAAGCGCGGCAAGCACGAGGACGACAATGTATAATCTAGCATTCCAGGAAGGAAAGACCGAATCAATCCCAGTTAACCCAAGAAAAGAAGCACAGCTGGGCCAAATATGATCGATTCATCCCGGCGGGCATCGCAAGCGAAACCACTCACGCATGAATGGTCACGTCGGCGGTGGAGCGCATGCTGCCTGGTCAACGTCGAGACGAGGGGCTTTGATCACGGCAACGTATTGGTTGAGGTGCTATTTGCTGAGCTGCGGCCTTTTTGGCTGTCGAACTCAGCTACGGGAGCAGAGCAAAGTTGTGCACCAGCAATAAGGATAGCAAGTAATATCATCTGTGTGTATTCATATGGATGTGTAAAGTGGGGGAGGTGTGGAACGGTGGCAGGAAGGGATCGCGGAAAATGGCTGGGCGACCCGAGGGACATTCACTTGAGCAAGCCCAGATGGGCGGGACGAGGGGTACGCAAGCGCAAAGCGAGGGCAATGGGGGCAAAAATACGTGTGCAAGTGATGCGAGGCGATCGTGCGTGTGCGGTCCCGATTGGAAGCTTGTGGGGCCAGATTGCAAGCGGGCTGGGTAGAAAGCGCGCGGTCATGACCATGTCTTGATGTCATATCTCGAGATCCCCTCAGGAAAAAGAGGACGTGCACGACAGAATGGGGGTTACCAACGTCGGTGATGGCCTCCCGCGATGTGTGTGCGACAATGAGGCAGTTGTATGTCGGATTGTGCCTGATGTACTGTGTATGGCTGTGACGTGACTGTATCTGTGTCTGAGCGTGTTGGTGCGCGCAATTCATATCCGCACGTACTTGCTGCCGCGAGTCTTCTTATGGGAGGATGCGGGCCCGAACAGTAGAGAGAGCAGCAAAGCCGAAATTTGCTGACACTTGCTTGTGTCTTGTTGTCCGCAGGGTTGTGTGTTCACACACACACATACAAGTTACAGTGTTGAATGGCAGCGTGACCAGGCGAGGGGTAGCAGGTATACGACAACAAGAAAGAGAAGCACACGCGTGTGTGTGGGTGGCACACGGGTGATCTGATGTGTGTGTGTACACGTTTGGTTCACACGCCCGGATGCGTGCAGGTGTGTGTTACACTCAGAGACTCGGAATGGGAATGTGTGTCTGTGGCAGTGGGCAAGGTGGCAGACAGTCTTGCACGGGGCGAAGGCGAGAGGGAACACGATACTGGGCGGCGAGAGTGGGCAGTGGTCAAGACTTGTAAAGAAATCTTGGATGTGTGGCAAAGAACCAGTAAATTTTAAAAATGGCGGCGCGGCGCGACTTGCCAGGCTCCAACTTCAGAGCCTATGTCTCTTGTGTGCCCATTTCACGGCTTTTTCACAGACACGCCCACATGCACATGCACTCGTGGGCGAGCGCAAGCTCACCTCACCTCACTCCGTCGTACAAAGGTAAGCTTGTGAGGAATTTTGGGATTTTGGCAAAACCTTCTGGCCACATCCGACAACTGTCGCATGTGAAAACATTAGGCTTGGTTTGCTTGGCACAACGTGGGCATGCGGCAGGCGGATCAGGCGGGGTGATACGGTGCCATGTTGCTGATGACGCTTTTCCAGCTGACATCCCAGCATACGTACAGATGAGCTCAGATGCTCAGATGCAAGAATAATGATGTACGTGTGCCTCAGCTAGAAGCGGTACACATGCCCTTGGCACGCTGCCATGCCTGCACACGCAGCTCACCCATCGCTGGGCCAAGTGGCAAGCTGCCGATACGCTGCTCCTGTGTGATGTTATTTCTGACTTGTCTACATTCGGGATGGTGACGCTACTGGTTCACGAACACAATGTGATGATGCTGCCAATGTGTTCTGTGTGGGTCGCTTGCCATACGACCATCGGTCACTGGTGGGGTGGGGCGGGAGGACTCGAGAGGAGAGCAGCGATTCAAAAGGTCCATGGCTTCCGTCTGATGACGGGCAGATGAAGCTGGGTTTCCATTTCCATGCCAACCAACGGTACACAGGGTTGTCGGTTACTGTGACCCGTGGTGCCATCCATTTCCGAGCCCATTTCCGGCCATGTATACTGCAATTGTTATGCCATAGCGCCGAATCACTGAGATGTGCGCGCGTGTGCGGTACTGCCCTCTCCACAAGACTCCAGGCCCGGGACTGCCTGGAGTTGAGGGCAGTGCTTCCATCACCCCTCGCCGTTTCACTTTATGAGCATCCCCCATAGCCAAAGAAAAACATTTTACGCTTTTCACTCTCTTCTCTCTCTGTTGCTCTCTCTTCTCTCTTCTTCTCTCTCGACCAAACCAATCTTCTCTCTTCTCTCTTCTCTCTTCTCTCTTCTCTCTTCTCTCTTCTCTCTTCTCTCTCTCTCTCTTCTCTCTTCTCTCTCTCTCTCTTCTCTCTTCTCTCTCTGTGTTCTGGTTCGTGTCTGCACTCGTGCGAGTCATGGGCAACGCCCTAGCCCTGTGCTGGGGCGTCGTGCGCATTGCTTGTTATCAGGTATGCAAGATCTGCCTGCCGGCTGAGCCGCCACCTCGCCCCATCTACGATGTTCTGTGCTTGGGCATGGCTGGCACTGGCAAGTCAGCCCTTCTCGCGGCCCTCAATCATGAGCCGTACACCGACCTGGAACCGACCAAGGGTACGAAACCAAACCCCTGCGCCCTTGAGCACGATGGCGACCAGCCCCGGGATCCTCCGCCCTCCCTGTAGGCCGCTCCTCGAACCTCATCAAAGCACTTTTGATCTGTCCGATGCCCAGGCTTTGCCATCAAGCCCGTGCTCACCTCCAAGGTGCAATTCAACGTGAAAGAGATTGGTGGTACGGACCGCCTCCTTCGCCCGCATGCCAAAAATGCAATGCCTTCCGCGACCTCATCGCTCCTTGATGCTTCGCCGTAGGTGCCGACAAGATGCGAGCCTATTGGGCACGATTTTATGCGGACATGCAAGGCTTGGTCGGTCTCAGCTCCCGGGTGTGCTCTTTACGAAGCTGCACCCGCTCATCTTTCTCTGCCCCCGCTCGGCTGTCACAGATTTTTCTCTGGGACGACCAACATCAGCCCGATGAAGCTTTGACCGAATTTGCCCGCGCCGCGGAAGCCTTACAACGACCGCAACTATTGTTAATTGCTCGCTCCGGTCCAGAGTGGACCCCTGACGCTGTGCGCGCCAAGCTCCCGCCGCCTCGTCGCGACGACCCGCGCCTGGTGGTATGTCGAGTTGACTGCGCCGACTTGGAGAGCCTCCAAGCTGCCTTTGAAAGATTTGCCGCCTTTTATGCCTAAGCAAACCGTCGATAATCGAAACACTCTTATTAAAAGCTTTGAAATACACGGGCAACCGCTACCCGTTCCCCCTCCCGGGACAAGCAGAGTTTTAGGATGACACGACACACACAGCTCGTAAGCACTGTTTTGTAAAGTTGATTGTAGAAAACAGCATTGTCCCAGACGGAAGGCTACGCGCAAGGGTCGTGGGGCAAAACACACACACAAAAGAAAGGAGAAGAAAAGATACGAGAAGACAGGAGCGACACCAGACGACCATGCAGGAAAGTGCAAGGAAGGACAGGGAGGCACAAAGAAGCCAGCGCAGCGGTCTCTCAGATGCGACCCAGCTGTAACGGCCAGAAAGGCACGACCGTTGGTGAAGGAGGCTGAACAAATTTACTTGGTGTTCTTGCGTGTGCGCTTGTCCCAGCTAAAGTTGTTGCCATAGTTCTACACCAAACAAGTTTGAAGTGAGCACTTGACGACCCTGATTTCAAGACCGAGAACTCTTGAAAGGATGCCTTCGAATGAGTGCTGAAGAGCAGGACACTGACCTTGCGGAATTTCTTCTTGACATAAGGCTCGTGCACATAAAAGGTCCAGCCTGCGCGACCGAGAGACAAGAAAGGAGTTTGAGACCAGGCATACGAAGCGCGACGTACTGCGCAAAGAGCCCTAGCACATTCCTGACCACAAACAGCCGAGACACTTACCCTTCTGCTCGCAGAAGCGGATGGCCTCCTCCTTGGTATCAAACTTGACATCAACGTTGGACATGGGATCAGCCCTGGGTTTGAGGAAGAAACGGCCGGTTCAAGCGCGTGTGAGTGCTGAGTCACCCTAAAAAATGCAGTAGAGCAATGAGTCATTGTATGGCACTTACGTCGAGGCCCAACCCATCAGAGGGTTGACCCAGCGCTCCTGCGTGTCCCAGCTGATGACCCAAGTGTCGAGCTTGTAGTCACCCGACTGCATCACGTTGCGCGCGGGGCGAGTGATGCGGACCAGACGATCACGCAGCAAGGTCGGAGGCGTGGTATCCAAAGGCGCCGTCGACTGTGCCTGGAACAACAGAAGCGCGAGAAGAATGATGAGCCTCTGAACAGGGCTGGCCAAGGCAGGTATCGCTGCCGCCCGACTGACAACTCGGGCCACCAGGTCGGCTCAGGGCGGAGCGTGTGCCGGCCACACGCTTACCATGGGCTGAGGAACGCGGTACGGGATTTGAGGCATTAAATCCGTGCTGGTGGCGGGAGCATCCGAAGAGGAAGCCAGACGGAAGGCCGAGGGCAGCACGGTCACCGCGCGCGAGGCGCGAGCGACGGTGCTGGAGACGGTCAGGGAACGACGAAGCAGCGCAGTCATCGCCATCTTGAACAGTGCCTAGAAATACCACACGGTCTTTCAACGTGTTATAATACCGTTCCCGCCCAAGTTTAAATTTGTGTGCGTGTGTGCGTGTGTGTGTGTGTGTGGTGTGTGTGTGTGTGTGTGTGTGACCTGCTTTTCTTCTGCCTACAGCGGCGGAGCATGGTCTTGCACATCTTGATCAACAACAGTCAATGAACTGATGAAAGTATTAGCAAACACACAGCGCTCAGCCCTGGGAGGAGGGTCAACTCTCTGCACAACTGACAGGAAGAATAAAAGAAACATGAACGAGAAGAATCAAGCTAGACAGGAAAACGGGGCGACCAAAGACTCGGGCCAGGGAGGCAGACACGCTTACAACAACAAAACAGAATTTACATGTTAAAAACAAAAAACAGCACTCAGCACATGCATTTGACTTGCACACGACAGCAACTCTACACTCAACACCTGTCTGGCATCACCGTCTATAGGCGTGTGGCCAACGGGGAGGCTGTGTTACCCTCGGAAGCAGCGAGGTGATGCGATTTATGATTGAGCGGGCTTGAAGGCAAGTTGAGTGTGGGCCTGAGCACACGACGCCTTGCCGCAGGACCAGCACCGTGGACCGGGGCGGGCGTCATGGACATGAGCTCCAACAATGCTTGCGCTGGTGGCTGGGATTGTCAAAGAGAGAAGTCATTGCAGTTCACAAGGTGAGAAGTGAAGGCTGGACACGTTCAAGAAGACACAGGGTGATTGGCCTTTTCAAAACTCACCGAAAAAATGAGCTCCGATGGATCGTACGTATCCTACAGCCACACCACAAGGTACAAGGGATATGGTGAGAACCATGGCGGCTAGGTCGACGAGGCGTGTCGGTGCAACGCAACAAGCTAGCCAACTGATGTCACACATACCTCGCCATCGTCTGTTGCTCGCGCGGGAGTGGGCAGTTGAGACCGGCGCAATGGGGTCAAGGCCTACAGCAACGAGAAGCCGTGAGCCAGGACGTCCTGTCACAGTCATCTTTATGTCTCAGATTGTCTCTTGTATTGATAAGGGCCGTACCGTAAAGGCCCCAAAACTGGACCGGAAGTCAGGCGATGCCGCATCAAGCCAGTGATCGTGCGTCCTAAAGAGAGCAAGGCATGAGGGAGGGGCACATGTTAGTATCAGTTTGAGCATACTACCCGGGCTAAGCAGCTGGCGACAAATTGGGGGTCATCCGGCACGGTACGAACGGTGATGTGAGAACGGATGGCATGAGACCCGAGATGATCCTACGCGTTCGCAGGCACATGAGTGCATCAGGTGGCGTGAGAATGGTTTGCAAAAGATTGTAGAAACATATGCCGGGGTGCCATCTATTGAGTCACTCTTGACAAGCACATGAAGCAACCAGAAGAGCCAAGCAAAGTCATACCTTTGACGCGAACCCCGGAAAGAGGGCGACAGCACTCCGGAACGATGAAAAGAGGGCGACAACGGGGATTCCAAATGGATGGGTGAGGCCAGATCTGGGCGCGGTGAAGCAAAAGCGCTGGTAGAGAGACGCGGTGGCGACAGCAGGGTCCACGGCGAGTTGCCCTGGGAAGAGCCCTTCACGACACAAGAGCACACATGAGGAGATGGAGTGCGTTTGTTTTCCCGGGCTAATATCAACGAACAAGAACCACAACGTCTGCAAGGCTTACCTCGATGCGCGTAGGGATTGGCTTTTGAAGCGAATCGGGTGCAGACCCGGCCACGCTAGGCTGACGCGATTGCTCTCGTGAATACTCCTCGGCAATAGTCGAGAGGTCTGGCTCTTCGGTGGCAAATTGCTTGCGGCGTGGCGTCAGTGCCGAAAGAAGGCGACGCATCATGCTAGGCGAGGTACGACCTGCAACATTGGAAGCCGAGCTCTGCGACCCATTGGACTTGCTTGTCGGTGTCTCAGCTTGCTGGCGACGCTGTTCGACCCAGTAGTTGGGTACCAACTCCTCGGGCTGCGCACCGTTCTCCAGGGCCAAACTGACAAAGGAGACGTGCGCTTGCAGCTCCACGTCGTCCACCGCCCAAAAATGTGTCATCAAACGCGAGCGCGCCAGCTACAGCAAGCAAAAGATATGATACAAACATAGTGGTCAGGCAATGCTCGGCTCGTGGGTTGATGTCTCGCCAGCTGCAATGTGTCAATCAGCATAATACGGCCACAGAGCGAGGGCAGAAGAAAACGCTCAAAATTTCCTCCGCAAAGATGAAAGCGAGACTTGACAAAAGCACGCACGTGTTGCGGGGGCAGATGATGCAGAAGTGGCAAAAGTTCTGCCAGCGTCTCAAGCTTGAGAAAGTCTTCAGCGCACACACTCATGATGGACAGTGCCACGCGATGAAACGTTCGAACGCCTACACGCCAACGAACATTGTGTGAGTCAAAAAAAAACGTGACCCTTGTTGTTCATAAAAACTAGTCGTGAAAAATCACCTTTGAGCAAAAAGGCATCCCAAATGCACAAGACTGTGTCCCATAGAGGTAGGGAGGTGAACCCACACATGAACCTAATTCATCACGTTCCAAAGAGCGGGGGGTCATTTTCAGGCTGCTTTGCTTCTTTGAGCCACCGAAAGCGACACGATCTTGCAAGACTGCTTTCTTTCTGTACTCTGAAGCATGCAACGAACATGATACGTACCATTGCGTCACATACATCAACGGGTGAACACCCAGCTCATTGATGTGTGATGCTAAATCCGGCATGCGCCGGGCCATCAAACCCGCGAACACGTTGGCATCCTAGCAGTCAAATCATTGCAAAAAGTTTGTCCACAGCATGTCAGTGATTCTTTTTTTTTTTTTTTTTTTTTTTTTCAAAAAAGCAAAGAAGTATCTGCATGCCCCGATGACATTTGCCGTTCATTGAAGCGCACCTTTTGTACACGGCTGAGATCTTCGGTAAAGTAATTGGCAAAATACTTGTCCGACTCCAGTAGGCAATAAAAGCACCAAAAGGCATCTTCTTCCGGCATGTGCATCAACAAGACAGCTGCCAAGTAGGCCATGCCTTGACAATAGCCCACCTGGTCACATCAACACATTGAGAGCAAGAAATTGGTGCTTTGACAAAGGCTTAAAATACATACGGGTCATTGCTGCTTGCTTGGGGCACAGATCAAAAGCCAGGCTTACCACGGGATTGACTTTGGCATATACTGATAATAGACGGAATAGCTCTTGCTGCCCCTTGCCGTCCTTGTCAATGAACATGACGTGCGTGTAGAAAGTACGGTCCAGGTCCAGCTAGCAAGGTTTGGACGGAAAAAATAAAGTCAAACCTTACGTTGTCGCACCTCATTGCGCACCGTTGATAGCTGCAGACCAAGCGCTCACGACAAACCTTGATCTGACGCACGGCCGCCACGGCTGGAAGCTCATCTATCAGCAAATCAATCAAGGAAGACGATGAGCATGCGTATCGAGAGCAGCAGGACGAGCTCATGGTCCCACGCATTTGTGGGATTGGCATACCATCTTCGGAGATGGAGGCACGTGGGAGGTTTTCATCTTCTGCGTTGTCGTCACCAGCAGCGTAGCGCCGAGCACGTTCAACGTTCTCTTGGTCAATCACGGCCTGCGCAGCTTCGCGTCGCTATGCATCACAAGCATCCGGCACAACAAGGGTTGGCATTCAACACCAGCGGTCGAGCTGCAAGGGTTTGAGCGGGCAATCGCTGTGGCTGCAGGGACAAACCTGGCACAAGGCTTGGATGGTTTCCACTTCACGAGCATAATTGAGCTTGACGGCTTTGCGGGCCATTTCTGCTCCTACCAGCTTTTGCCAGACCTTGCCGCGCACGTCATTGGGGATGCCTTCGCGAACAAGCTTGGCCACCTGAAACAAGCAGCCGAGGTAGAACCGGTGTGAGAGCTTGCTCGATGTAGGTCCCACGCTGCTCGAGCTGATGTGACATATGAATGCCAGGCTGTTTTTTTGTTTTTTCTGTTTTTTGCTCTGTTTTTCGGATCAAACGCAACATCACCTTGGCTGGTTGCTCCATCATGAGGGCGTCCCAAGTTTGGAGCATGACGCGCCAGACGTCCAGTTTGGCCTGTTCGTCATCCGTCAGCCTAACGGAAAGAGAGCGATTTTCGCAGCGCCGCGTTGAGTTTGGCGAGGTGAGTGCTCTGATTCAGAACGCGCCTTGGATCGCTTCGCTTCGAGCCAAGGCGGAGGAGCACGGGCTGTGGGCTATGCAAGCGGCAGACACTCTCAAGCTGCTGCAGCAACGTACGCATAGCGATGGCAGCGAAAATCAAGCTCCTCGGTCTGGTCATCCTCGCCCGTGAGGAAGCCAAACTCATCAAAGCGCATGGCCTCACGCTCCAACTCCTGCATCATGATGCCTGTCCCTTCGTTGCGTGTGTAAACGCAACCGTCCGCCAGACAGACAGAGAGCGGGCTCAGGGTTGGGAACGAAAAAGTCGATGTGTGTGTGTGTGTGTGTGGCTGCTTTTGAAACCTCCCTGATTTTAAATTTTCGCGGGAAATCTCAGCGTTTTTTAATTGTCAGATGAACCGGAACACCAGAACATCAACAACGAACGACTGGACTCAAAAAAGTGTCTTTCGCGTATAGTGAGGGTGTGGTCACCAACGAGGATGGTGGGGGAGCTGGCGCGATGGACGTTGGTCTTGGGGGTTTGCCTGCGTCTGGGAGTGGGTGTTGTGGTGGGACCCGTCTATTCGAACGACTATGCAGGATTGGATTACAATGTGACAGACTGGCATTCGGATCCAGCTCAAGGGGCCAATCATTATGAGAGTGCAGCGTTAGCCTGCGCGCGCTATTGCGAGGCGGATGCCGAGTGCTGCGCCTGGACGTATTGTCCCCCAGCCCCCAACGATCCGGAACGGTGCTGCCTCAAATATGCCGTGCCAAGCTTGCAAGTTGGAGCTCCGCACTGGACCGGCTTGCCCAGTCGGGCCTACAACAACGCTTCAGGCCACCCAGTCGTGACAGCCATGTGCCAACATCGTGATCCTCCGTATCCTGGCCCTGCCCAATGGCAACCGCGGCTTCACAACATGCCTGCCTGTCTCAACGTGGAGTCCTGGCACGACATTGCCGCCGCCATTACCGTAGAGGGCATACATCATGTTTTTCAAGGTGCAGCCCCCGATCTTATCTTGGACGTCTTTTTGTTTGTTGTCCCTTCGTACATGACCCGCTGGTGCTCACGCTGATGGTGAAACGTGCTCGGCAGGTTGTCCGGGAGATGGTGGGTGGCATCACGCCAGTTCGACGGATTTAGTTCATTGGACCAATCATGGAATCAGCGTGACCCAGCGGAATGAATCGTACGCTGGCTTCACCTCCGATGACAGCCCTTGCTCGGGGTTTGCCGTGGCCGATGATGACGGCAGCCTCTACGTCGGCTTTCGCCAGTGCAGCAGTACCACAGGTGTGCAAGGCGGTCATCCTTGGGACGTACCGCTCGAGCTGCGCCGCGCCACCAACAGCAGCCTCTTGTCCTTTGGTGCCAACCTGTATCTGTACAATGTGAGTTTTTACCGTGCGCTCCCCTACGACCCCGTACGTCCGTGGAAGGACACCGATGGCATGTGGTACAGTACAATTGCCACGGATGGCTGCAATGGCACCTCACGTGCGCTGCCCTGTGCGGCGGGAGGCCAACTCGATCTCTGGCGCTCCCCGACGCTGCTGGGCCACGCGCAGCCGGGTGCCAATGCGGGCTGGCAACATGTGGGAGCCATGTTTACCAGCAACCGGACGGTCCTCTCCGCGCTGCACCCAGATCTCATTGAGCCGCAAGAGCTCGTGACGGTTGACTACATCGGCGGTTTGCCTGGGGATCCTGCGCAGGGCGGGACGCGTCTGCTGCTGAATAACGTGAACGGCAACGCAGGCGTTGGCACCACCATGTTTTTTCGGGGGCACCAACCGACTCCAGGTGGGCGCTTTGTCAGTCTACACAACGACACGGACTTTGCCGCTGCTGGTGACGTTGGCATGCTCGATTGGGGTGCCTTTTGCCTGAATGTGAGTGGCACCGACAAGCCTGGCCTGGTGGGCCTGGCGCTGCTGCGTGGCGACTGCTCGCGCGGCTTTTCCATGGCGCGTACGCTAGGTGCTGGCGCTAGCAACCAGGTCCTTTTGCCTGGGCGACGAGTCTTGGTGGGTTGGGTTGGCTTGACGCCTGCAGCCCAATCGCTGCCGCGCGATCTCACACTCGGACCTGGGTTCGAAGTTCTACAGCAGTTTGTACCGGAGCTTGAAGCCTTGCGTACACCCGCCATCGTCTCCCCGGTGCAGTTGGAGGTGGTAGCGACCTTGACCGTCCCCGCCATGTCGCAGCACGGGTCCTGGCGCAGCAACACAACAGCAGGTGTCCAGTTGCTAGATGATGGCAACGGCGGATTTGGTGTCACCGTGGGTTTTGACTTTGGACGCGAGTTGGTCTTTGTGGATGCTACACGGGCAGGCAACAGCGACGTGCGAGCGGGGCCCTTGCTGACGCCTGTAACTGGAGACCCATCAACGTGCCGTCTGCATTTAATCTTGGACCACAATCTACTGACCGTCATTTTCAACAATCAGACTGCGCTCACGGTCATCCTCGAGCCCGATGACAAGTTTCTGGCCGGCGGGCTGGGCGCTTGGAGTGACGACCCCGCCCTGCTACCCGTTGTGACCTCTTGGTACCTGGATTTGGCATCGTAAAGCAGCCTGAGCTTTCTACCTTAAACGCACTCAGCGTTCGGCCTGTGCACTTGGCTCCGATATGCGCCCACCTCATTCTGCCGAATTTATTATTTCTTATCAAACAGTAAGCACCACATGGCAATCATTGCGTATGTAAGATGATGACCTGCCATTCCCCACCCTAACTTATCAATCCTTAGCTTGAACTCATTTATACATCAGATCCATTTATACACGCACAAAGGAGTCGTGAGTGCCTGCGTCGAGGAGGCGGTCAGCCTGAGCACCCGCCACCGATTGAGAAAAGGTAAAAAAATCCCCAAAAAAATGGAGAAAAACCCGCTCAAATTCATGTGTCAACGTCTGACATTTTCGACTCGCTGCGCTTTACCTTGCATGAGGTAATTGTCACCAACAGAAGAGAAGATGCAGCAAAAGTATATCGAACAATATCAAATAAAGTAAAAGTGATACGAGTTAATGCAGTGAATGTGGGGGAAGATGGACGCGCGTCACAAGTCAGTTGACACGCGACTGCACCACCTCTCTGTCACTGGCCACTTGACGTTTGTGGAGCCCGATAGCACGCGCAAACGGCAGCGGTAACGTTGACCCCCTGACCGAACTGCGGTAAATCAAATGCCGCGTGGGACGGGGAATCGGTCTGAAGGGGGGCAAGATGGGGATATGCAAGTTGCGGTATCGAGCACTTGCACTGGGCTTTCGGGCCTCACGATTGTATTGCACTTGCTCCTTTGCTTGGTGTCAGCAGACCGTGGGCCATGGACGCCGACGTGCCTGAACAACTCTACTATGTTGTCTCTTCCTTCAAGCCTTCGGCGGTGACCACGGCCGTTCGCGCCAATTTCACAGCCCCCGATGAGCTCAACCTCTTGATCCTCAAGCACTCGCACCTTGAGGTTTACAAGGTTGGTTATGGCAATGTATCCCATCCCTTCCATCCAGCTCGTCGGTTGCTCACTCTACCTTTTTCCTGTCTCTCGTTGGTCAGGTGGTCGAAGAAGGTCTAGAGCCCGTGATGGACAAGGACCTCTACGGCTCGGTTCTGGCCATGAACGTCATCCGCCTCCCAGTGCGTCCTCATGGCCGCAGTTTGCAAAGAAATTTCTCATGACGCCTGGCGCTGCTTGGTGGCGCTCGTCTGCTCATCTCAGTGCTTGTGCTTCTCCATGCAATGGCAGGGCTGGGAGCGTGATGCCGTCTTCTTGTTGACCTCAACCTTTCGCTTCTTCATTCTGGCCTCGGACGAAGACAACGGTGTTGTGACCGTCATCAAGGGCAATGCCTTGGTGGGTGCCAGGATGTCTTGTTTGGCACGCACCCCCAGGTGCAGACCAATTCGCCATTTCTCATCCTCACTCATTTCACCCCGCAGTCCAGCTGCCAGCGTCCCGCCGACTGCGGCGTTCACGTTGCCGTGCATCCCAAGGGCAACTGCATCTTTGTTTCCGTTTACCCTGGGAACGCCTTGGTGTGTAGTGGCTCTAGCCATTCTAGTGATCAGGATAGACTTGTCCATGTCCTTACACTCTGCGCCGTCCCTGTGTACAGATTATCCCTTTTGACGCGAGCGGCGAGCCGATGGAAGCCTACTCTGTCTTGTACGAATCATCCACCTTTGAATGTTCTCATGCCCTTCAGGCCGAGCTCACCTGACACGTCATGCATGCTTGACTCAGCGTTCCCGTGAGCTCGCTTCTGGATGCGACCTTTGTCAATGGTGCACACGACTTTACGCTGGCGCTTCTTTCGGATGATGACACCAACTTTACGTCACTTAAAATGTTTCATCTTGATGTGCGTCGAGCTACTTCCTGTTCTTGCTCGAAGTGGCTGACTACGAACGCGCGCTCATTTCGTGTGCGATTGTGAGCAGGTCGAGGAGCGCACTCTGGTCGAGGAGCAACTGGCCGACAGCACCATCAACACGTACTCTTCCAGGCTTCTTCCTCGTTAGACTTTCCTCTCGTGGACTCAGAAGGCATTTCAGTATTTTGTTGTGGTCGGGCCTTGCCCTGCACACAAAGCTGACCTGCGTTTCGTGCCTTGGCGATAGTGTGGAATCTGGACAGCGGTGTCTTGGTACTGGGCGAGGAGCTCTGTCACGTGGTCACCCCCTCGGGCATCATTTCCAGCAACTTGTCAGAGAGTCTTCCTGTAGCTGCTGGAATCATTGACACAGACGGCTCGCGCATTCTAATCGGTGCGGGTTGACCATGTCATTCTACCTGAATTCTTTTTCTCGCTTCTTGAGACAGTGCTTCTAATCCTGTCACCGATGCCAAAGACTCACACGGCCTGCTGTGCACGCAGGTGATGAGCTTGGTGATTTACATCTTCTCGTGCTTGAGGGCATTGCAGAACGCCGGGTCAGTTACAAACCAAGCCCACAGACAAGGCGCCATTCTTTGGTGACATGACAACCGCATTGTTGTGCCTGCACGTCCAACTCTCACTCATGGCGTCATGGGGGTCCAGGTTACCAGCATTGTCCGCCAGCACCTAGGTCGCATCTCAACCCCATCTGCCATCGTCTATCTTGACAACGGGGTTGTTTATATTGGAAGCGATCAAGCTGACTGCCAGGTAGGCCTTGCCACGACCGCACACCTCTGCTTCGAGTTTATGTGAGACGGGCCTACATTGGCGTGGCGGCCTCATTTTTGCGTTACTTCCTCCACGAATTGCTCCGCGTCCACCGAACTTCTGCAGCTGATTCAGCTGCTGTCTCACGTGCAAGCGGAGGCTGACAACAAGGTGAAAGTTCTTCAAGAGTACCCCAACATTGGTCCCATCGTCGATTTTGAAATGGTGGACCTCGACGGCCATGGACAACAGCAGGTACACAAATATTTTTTTTCTTGTTTTTTTTTTTTTTCTATCGCGTGTACCCTCGGTGTTTGGATCTGGCCCGTCACTATAGCTCACGCTCAAATTACGCACTGCTTCAGGTTGTGAGCTGCTGCGGCAGTAACCAAGACGGCTGCCTGCGCATCTTGCGCAAGGGCGTAGGGATCGATGTACTGGCCTCCCTTGATCTCGAGGGCCTTCAGGTATCTTTTTTTCCCTCTGATTCTTGAGCTCATGGCACCCACATCCAATGAGGCACCATCTGTGAATCCAGTCTGTATATTCTTCAACAACGTACTCAGTGGCTGACGGCCATGGTTGCGTAGGACTTGTGGTGCTTGCGCTCAGCCTCAAATCTTGGTGAGGATCAGCATGATGTCTTGGCGCTCAAGTTTCTTGAGCAAACAGCCTTCCTCTCTTTGGCTGGCGACGAGGTCTGTCTGCTCTATTCCACTCCTACATCCCACTCCTACACCGAGGTTTGCTTTGTTTGAGCTTAACACTTACGTCGTACCCAACTGCGCGCCTTCCATGTCCATGAACGGCCGAATGTTTAGTTGGATGGCGTGGACGTCGCTGGTGCCAACACCGAGCTACCGGCGCTACACTGCGGCAATGTTCGGGATGGAATGGTACGCCATGCTTTTGACGTACCTCGAAGGAAGACAAGTCATGGAGGTGAAAAAAGCAAAGCAAGTCTTCAGGTTCATGTCTCTTTTCTGTCGCATCTGCTCTGAACAGTGGCTGGTCGTGACAAGTCAAGATGCGCGCCTGCTGGATGCCGTGGACCGAACAGAAGTGACCCGGTGGAGCCCTCCTAATGGCAAGGTGCTGTTTGAAAGAATCAGACTGGTTGTCTAATGCAGGCCTTCAGTTAGCATTGATTCGCTCGTTGCTGCTGCTGCTCAATGGCGTGGGTGAACGGGCGCTGGCATGCGCTGTGTAGGGTATTGATGTCTGTGCATCAACGGGAGATTTGCTGGCCGTCGCGAGTGGATCAGATCTTTACGCACTCTCGCTCAGTCGGACTGAAGGCCTCCACGACATGAAGAACGCAACGCTAGACCATGAAATTGCCTGCCTGTCCATCCGTGCATCAGGCCCAGATCAGGGTGCAGGCACCATTCTGGCTGGCCTGTGGACAGACTTTTCGTTGCGGGCGTTTTCGACCAGAACTTTGGAAGAGCAAGCCAAGGTGGAGGTGCCCACGCAGGTGGTCTCGTCCAGTGTGGCCTCCGTGACCATGGAGGGCACCTGCTACTTCTTCATCGGTCATGGTGACGGCAAGCTAGCCTACGGCGTTTTTGATCCACTGAGCAGCACCTTCGGGGCCCCGCACGTGGTGCAAGTGGGTTCCTTGCCCGTTAAACTCCGTGCGTGTAAACGCGGCAAGGACGAGTTTGTCTTTGTGGCAACAGACCGTCCCATGGTCGTGTCAAGCCGGCGCGGAAAGTTGTTGTTTTGCAATGTCAGCGCGGGCGCATGCAGGACAGCGGATGTACTGAATGCGGAGGCATACGTGGATTGCCTAGCCTACGTGGAGCAGGACCGTTTGGTGTTTGGCAAAATGGAGAACATGCAGAACCTGCAGATTCGCAAGATTCCGCTGGATGAAACACCTCTGGGCGTTACATACCACAAATCAAGTGGTGCTTTTTGCGTTGCCACGGATGCAGCTCGTGCGTGCCCGACACCACAGGAGCCCATCTGCTACCTGCGGCTGATCGACGCACAATCGTTCGAGGTGCGCGACTCCTTCAAGCTGGAGCAGGCCGAGTCACTGTTTGGACACAGCTTGCATACCATGCAATTGCGCAATGACAGTACCGAATACATTGTGGTGGGCACAGCGATGCACGATCCGAACCGGCCGCTGCCGAAGCAGGGGCGAATTTTGGTGTTGCGTGTCAACGACGATGGCAAGCTGGAACTCGTGGTGAGCCATGCAATTCACGATGGTGGCATTTTCTCGCTCCAAGCCTTTCGTGACGGCGTGGTGGCCGGCATCAACGGACGCCTCGAGTACTTTTCATTGGAGTCAACGCCGCTGGAGCGCAAGGTGGAGGTGGCCTCACAAACTGTGTTTCGCGGCATGCAAACGGTCTCCTGTCTGGGTGTTTGCGGTAACACGGTGCTGGTGGGCGACATTCTGCAGTCGGTCACGGCTGTAAACTACTCTGAGCAGCGCAATCGGTTTGTGGTGGGTCCGGGTGATCCAGAGTCTCGGTATCTGCTGACTTGCTTCTTGCCCGCGGAGGATCGCTTTTTGTTTTGCGACTCGGATCAAAACCTGGTTCTGGGCATGCCACCAGTGGACACGGTTGAGAACGATGCATCCCTCATGCACTTGGCTGGCCGGATTCACATTGGGGACAACATCAACTCGTATGTGATTTGTGCATGCATACATGTCTGGACTCCCTACCTGCTTTGTCCTGACAGCACTTTTTGCTTTGCTGCCCTGTTTGTGACGAGTAGGTTTGCGTTTGGCTCGCTGTCACTATCATATGAGCGCCCGGCCGAGGCGGGCGAGGCGGGCGAGGACGGCGCCAAGCAGCAATCCTCACCGCCCATCGTGGTTGGTCGCGTGCACGTGTTGTAGCGAGCATCGAGAAGCAGGGCTGCGATCATGACGCGCATTTGAGGCTCATCTTGTGTGTGTGTGTGTGCGTGTGTGTGCGGTGTTGCCGATTGAACGTGCATTGTGGGTATAGTTTACAACGGTGCTCGGCGGTGTGGGCATGATCTTGGAGGTGCAGCAGAAACATCTTTGGTTTATGCATGAGATGCAGCGCCGGCTGGCTGACATGGGCAACGCCGTGGGAGGTCTAACCCATGAGGATTATCGCAGCACCAAGAACGGCAAACGCGAGAGTGTCACACGTACGTGCCGGATGGGCCGCGCGAGGGTGTATTGTGTCGAGATGCAGCCAAACTTGGGCAAAATGTTTGGAGGGTTGGGTTGTTTGCTTTCTTCTTGACCGAGAGCTCAGCTATTGATTTTAATCCCTTATTTTGGCAGCGGCGCGGTGCTTTGTGGATGGAAACTTAATCGAGTCCTTCTTGGAGCTGACCCCAGAAGAGATGGAGGAGGTGTGTACACTGCCTGCCTGCTTGTTTAGTGTATGTCTGGGTCGCCAAGACGTGCGAGAGCTAAACGTGCGAGAGCTCATTGGCGTTGTGTCTGATTTGACTTGTGGGTGAGAAGGTTATGAAAGAGTTTCACATTCCAAACAGCAGCAACGACTTTGTGCCCGTCACCGTCTCCGAGGCCGTAGGCATTATTGAAACATACTCGCGCATGCACTAAGGCCGGTGATCCAACACCAACAACAATCGGATGTTTGTTCTTGTCCCTGTCTGCGCGTGCCTTTTCATCGGTTGCCGCACCGAACAAGGCCTGCTGAGACGGCAGTACGCTTGAATGTCTCCTGGACTCTTCTCCATGTGGTCTGAAGCAGCTGCTTGATGTTCTTGCCGAATTGATGTGAATTGTTTTTGTGACTTTGGCACGATTCACACCATCAACCCGACGGGCCATTCACAGTCTTGCTTACTTCTGCTTACTTGTGTGCTTATGCTTACTTCTGTGAGCGTTGTGTTTTCGAATGTCATCATGATGATCGCATGGTGACGTGTGACAATTTAAGGCGGGAATCGCCTTGAAGTGTGACATTTGGGTGTGACAAGTATCCACCACCAAAAAAAAGCGCAACAGCAAAATCGACAGGGAATCATCGTCATGCTTGTGTGTGCGTGCGTGTCAGGGCAGCGGTCCATCTCTCTGTGTGGGAAGGAGCAGCAGCGCGGGCAGCCAGCAGGAGCACAACTCGCAATCAACCAGCAGCTGCAATTAATGGTAAGATGTGCCTTGCGCAGACGAATTCAAGCGCTGCCATGTATTCTCTCACACGTGCCATGCCAACACGAAGTTCGGATGGCCCAGATGGCACAGTGCCTCCACATTTGACATTTTCGTCACATCTGCTGATGTTGTTGGTGTAGTCTTAATCAACGCGTGGATCGACTTAATCGTAGTTTTGTTAACACATGAGGCGATAGTTTATGCAGTCTTATTTATGGTTGTTGCATTGACGAATGCACGGATTCCTCTACTTTATGGGATCGTAGCACTTTGACTGGTTATTGCGGTTTGAATAACCCTAGTTGCCATAGTCAGTGTAGAATCCAACTGGGTTAATATTGTTGCGCATATCAAGTGGGTTGGAGTTTGTATCACTGTGTCAAACGACACAATCGTTCACTAAACACACACACACACACACACACACACACACACACACACACACACACACACACACACACACACACACACACACACACACACACACACACACACACACACACACACACACACACACACACACACACGCGCGCGTGCACCCTCGAGGCATCTCTCTCTCTCTCTCTCTTTCTCTCTCTCTCTCTCTCTCTCTTTTTCTCTCTCTCACACACGCGGTACGAAAGGCGCTGGATGATGATGATGATGATGATGAGGCTCGGGGCGGTCGTCGGTTGCGCAGGGGGACGGGTTGACGTTGAAGGGTGGATGCGTGCGTGACACATGGGGAGGGATCGGGCAAGGCGAGGACGGACGATGTTGCTCTGGGTCGCTCATTGATCGCTGCGTGCCCGTGTGCATGTGTGGCGTTGCAATTTGGTGCCACTAGCACAACCGTTGACCGGGACGATGACCACGCTCAAGTTTCAACTGGATCTGCGCAAGCGCAGCCTGGGCATGACCATTCAAGGCGGCATCGATCATCCCGTGGACGGTTCGTTGAGAGTTTGACTCTAAACAAGACAGCTTCTCCCATGGCTGATCAGAGCAACGCCAAACGCGATGCTTGTCTGCCTCTACTTTAACACTCCTCTTGCCTGCCACCATCCTCAGGATCGACCCATGTCATTGTCAACAAGCTGGCGTTTGGCGGGGCGGCTGCGGCAGCTGGCTTGCAGGTTGGGGACTGGATTCAATCCATCAATGGTTCAAGCACGACCAACGCCACCCTTGCCGAAGCGGCCAGCCATATCAAAAAAGCCATCCCAACCAGCGTACGATCCCTCGCCTCCTGTCCAGCGCAACACATCCCCACCAACCCGGAGCGCGATCGGGTCGGAGTTCCTGCTCACACATGTATTTGCCTGGCCTTTGCCCCATTCCCTGCGCAGTCCCTCACACTCGTTGTATACCGTGCCACTGATCTCAAAGCTGTAACATCGGGCGATGAGCAAGGTAGGCCGAGACACCATGGTGTGTGTGTGTGTGTGTGTGCGACCCTAGGATCGGGTCGCTGGAAGGATCGTTGCTGCTCCGTGGCCACTTAATCATTTGGTTGCCTTGTCGCTTGGCCCAGCCGCGGGGCTGATCAACAGCGATCGCACCATCAACGCGCAACGCGCCTTCAACGAGAACGATCCTTTGCTCTCTCGCCTGGTTCATGACATGACATCCGCCACCGAACAGCATCTCAACGAAGCTGGACAATATGTCAAGGCCGCCGTTTTTGGTGGCCTGGATGGCATTATCACCACCTTTGCCGTGGTGGCTTCCAGCAACGGTGCTCGCCTCTCTGCCAACGTCATTGTGATTATGGTCAGTTTTGGACCCGCAATGCTCAAGTTTGCTTCCCTGTATTCAAGCGTCCCTCTGTTGCCACATACTCTGGGTGCTAAATGTTGTCTCGCCCCGCCTGCTGTTTGCAATCTGCCTCCGGCTGACGCAGGGCGTCGCAAATCTACTTGCTGATGGCTTGGCCATGGGTATGGGCGAGTACTTGTCCAGCCTGTCCGAGCTGCAGTACGCCCGCTCTGAACGTCAGCGCGAGGAATGGGAATTGGAAAACTACGAAGAGGGAGAAATCAGCGAAATGGTCGAGCTTTACATGGTTTGTCTCTCCACTCTTCATTTGCGGTGGTGACCCCAGAGCAGATCTGAGCCTCTTCTTTTGTCATTCTTCCTCATCATCATGAACATTAAGCTGCAGCTCACTGCATTTTGTGGCTAAATCGTTTGACACGGATCCGATTGCTGCAGGAGAAAGGAATCGAGGAAGAGGATGCACGCCAGATTCTTCACATCATGTCCAAGTACAAGGACTTTTTTGTTGATCACATGCTAGTGCAGGTCAGTTTGCCGGTGTCATTGCGACCTACGGCCCGACATCGCTCCACCCCTACCGCACTAGCCTTTGCTGCATGCAGCCTAGAGACAGCAGCCATTGTGAAGTTCTCAGACACTGTGGCACGTTGATTTGTCCAGGAGCTTGGAATCATGCCTCCAGATGAAGACGAGTCACCCTTCAAGAACGGCGTTGTCATGTTTCTGGCCTTTATCTCCTTTGGCCTCGTGCCGCTACTTTGTACGTTGTATCGCGTTGTATCGCGTTGTATCGCGTTGTATCGCGTTGTATTGCCCAATGGTGTTGCGACGCCCGCCGCCACGGCTTGGTGATCTGGTGCAGGCTGCTCACGTTTTCGCATCTGCATACATTGATGCTTGTCTCTAGCCTACTTGATGTTGCAAACGGTCAACTTTGGCAGCATGGACAAGGATACGGCACTGTTTGCCATTGCCTGCGGCTTCACTGGCCTGGCCATGTTTGTTCTGGGTGCCATCAAGAGCAAATTCTCTCAGCAGTCGTGGTTCATGTCGGGACTGACAGTCCTGGTCAATGGCGGTGCTGCAGCAGGTGCCGCCTATCTCGTGGGCTGGCTACTCGAGAAATACGTGGGCCATTCAACCGATTAAGGATCGATTCACATTCCACGCACAGCGTAGAGTCCAATAGCTACCGGCCCCTCCGTCACCGGGGCATCGCCGGTAGCGGCCACCAGCTTCTCCTCAGTGGTGTATATTATAGCGTCTTGTGTTGCATTTGTCTTGACTATGGTTTGAACAGCCAACTATTTCGCGCACAATGGCAGCGAGATCAGCACGGGTCCAGCACGGGTCCAGCAGGGCCTGCAGCCCACTCCCTTTGTCACGACCGTCGACTGTTGTTCGAATTCATCAACAAACTCATCTTTGCTCCACGTTCATTTCGAGTGCAGGCAAATTCAGCAGTGGCTCTTCACGTACCTCGATGGGTCGAATCATGGGCAATATGCTCTCACTCTGCGCAAAGCCTGTTCCCACAACGTGCACTGCTGTCAGATTCAGGGGCGTCCAAATGGGTCGACAGAGTGTGGTATCATTATTCGAGGTAGAGTCAGGGTCGCAGGCCATCAACATGCACGCTTGGACGTGGAGGGCTGAGGGTGTATCGTAGTATGTGAAGAGGGCATCTTGAGCTGCCAACACGAGGCGTGGTCCCCCGGCGCTTTGGTTAGCATCTCTACCCATCGTGATAGTGGCATGGCACGTCACGTTGTTTTTGGTCACGGTCAGCTCATGTGTACTAGCGTGGGCCCAACTTTGACAAGCCATCGGCTCCGCAGCAGAGAAAGTGGAGGCGCACGCAAAAACGTCGTCATTCAGCCAGGCCAGGGGCTTCAAAATGGTGCCTCGCTGAAAGTTTGTGGTTCGTGAGCCTTGTTGCGCACTCAAAAGTACAGGCATGGCAGAGGGAACGCTAGCGACGGTGAGGGTGGTGACGCCATTGGGCTGTGACACATTCAGAGATTGGCCAGCGACATATACTCCACCGCCGCTGACCGACACAGCGTCACCACGATTGGCAACCACCAGCACGGCATCAAAGTGACGTGACCTGACAGATACAAGTGTAGACGCACGGCGCAGGTATGTTATAAAAACAAAAAAAAAAAAAAAACAAAAAAAAAAAAAAAAGTGGCGTAAAACTGGGTTGTCATTGGTTCAAGCGAATCAAAACAGCGAATCAAAGCATTGTAGCGGGACACGGGTAGTTGTGAGCCCCATGTCGATATAATTGTACGCACCAGGCTTGCTGAAACATGAGGGCATCAAATAGGGGTGGGTCGTTTTCCCAAAGGGAGCTCACGGCAAAGTGGCGCACACCACTGGCCAAGAGTGTCGAGACGGGCTCAGCAAACTCCATGTCGTAGCACACGAGCTGTTCAAGACCATCGCAGATGGATTGCCAACAAGAGGTTAAGGTGTTCGGCCCACGAATTTGAAACTTAACGTACAAGAGCATGGTCTATCCAGGGCCTGAAGGGCGCGGCAGGGGGGTACGACTTACAAGACCAAACTGTGTGCCATCAACGGAGAAGGTTGTGGGATGGTTTGTGGCTGGTTGATCTAGCACGGCGGCCGTCCCAAAGAGGTGCTGCTTGTGGTAGATGGCCAGGAGCTGACCAGTGGGATCAATGGCTACATCGGTGTTGAACAGCCACCAGCCATCGGGGCGGCACATCTCCGGGTCCAAGGACGCATGCGTAGCATTGGTACAGGGCACTCGCGCAATCATGTTGACCACCAGGTAGAGGCCGGCTTCTCTGGCCAACGCTTGCAGCGACTGCACAAGGCTTGCTTGGGCGCCATGCTGCAGCGTGGGTTGATTGAGCAAGGCTTCAGCGGCGCTGCTGGCAGTGGGCCCAGACAAATCCTGGGCCAGAGCAAGAAGACGCGTGCGCTGCGTGGAAACGGGCCCCTCCAAGGCGAAGGACCAAAAGATGGCCTCGGGCAGCACAAGCAAACGTGTGGCGTTGCCAGAGGACCGGATGCTGGCTCGGCACGCAGCGAGCGTGCGGTTTACGTTGACCTGATCTGTGAGATTAAGTTGGGCAGGCGACGCCAGCTGCACGGCGCCCACGCGGAGTGTTTGTGGCGATGCGCTTGTTCGCTTCTCCGGCTGGGCGGCAGGTATCAGCACAGCCAGCCATGCCAGAGCACACACCCAGATCGGCGATATTCGGCCTCGGCCTCGTGCTCGTGCTCGTGACAGCTCCAACATGATCTGTGGACGCATGAAAAATCTGACATCCCTGTGTGTGTGTGTGTGTGTGTGTGTGTGTGTGTGTGTAGATTGTGTGCCGGTTCTGCTTTGCCTTTTCAAGTGGTTCCAGTTGCGCAGTGGGAGGAATAAATGGGAAGCATAAATTTTCAAAACAAGAATAACAACGTGTGAACCCTTTGAAAAAAGGGCAAGTGAGTACAGCATGCAGAGGTGCCAGGGCGAGAGGCAGCTGGTCCAAGATCCCAAGATTTCATCAAAACAATTCGAACAAGCGCTTGATGCGCAACCCGTCAACATAAAAAACAAACAAAACGCTGACACAGGCGGCGACACCGGCAAGCAATGCCGTCAAGATTACACTCACACTTACATATCAATGGTAAACTCAAGTCAACAAAACAGATGGGGGCGCCAAAGACCAGGAAGCGCCAAGAAGGCGTTGAATAGTTCCCTTTTTTACTCGTCCGTGTCAACCAGCTTCTCAAGAAGATAGCCAATGAGAAAAGCGGCGCCAGCAGCAATGCTGCCGTTGACCAGAACCATGAGACCCGAATAATACCACGTTTGCGTGGAAAAGCGACTCTTGATGGCGCCAAGCACAAAGAGGGCCATGGCTGTGAGGCCGCAAGCAATGCCAAAGAGAGCATTGTCGTTCTCGCTCTCACTGCCAAAGTCGACCGTGGAGAGGGCAAGGTAGGCTACGACAAATGGCAAAAAAAAACAAGAAAACAAAAAAGCACAGCCAGGATTTCGTGAGGCAGTGCATCACAATTTGACGTGACACTCAAGGGATCGGCCAGCGACTGTGGTGTTGACCCAACTCACATAGCAGAGGGACGAGGCCAAAAACAACAAAAGAGCAGAACATGACCAGGCCATTCTTGGCGGGCGACTCGCTCTCATCCGGAGGCATGATGCCCAGTTCCTGGAATTGGCCAGACGTGCCAGCAGCAATGAGTGGCGTGGCTCCGCACGGGACAGGGGGAATGCGCCTGACACCAAAAAAAAAAAGCTAAAACTGACTTGAACAAGCATGTGATCAACGAAAAAGTCCTTGTATTTGACCATGACATCCAGGATTTGGCGAGCATCTGATTCTGTAACGCCCTTTTCCTGTGACCATGCAAAAAAAAAAAAAAAGCAAGAACAAGCACAACGGGGCAAGGGTCAATGACTTGGGCTCAGCACACCGGCCATGGCCCGTCCTCTATCAGCAGCTGTAGAGGGTGGGTTGAGCAGGACACGGCTGTAGACACGAACCATGTAAAGCTCCACCATTTCTTGCACCTCGCCAGCGAGATAGTTTTCAGTCTCCCATTCCTCGCGCTGGCGCTCGGCCTGCGCAAATTGCAGCTCTGAGACACCAGAGAGATACTCGCCCACGCCCATGGAAAGGCCATCGGCTAGCAAGTTGGCAAAGCCCATGATAATGACGACACCAGCTGAAAGATTGGCACCGGTGACAGAGGCGACGACGGCAAACGTTGTGATGATGCCATCCAGTCCACCAAACACGGCGGCCTTGATGTATTGACCCCCTCCCTTGTGGTTCTCTGGCGCCAGAGCCATCTCGTGGGCGAGGCGCGAGAGCTGAGCGTCGCCTTCGCGAAAGGCACGCTGGGCGTTGGTGGTGCGGTCACCAAGGAGGTATTCGTCAGCTGGTCATTGGGACGGAAGGACCAAGGTGAGAAAGCTTGGGTTTTGGTTTTGGCTTTGGCTGAGCTTTTCGGGGCTCACGGGGTTACAAGAAGGCTGGGGACCCAGTAGGCTGCTTACTGTCGCTGTGCTTGGTGCTGGGAGCCGGAGAAAGGGTTTTGACCGTCTTGAGAGCCGTGTTGCGTGTCACCGTCAAGTGCAAGGACTGGCATGTCCCAAACAAACAAAAAGCAGACGAACCAACGAAGCAACGAAAGAATGGATGCCATCGTGAGGCTGGCATCATGAACAATTCACTTCAGAGAGGCAACTGGCAGACATACGCGCTTGGGGATGAAGCTCTTGATGGTGTCGACAGCTTCCGTGTGGGTGACATCAGTCAGGTCCACGCCGTTCACAGCCCGGATGACATCTCCCTGGCGCAAATTGGCAGCCATGGCCGCACCGTTTGCATGGACATTGCTCACCACAATGTACGGCGTGCCTGTACCAACAACAACAACCGGCAAGCCGACGAGACACCAAACAGACGGAGACGGGCAAGGAGACAGATGCAATGAGTGCGGGTCACATACAGAGAAGGGCAGGGCAGAGCTCAGGGCAGCGATGAGTGGGGTTGCAACAACGTGCGGCGCCGACTGCACAAAACAGATTTAACGCACCATCCTCGTTGGGTTGATCGACACCACCAACAATGCCAAAGCCCAAGCCGGCATTGGAAAGATCGAGGGTCAACTCAAGCGTCTCCATCGTGATGCTTCGCGTTCAAAACCCGAGACGCTGCCATTTGCGTCCACGGCAAGCAAGGGGTGATGTGATGTGAATGAAAGCGTCGTCGAGCACCTTTCATTGCGCGCAGC